CTGGTCCAACGTTAAGCCAACCTCTCTGAATTTCAAAGACATTAAAAGTTCCTCGATAGAAGCCGCTCCTCCGTAGGTATAATTCTGTGGGGCCTAATTCAGATAAGACATGTCATAACAAGATACCCAGCGCTTCAAGCCAAGCCTCCTCCTCCATCCTCTCTCGCTCTCTCCCCACCCGCATAATTTCAGTTGCATCTCGCGCCCTACACTTGTCTTTTCCGTCACGCATGTAAACAACTCACTGAGCTATAGCTTGCCCTTCCATATCCAGCTGCTCTATCCGCATTGCATGGTTGGTGAAGTCATTTAATGTCGAGCTTAATGTAAAAAACTTTATTTTGCTTTAAATAGTTTAAATAGCAGAGTACAAAAAGTAAAGTCACACCAGAAGAATAGACACACTGTTGAATGATCTCGCAGTGCAACTTCTCCACGTAAAGATAGCTCATCTCTCTGTTGTAGGGGGTTATCTCCTTGGAGGCTTTAGGAAAGAAGGGATACAGCGTACCCAAAGCAGGGACCATCCAAGTGGTGAGTCTCATGGTCCTCTCTTTCTTTCTCTCTCTCTCTCTCTGTCTCTCTCTATCTCTCTGTCGCTCTGTCTCTCTGTCTCTCTGTCTGTCTCTCTCTGTCTCTCTGTCTCTCTCTCTCTCTGTCTGTCTGTCTGTCTGTCTGTCTGTCTGTCTGTCTGTCTGTCTGTCTCTGTCTCTGTCTCTGTCTCTGTCTCTGTCTCTGTCTCTGTCTCTGTCTCTGTCTCTGTCTCTGTCTCTGTCTCTCTCTCTCTCTCTCTCTGTCTCTGTCTCTCTCTTGTCTCTCTCTCTCTCTCTGTCTCTCTCTCTCTCTCTTGTCTCTCTGTCTCTCACTCTCTGTCTCTCTGTCTCTGTCTCTCTCGCTGTCTCTCTCTGTTTCTCTCTCTCTCTCTCTAGTATGCACTGGCTTGCATGGATCTAGCACAATCGGCACAACAGTGGCTAATATATCCATGTTCCCTTCTCAGACCTTATTCAAATGTTTGACCTTTTGTATTTTTCATGAATGAGTCCATGTTCTCCCCACAGATCTTATTCAATCTCAATTGAACAAGTCTTATAAACAGGAAGCGTATTCAGCATCTCCATATTCTCTCCATCAGACCTTATTCAACCCCAATAAAACTGTGGTGAAGATGTTCCTCGTGACCTATAACTTTGGGGACATGCCCGTTAATCACATGACCTTCCTGCGTCACCGCATCTTCCTGGTTCCCGTTGAGGAGGCGGTGCCAGAGGAGAAGGGGAATGGGCCTCCAGAGCCCAGGGCCACGCCCACAGAGAGGAGGAAGATTCTCTGCTACCTGATACACCTCAGGTATGTCTGTCTGGTTATTGGTTGGTTGTTTTTAAGGTGGAGTTTGGTGTGGACATTGTATTTTTCTGTACGGTTTGTATGGAATGTACAGTACGCTTGGATAGGATGCGCTTATTGTTAGGAATCTCTCTGTCCTTCCATCCATCCATCCATCTATCCATCCTTCCATCCATCCATCCATCCATCCATCCATCTATCCATCCATCCATCCATCCATCCATCCATCCATCCATCCATCTATCCATCCTTCCATCCATCCATCCATCCATCCATCCATCCATCCATCCATCCATCCATCCATCCATGCACACACCTGTTTATTTCTTTATTTGTTTGTTTCTTTATTTGTTGAAAACGAAGACAAACTGTAAAGCATTTCAGTACTATGCTTAATGTTTAGAAATGTAATCAAAGGCATTTACATTGTCTTTCGGGTTGTTTGCTGATCAGTCATTGTGCCAGAGACGCCTGGTTTGATGTAGCTTAGTTTAGTAGCTTTACGCACACTGTATTAACGGTGATGGTTCTGTTTTGTTTTGACTCTGTAGATTCCAGAGCTCTAAATCTGGGAAGATCTACTTGCACAACGATATCCGGCTGCTATTCTCCCGAAAGTCCATCGAGGTGGACACAGGGATCCCTTACGAGCTCAAGTCTTTCACAGAGGTGCCAAAAAATCCCAAATACTCCCCCCGCGTGTGAGCCTATGATGAACCCGCGACCCCTGACCCCATCGCCAACGCAGCCCATTCCTGGAACTGGGCACAGAGAGATAAACACACAGACATGGACGAGAAAACTTGAAAAGATTATTCATTCAAACACACACACACTGAGTATACAAAACATTAAGGACACCTTCCTAATATTGAGTTGGACCCCCCACTTTTGCCCTCAGAACAGCAGCGTTGCAGTTCTTCACACACTCAAACCAGTGCGCCTGGCACCTATTACTACTCAAAGGCTATTACTTTTGTCTTGCCCATTCACCCTCTTAACGGCACACATACACAGTCCATGTCTCAATTGTCTCAAGGCTTAAAAATTCTTCTTTAACCTGTCTCCTCCCCTTCATCTACACTGATTTTAAAGTGGATTTATGAAGTGACATCAATAAGGGACCATAGCTTTCACCTGGATTAATCTGGTTATTCTATGTAATGGAAAGACCAGGTGTCCTTAATGTTTTGTATACTCAGTGTACATACACAGAAACACACATTGCCCACACAAAATGCACAGACAAGCATCGATCGATACATGTACACAGGCAAAGCAGCCTCACATGTATACACAACTCACAGTATACATGAACACTTGGTGGTGAAACTCATCTATAGAGTTGAGTGTTAACATGCATGCCTTGTGACTAACCTAAAACCAGTTTTCCTCTAGTGCCGTTCGTTTCACACACACATGGTCCTTTGCTCTGCCTGCACCTGCCCCTCGCCCCCGTGGTGGACCAATGACAACCCTGCCACCTCAACCAGCCAGCCAATAGGAAGCCGCTAATGACGCACACTTTGTAAGAAGGGGGTGTGGGGGCACAAAACAAACTTTATCAAACCATTAAACTGGAGAAGAGATGAGATGAGAGAAGAACAGAGACAGAGGAACACTAGTGAAACAAGGACTGAATTCAATCAATTGAAGAATAAAGATTGGACATCAGAAGTTTGACACACCCTGCAAACGCCAAAACAATTGGCTACACTCAGGACTTAACTGTACTTGTTTTTGATTGAAGCCTACAGATGATCCAGTGAGCCCTCCCCCATTTTAAGCATCATGGTACGGACCACTGTGTAGGTAGGATGCAAGGGTAAGAGGAACATACCATGGCGTGGGTAGCAGGGGTGGTCACCCCGGCCCCTTTTTATGTAGACTGGCGGAGGGACACTGTTTTAGTTTCCTTTATGTTCAAAACAATCCGAAATGGGAGAAGAAAAAAAGCAGGAAAGAATGCTGTAGTATTTTTTAATTAATTTTTAATCAAATGTCTTAAAAAGCAATATGCTGCATGTGTTTTCAGCCGGACAGCTCTGTTTGAATCCCAAATGGTACCTTATTCCTATATAGTGCACTACTTATGATCAAAGACCTATGGGTCCTGGTCAAAAGTAGTGCACTATATAGGAAATAGGGGGCCCATTTGGGACGCAGACTTTCTCTGTGGAGATGGCATTGGAGTGTGGAGAGGGGGAGTGAGGGGAGGGAGGGAGGAAATAGGGGTGGGATGGGAGGGTGGGGTATTTAATATGGAAAATATTTCAAATTAAACTCAGCGACTGGCGAGTAAAACCTGTGTCTTGATTTTTGATATTATTGTGCTGTTATGTCATGTCATGTCATGTCATGTCATGTGTATTGATATTGTATCTCAATACCTTTATCTCTGTTTCACCAAGTTTTCACCTGACGACAGTTTCACAACTTAGAATTGTCAAAGAAATCTGAGACTCATGGGTTCAGATAGAGTAGTGTCCTGTCCACTGTCCATCCAGTCACACATACTCTGGTTAAGGCCAGGATTCAATCTGATCGCGCTTTGTCGACCTATGCGCCATTTGAAGGTAATTTCCGATTGATGCTACATATGCAGCGTTTGCTGTGAATGCAGTCTCCGCGATCACTGGAACATTGACGTTAAAAGGTGCATAGCTGTGAGGGGGGGGGGGGGGGGGTATAGAGATGGAAGGCAGGACGGAGAGAGAGAGACAGAGGGAGAAGGAAGGGCGAAAGGGAAGTCCTTGTGTTGTGTTTACATGAGAAAAGGAAGGAAGGAGGGGAGAGAGGAGGAGGGAGGGAGAGAAGAGAGGAGTGGGGGAGAGAGGAAGTGAGGAGAGGAGTGGGCGAGGAGAGAGGTGGGGAGGGAAGAGAGGGGAAGGAGGGGAAGGAAGGAAGGAAGGAAGGAAGGAAGGAAGGAAGGAAGGAAGGAAGGAAGGAAGGAAGGAAGGAAGGAAGGAAGGAAGGAAGGAAGGAAGGAAGGAAGGAAGGAAGGAAGGAAGGAAGGAGAGTGGGGGAGACCGTGTATTGAAAGGGACCAGAGCACTGCCAGATATGCTAGCTGTTCTTAGAGTTCTACCCAACTGTATTGAGATACAGCCAGAGTAGCCTTCTCCCCCATTCAAATAGACACATCATATATCAGATCACTGCTTCAAATATGTAAATATTTAAAATAAGACTCTCGAAAAGAGAGGACACTTTATCTGGGCAATAAGAGAAATGTCTCTCTCCTTTGCTGAATGGTTTCAAAAGAAAGGACCAAGTGAGTTTCAAGTGAATTTGTTCTGAATAGATTAGCCCAGTGGTTTGAATAACATGTTGTACATAAAGAGTTGCAGTTTTACCTGCCCCAAAAGACCTGGACACACACACACCACACACACACACACACAAACACAAACACAAACACACACACACACAGAGAGCAGAAGAAATAAGATATCGACGTGTAATGATGAATGTGATGATGAATGTGATGATGAATGTAATGATGAATGTGATGATGAATGTAATGATGAATGTGATGATGAAACGAAGTTCAGGCAGAGTTGGACCTTGTTGAGAAAAAATAATGTATTTATTTCTTTTTTTAAACAGTAGAGGCTCTCCTACTTCTTTTATGCTTAGTCCCTCCCCCTTTCCCCTCTTCAAATTAAACACAAAGTTTGATTTGTATGACCAAACTCTTTCATTTCTCTCTCACACACAGTCTCTCGCTCTTGTGCGCTCTCTCTCTCACTCTCACATGCACTCTGTTTCTCTCTGTCTCCCTCCCCGTCTTTTCTCTCTCTCGGATGTCTTGGGTTAGTGTTTAACCCTATAGATGGGTCCCTAGTGTGTTTCTGTCTCTGTAAATTCAGGTGTTGTGTTGAGGTGGTCCAGGTCTGGGGCTGGTGGTTATGGTGTTGTTGTGGTGGTCTACACAGCTCCCTCTGGTGGTCAGGATGTAAAGCTACTTTGCCGCTCTGATCGGAACTTCATCCCGTTCCTGGTCCAAGTCCTCATCACCAGCAAGCCGCTATATCTGAAATGAAGGAGAGATCTGTGAGGATGATTCACAATCAATTAAAGAGTTTTACAAGTGGACTTGAATTACCACTCTATGATGAAAATATGTTGTGACATTTAGACCATTTCTGTTGATGTTTTGGTTACTCTGGCAACAGGTTCAATAATCCATCATCATTCATAGCACACACAAGAATTCTCAGGTCTAAATTCTCAGGTACCGGTTTTCTCAGGTAGAAATCAGAAGCTGAATGAAAGAACCCAAACCAGTCAGTCACTAGAGGACTTGCCTAGTACTGAACCTGTGCCTCACCTGGGATCTCCACAGCAGAGCTCTGTGAGGGTTTTTTATTGTTGCTGTGTTTGTCTGTTATCACACAGCCGGCTGGTTCTACTTTCCTGTAGCAGTAGTGACTCCCTCTCCCTTCCTTCAGACTGTCTAGACTCAGCGTGTTGTGCTTGAAACGGTCCCGGCTGGCTGGGCCTACCGCCACCTTGTGATGTTTACAGGTATTACAACAGGAGACTTGGCCGTAGCTGTACAAACACAGGTCCTCTTGATGGAGAGGGGTTACTCTGCTCCAGTCCCCCTCAGTGTCTCCTCCTCTGCTGGGCTTCACAGCCCCCAGATACCTGGACAACAACAACAACAACAGGTTATCACTATCAATCCAGGATTCAATCTGATCGTGGATTTGGACAATGCGCGATTTAAAGGTAATTTACAGTGAATGAGGTCTCCCCGAACATTGCCTTTCAAACGTGTGTTGTCGACATATTAATTGAATGAACTAACAATGAAAGAAGCGGTGTACCTGTTTGTACTAGTGATGTACCTGTTTGTATTAGTGTATTAGTGATGTACCTGTTTGTATTAGTGTATTAGTGATGTACCTGTTTTGTATTAGTGTATTAGGTGATGTAGTGTACCTGGGTCCAGTCTTAGAACAGAGGACGTGGGTCCAGTTCTTCCAGCAGCCCTGATCAAACGGGTTCTGATCATCAGGCTCAAAGTAGGGCTCCTATAGAGGAGAGAGAAAGAGAGGGAGAGATGGGGCACCAGATTATAATACATCCTCAGTTAACCGAATGATGCTCCAATTAAAGTGTGTGTGTGTGTGTGTGCGTGCGTGCGTGCACGTGCGACGGGGAGAGTGTGTAGTGACTCACTATAGTAGAGGATGGCTCTCCATTGGAGATCAGCTTGATGTGGCTGATGAGTATCACCAAGACCAAGAGAACACAGGCCAGGCTGGTAACCATGACGACCACACTGGCCAGTTAAGGTTAAGGTTTAAAGAGAATAGCATGCGTACACTTTGGGACTGTGACCCAGGTGTGTGTGTGTGTGTGTGAGTTTGGATACGTGGTGGCGTGGGGCAGGCTGAAGGGCTGCTGCAGGATGAGGAGGGTGAGGAAGAGGTAGAGCTGAGAGGAGGAGAGGACCAGTAGCAGGTATGACGTCAGCAACAGGAGGAAGAGCAGGAACACACGGTAGTTACGTCTCCCCACGCAGTTATTCAGCCACTCACAGTGGTGGTCGAACCGCTGTGTAACACAGACACACACACACACCCACATAACCAGACAGACAACATAGACGCACACACACGCACACACACGCACACACACACACACACACAAAAAACACACATAACATGTGCAAACAGATCTGATGATAGCACATAAAGCCTGAGACACTACATGAGATAAAGAACAGGGGGAGGTAGATAAAGGTCATGAACAGGGGAGGTAGATAAAGGTCATGAACAGGGGGAGGTAGATAAAGGTCATGAACAGGGGGAGGTAGATAAAGGTCATGAACAGGGGGAGGTAGATCATGAACAGGGGGAGGTAGATAAAGGTCATGAACAGGGGAGGTAGATAAAGGTCATGAACAGGGGGAGGTAGATAATCATAATGAACAGGGGGAGGTAGATAAAGGTCATGAACAGGGGGAGGTAGATAAAGGTCATGAACAGGGGGAGGTAGATAAAGATGATGAACAGGGGAGGTAGATAAGGTCATGACAGGGGGAGAGTGGTAGATAAAAGATCATGAACAGGGGGAGGGTAGATAAAGATCATGAACAGGGGGAGGTAGATAAAAGTCATGAACAGGGGGAGTGTAGATAAAGATCATGAACAGGGGAGGTAGATAAAGGTCCATGACAAAGGGGAGGTAGATAAAGGTCATGAACAGGGGAGGTAGATAAGATAATGAACAGGGGGAGTAGATAAAAAGATATGAACAGGGGAGGTTAGATAAAAATCATGAACAGGGGAGGTAGATAAAGATCATGAACAGGGGAGGTAGATAAAGATCATGAACAGGGGGAGGTAGATAAAGATCATGAACAGGGGGAGGTAGATAAAGATCATGAACAGGGGGAGGTAGATAAAGATCATGAACAGGGGGAGGTAGATAAAGATCATGAACAGGGGGGTAGATAAAGGTCATGACAGGGGGAGGTAGATAAAGATCATGAACAGGGGGAGGTAGATAAAGATCATGAACAGGGGAGGTAGATAAAGATCATGAACAGGGGGAGGTAGATAAGAGTCAATGACCAGGGGGAGGTAGATAAAGATCATGAACAGGGGGAGGTAGATAAAGGTCATGAACAGGGGGAGGTAGATAAAGGTCATGAACAGGGGGAGGTAGATAAAGGTCATGAACAGGGGGAGGTAGATAATGAAACGGGGGAGGTAGATAAAGATCATGAACAGGGGGAGGTAGTTAAAGATAAAGCCAATTTGATGAGTCTTTCCTGAATTGTGGTTCCAGTCTGATAGGTTAGGTACACATCATTTCAATAAACCTACGTCCACACAGGCATTGCAGCGACGGCAGTGCCATGCCGCAGGGGGAAGGTAGAGCTCACACCTGCTGCACCAGTCCATTTCATACTTCTGACCGTTCACTATCACATAGGCCACCTCTGCTGTGCCTGGCCATGGGGGGTCTGAGGAGAGGAGAGAGAGAGAGGAGGGATGGGGGAGAGAGGAGGGAGAGGGAGGAGAGAAGGAGAGGAGGAGGGAGAGGGGGAGATGGGGAGAGATGATCGTAGGGAGAGGCGATGGCGAGGAGGAGGGAGGGAGGAGAGAGGTGGAAGAAGGGATGTGAGAGAGAAAGAAGCTGGAGCAGGACTTGACTCAACAACTCTGCAGCTCAGATACAGATGTAGGGTCTTAATTTGACCAGTTTCTCACAGAATGAAAATAATCCTGCAGCAACAGGAAATGTGAATTATTAGGTGGATTATAATTAATGGACATTTATGTAGGGGTTGATAATTTTTTTGTTAGGGTGTAACCGGTGTGAAATGGCTGGCTAGTTTGCGGTGCGTGCTAGTGGCATTTCAATCGCTGACGTCACTCGCTCTGAGACCTTGAAGTAGTTGTTTCCCTTGCTCTGCATTGCTGCGGCTTTTATGGAGCGACGGGTAATGATGCTTCGAGGGTGACTGTTGTGGATGTGTGCCGAGGGTTCAAGCCCTCGTTGGGGCGAGGAGAGGGACAGAGGCTACATTGTTACAAGGGCAAATCGAGTCTGAAATGTTAAAGTGGGAATTACAAACTTTAGAAGCCTTTTTAAAACTCGAATGCATTACAAGCTTGCATTTCCTGCTGCACAGGAAAATTCTCTGCAACAACAGAGTGATCAATTGAAGATAGCAGATCTGTACCACCTGTGCCATAATGATACAGACCCTCTTGGTAGAGGAAGTAGCCTAGTTGCTTACTTATGAATAACTCTTGAAAGGAATATCAAAGCTCCCAGAGATGTCATCTATGTATATTTAATAACACTATTATAACTATGTTAACATGATAATATTACCTTGGTGGAGAATGCCAGGGTCCATGAAACTTGACACAAGGAAAGTTACCAAGGTCCCAGTTAGTAACATCGCAGAGGCCACAGGATAGGCTACTGAAACATGAGTAGCCAACCAAGCGCACCTGGCAAGGACAGGGTATCAAGTAAACTGTGAAGTCATCCTCGCAGAAAACTACAGGTGGATCTGGGTTTTGATTGAATGTGACATTTAGGGACACTATAATATAAGAGCACATTAGCTTGTAAACTTACGGGAAAGTGATGTACAGAACGCTTATTACGAAACCCATGCAGGCAGTAAAACTCGGCCCGAGACCTCTCACAATCCAGTGCGGCCGTTTCTTCTTGCGCGGCTTGTCGTTGTCCAATTCCATGCCTTCCAAACTTTCAATTTATGTTAGTTCCTAGTTAACATTAAAAACACTTTTCGAAAAGAAAAATGTTTTCTTTACTATCTCATCTAAAAATGCTTTATTTTCTTTGAGCTACAATTAATGTTCGTCTATCCAGCTTCCCACTTCCTCACGATAGAAGACCCGGATGATGCTGTCATGGAAACCACATATGAGAGAACGCGCTCAAGCCACTGACGACTCGTGATAGGACGTGCAGCCTAGTTAAAATAAAATAGCCTATTTAGACTAGATTTAAAACAAATTACACACACACTATGAAGCCATATAGGCCTATGATTGTTATTTAATTGTTTATTAAACAGTAAATATATATGTAGACAGAGTTTTTTTTACAAAGTTAAGCTATTATTTGATACAGTCATTAGTCTCCCTAGGCAGACGGGTTGCCTCCCACAGTCTGCTCAGCCGATGCTGACGCATTCCAGATCTTACAATGCCTGGTTGGCATTTGACGCATCAGCTAACCACATCATTATGTTATAGCAATCTGGTGCTGATCATAGAGATCCTATTAAATTACTAGAGGGGGGCTATGTGATGAACCCTCAAAGTTCCAGTCTTATTGGAATGAATGGCAGTAGAGGCATGATTCTGATTTTATTTATACAGGACAATAAAAGTAAGGCATGTGATGTATCAGAAATGGTGTAATATAATTATTGTCAACCTAAAATATTCTTATATAATTATAAATACAGTTTATACAGGTTTTATACACATTTTCTGTATAAATAGCCTCTAAAATATATGTAAACAGACCATAAATATCAAACTTTTTTTCTAGGAAAGCTGTGAGTGCAATTATATGATACGATATCAGTACTTGTTGCATTTACAACTTGTCTAAGTCCTTATCATCAACTGATTTCAGCCAGCGTATGGCTGTGGATTGACTGCATTGTTTGAATGGAATGTTGGCATACTGGCAGTTAATTTGAAAATAATTATGGAATCATTCCTCTAAAACTGTCTGGATAGCTAGCTAACAAACATACAGCGCAGATACATTCTTCAAATTCATTATTTTACACAATATCTTAACACAGCACTGCCAAACCATGGTTGACCAACTCCCTGACCAAAATGGCTGACCTTACCATCATATACCATCACCATCACAGAAAGGTTCTTGTCCATTCTAGTATTCTAATCCCTAATTCTAAATGCCCAACTGCACATTGATGATGCTCTGTGAGACAGTCTCTTCTCCACAGAAATATAATTAAAACATGATATATATATATATATATATATATATATATATATATATATATATATATATATACTGTGTGTCATATAACATGTACAGTATCTCTATGTTTTCTCTAAATGACGTCCCCCAGTGTGTGAGCGGCTCCCTGTATGGCCTGGATCAAGGTGGACAGCTGACGGTGTGCTTCTTTCCAGTCGCTGTCCAGTCCAGTTGACGTAGCTCTGGCATACGCATCAGCCAGTCCTGGGAAGGTAGGCTGTCCAGCATTACTGGACGCCCAGATCACATGTCTGGAAGAGGGAGCGCGAGAGGGGGAGAGATAGAGAGCAATGGACAGAAAGAAGGTATGGTGAGTGATGTTAGATGGTCAGAGGAGGGAAGAGAGAGGGAGTAGTCTAAGCGTGCAATGAGGCATTCAATGAAAGGTGCACGAAACATCAAATATGCTAGATGGTCAAAAGTGGATTCTCATCTAGTAGATAGAACATAACATAGTTTCCCAACCTGAATCCATATCGATCAGGGAACGCCACCGGGTCCAGGAAAGCCCTGTCCAGGAGCATCAGTTGGTCATTGATCCTACGTACCTTCAAGGGCCTAAACATGGACAAAGCACTGGTTTAGAATGGTTTAGAGAGAGTGTGTGTGTCTGTGCGTGTATGTGTGTGTGTGTGTGCATGTGTGTGTGTGTGTGTGTGCATGTGTGTGTAAAGAGCTACCACTCACGTCTCGTTAGCCAAGTCTGAATCTCTGATCAGCTTGTCCAGGCTGGCGGCAGCAAAGCGGAAGTTACTCACAGCATCCTTTAATGGCTCTGAAACAGGAGCAGGGACAGGATATTCTATAACAGTGTTTCTCAACCGTATAATATTGCTGACTGGTCCCTGAGATTGTGTGTGTGTGCATGTGTGTGTGTGTGTGTGTGTGTATGTGTGTTTTCTCTAAACAACTTAAACCAGAGGTTCCCAAACTTTCTTGATATTGAAAAAGAATTGCGACCCCACCATGTAAAAAAAGTGATCTAATCAACGGCCAATGTTTACTTTTTTAATTGAGGCTATGTCAGTCTATTACAAATCAGTCTGACAGAACTTTTGACAGTATTTAAATCTGAAGGAAGTATTGTTTGAAGTGACTGAAATGTATCATATAGACACTCACTCTACACACACGTACACATGGATGTTGTATTGTAAATATGTGATAGTGGAGTAGTGGCCTGAGGGAACACACTAAATGTATTGGGTAAAGTGTTATGAAATATAATGTAATGTAATATTTTAAATTGTATATAACTGCCTTAATGTTGCAGGACCCCAGGAAGAGTAGCTGCTGCCAAGGCCTTGGCAGCAGCTAATGGGGATCCTTAATAAATACAAATACAAATACAAAGGTATTGGGAAGTTCAGAATATCATCAGGCAATCATTTTGTATGATCTTCTGTGTAGAAAATAACATCATGATCTTTTCCCCCATTCTGATTGGCTGCCTGGTCTTGACCACTCTGTTCTAATGAGGCTTGTGGGCATTATAGAGGGAAAAGGAAGACATACGTGTTCCTGAGTCTTATCGTTCAGTGATGAGGTCATAATATTTTGTCACTTAAACTGTTTAAAAGATGAAGCCACATTATCAGAAACCGCACTGTTACAGCAGCTAGTGGCTCCCGGGGGGGGTTACTGACTGAATTAGCTGTTTTACAGTGGCTTGCGAAAGTATTCAGGCCTTTTTCCTATTTTGTTGCCTTACAACCTGTAATTAAAATAGATTTTTGGGGGGGTTTGTATCATTTGATTTACACAACATGCCTACCACTTTGAAGATGCAACATATTTTTTCTTGTGAAACAAACAAGAAATAAAACAAAAAACCAGAAAACTTGAGTGTGCATAACTATTCACCCCCCCCCCCAAAGTCAATACTTTGTAGAGCCACCTTTTGCAGCAATTACAGCTGCAAGTCTCTTGGGGTATGTCTCTATAAGCTTGGCACATCTAGCCACTGGGATTTTTGCCCATTCTTCAAGGCAAAACTGCTCCAGCTCCTTCAAGTTGGATGGGTTCTGCTGGTGTACAGCAATCTTTAAGTCATACCACAGATTCTCAATTGGATTGAGGTCTGGCCTTTGACTAGGCCATTCCAAGACATTTAAATGTTTCCCCTTAAACTCCTCAAGTGTTGCTTTAGCAGTATGCTTAGGGTCATTATCCTGCTGGAAGGTGAACCTCTGTTCCAGTCTCAAATCTCTGGAAGACTGAAACAGGTTTCCCTCAAGAATTTCCCTGTATTTAGCACCATCCATCATTCCTTCAATTCTGACCAGTTTCCCAGTCCCTGCCGATGAAAAACATCCCCACAGCATGATGCTGCCACCACCATGCGTCACTGTGGGGATGGTGTTCTCGGGGTGAAGAGAAGTGTTGGGTTTGCACCAGACATAGCGCTTTCCTTGATGGCCAAAAAGCTAAATTTTAGTCTCATCTGACCAGAGTACCTTCTTCCATATGTTTGGGGAGTCTCCCACATGCCTTTTGGGTAACACCAAACGTGTTTGCTTAAGCAATGTCTTTAAGCAATGGCTTTTTTCTGGCCACTCTTCCGTAAAGCCCAGCTCTGTGGAGTGTACGGCCTAAAGTGGTCCTATGGACAGATAATCCAATCTCCACTGTGGAGCTTTGCAGCTCCTTCAGGGTTATCTTTGGTCTCTAGTGGTGTTGCAGACTCTGGGGCCTTTCAGAACAGGTGTATATATACTGAGATTATGTGACACTTAGATTGCACACAGGTGGACTTTATTTAACTAATTATGTGACTTCTGAAGGTAATTAGTTGCACCAGATCTTATTTAGGGGCTTCATAGCAAAGGGGTGAATACATATGCACGCACCACTTTTCCGTTATTTATTTTTTAGAATTCTTTGAAACAAGTTATTTTTTTCATTTCACTTCACCAATTTGGACTATTTTGTATATGTCCATTAAATGAAATCCAAATAAAAATCTATTTAAATTACAGGTTGTAATGCAACAAAATAGGAAAAACGCCAAAGGGGATGAATACTTTTGCAAGGCACTGTAGCTGTTTAGCCACAAACATAGCATCAGCTACTGCCTCCATTTATCTATCCACCCACCCCTCTACCCTTCCATACATTCTACCCCTTCCACACCATCACCACACCCATCCATAAGCACACCCACCCCACAACCCGTCCATCACCTTTGCTAACCCCATCACACCACACCCACTACCTTCCATACCTTTACCCCATCTCACTCACCACCCACCCACTACCCTTCCATTACTTTCTACCCATCATCCCTCATCCACCCACCCCACTACCCTTCCATCACCTTTCTACCCCATCTCCATCCATCCACCCACCCCACTACCCTTCCATTACCTTTCTACCCCATCTCCATCCCTCCATCCACCCCCACTACCCTTCCATTACCTTTCTACCCCATCTCCATCCCTCCATCCACCCTTTCACCCCTACTCCTTCGCTATCACCCATCCCTCTGTGTGTGTGCTAGTGACTGTGACCCACTTATAGAGATGCTGTGTGCTGCCAGTCCATCAGTGTACAGCTCCAGGGCTTTATTGAGGTATCCCTCCAGAGTCTCTGCATAGTCACTGCAGTTGAACGGCAACAGAAGGCTATCAGCCAATCGCATCAGGACGTTCCCTGCCGTCCTGGCAACCATCTGGTGACTGGTGAACCATAGGGAAGAAGAGAGAGGAGAGAAGGAGAGGAGAGGAGAGAGAGGACCGAGAGGAGGAGAGACGAGAGGAGAGAGGAGAGCGAGAGGAGAGATGGAGGAGACGGAGGAGAGAGAGAGAGAGAGAGAGAGGAGGAGAGAGAGAGAGAGAGAGAGAGAGAGAGAGAGAGAGAGAGAGAGAGAGACGTTAGGGTAGGAAATATTCAGTAAAGAGAGTTCATGAGAGGTGATATCAGGGTAAAGATATTGACAGGAAAGGGAGAGAGAGACCAAGTAGAAAGACAATAGAGATACATATATATACAGCTCTGGAAAATATTAAGAGACCACTGCAAATATTTCTTAAATCAGCATTTGTACATGTATGACAGCCATTCCATTCCAGTGTCTGTTGAATTCCAACACAGGCACACCTCATTCTACTGAATTAGGTACTGATTAGGTGATCACCTGAACCAAATCTTATTTAACGAGGAAAAGTATAAAAAACCCTGCTGTGGTCATCACTATCCTCTTGCAATAGGACCAGCTGGATGGCAAAAAACAGTGCTAATAGTACCTCAAAAGTAATATTAATCAAAAAATAACTATTGACCATGCCAAAAGAGTTGAAAAGGAAAGTTTTGAGTGAGGAAAATAAGGGTTCAATTCTGCCTTTACTGGCAGAGGGATACAGTGAGCGTCAGGTTGCTTCCATCCTTAAAATGTCAAAGACGGCGGTTCATAAGAACAAGGTCAAGCAGCAGACATTGGGGACAACAAAGCTACATACCGGCAGAGGGCGAAAATGACTCTCTACTGACCGGGATGCCAAATCATTCAAATGTCACTCAACAACCGTAGGATGACATCAAGTGACTTACAAAAAGAATGGCAAATGGCAGATGGGGTGAAGTGCACGGCGAGGACGGTTCGAAACAGGCTCCTAGGGGCAGGGCTGAAGTCGTGCAAAGCTAGAAAAAAACCTTCATCAATGAGAAGCAAAGAAGAGCCAGGCTGAGGTTTTTGCAAAAGACCATAAGGATTGGACTGTAGAGGACTGGAGTAAGGTCATCTTCTCTGATGAGTCCAATTTTCAGCTTTGCCCAACACCTGGTCGTCTAATAGGCAGATTTGTCTTTGTGAAGGACGCATGAATCAAGCCACGTACAAGGTTGTCCTGGAAGAAAACTTGCTTCCTTTTGCTCTGACATTGTTCCCCAACTCGGAGGATTGGTTTTTCCAGCAGGACAATGCGCCATTCCACACAGCCAGGTCAATCATGGTGTGGATGGAGGACCACCAGATCAAGACCCTGTCATGGCCAGCCCAATCTCCAGACCTGAACCCCATTGAAAACATCTGGAATGTGATCAAGAGGAAGATGGATGGTCACAAGCCATCAAACAAAGCCGAGCTGCTTGAATTTCTGCACCAAGAGTGGCAACATCAATGTGAAAGACTGGTGGAGAGCATGCCAAGACGCATGAAATCTGTGATTGAAAATCTAAGTTAAAACATTGGTATTGTGTTGTTTAAAAAATGAACATGAACTTATTTTCTTTGCATTCTTCGAGATCTGACAACACTGCATTTTTTTTGTTATTTTGACCAGTTGTCATTTTCTGCAAATAAATGCTCTAAATGACAATATTTTTATTTGGAATTTGGAAGAAATGTTGTCAGTAGTTTATATAATAAAACAAAAATGTTATTTTTTATCCAAACACAAACCTATAAATAGTAAAACCAGAGAAACTGATCATTTTGCAGTGGTCTCTTATTTTTTTCCAGAGCTGTATATATATATATATAGAGAGAGAGAGAGCGATACTGAACTCATAAGGCCAACAGCAGTTGGTTTGTCTTGACGTTCCTCCTGTAGCCCCCTGGGCCTTATCCCCCTGCTCACCTGGGTCGATGAACTTGGAGGAATAGTCAAAGGTGTCGTATGCAGTGTGGTACGCTGGGTAGATTCTAGCTCTTGTTTTGGTCTGCATGAAAACAGCATGATCATGGGACGTGACTTAGAGGACTAATTGATCAATTGTTAAGTCAGTGAAATGACTCATTGTGTGTGTGTGTGTGTGTGTGTGTGTGTGTGTGTGTGTGTGTGTGTGTGTGTGTGTGTGTGTGTGTGTGTGTGTCTCATGTCTTACTCTGTCGTAGGTATAGGAGATATCCATGGAGGTGATTCCAAGGAAGTGGATGAAGGCAGCGTAATCACTTCCTGCCCCGGTCAGAAAACCCACACTGTGAACAAAAACAAAAAAAATAAAACATCAACCAATCAAATATCTGCTATGACTGCCAATTAACTGAAGAGCCAATTAAAATCCCTAAAATCAGTCTCATGATGCGAGGCATTTCACTGACATGTCTTAAATAGTCCTCTATGTCTCGTCACATGACCCTACAGTTTCATGCAAAGAGGAGGTAGGCTACTCACTTGGGGATGACTCCGTAAGTGGGGCTAGTACGGTTGAAGTAGCGGATCCAGTTGTCGTAGACGGATGTTGAGTCTGATCCAGGTGTCTTCACCTGTAGAAAAGCAAACAAACATATTTTCATACTTTTCACACCATTTTTGTTTGCTTCTTTTTGGAAAAAGGAAATAAAGATAGATTGATAAACTGTCAAATGTTTTGGCACCACTGTAAGAGTCAGATATTTTTAACCATCCACTGTTGGTTTGACAAACGATGAAAGGAGTAGGAATACCCACACACTGTTGTACGCTTATATTTTTCTGCAACACTTTCTTACCAAGTTTATGTGAGCATACAACAACAATGGGAGGTATGTTTTACTACAGACGGCATCGAGAAGAGGCCTCACCTGTTTGGAGGCCTTGAGGATGACGCTCTGAGCAGAGGGGGACCCCGATGCCCTTAGAGTAGCGTTAGCTGGAGCAGGGGATGACTGGAGGTCAGTGTTTCAGACAGGGCTGGGTCAAACGCAATACTTCCACTACACATAGAGAAGGTTTCCTGGACACAGATTCTCCATTTTAAAGTGCTTTTTAGTTCAGCACTTGGCTTGTGTCCAGGAAACCAGCACTTATTAACTGATAACTATGTGTTACTGTAAATAGTTGATCTAGGATCAGCTTTGCCTTTTAGATCATAATGAATAATATCACAGATCCTAGATCAGCACTGATTTAGGATCTGATCAACACACTGATTTGTGGCGACGGGCCCTGATTGTTGGGAGTAAAATACCAGCAGTTTAGCATGCTACCTCCATCATCACTCTTACCGAATACAGATATGTCCACGTTGATGTAGGCGACAGAACGTTCGCTCAGCCTGCTGTAGTACTCCTGGGGAGGAGAGGGTTGTGTTATCTTATCTCTATCAGAACACCATGATGTGCATCTCTTCCTTCTAGGGAACCTTTCCTTGACCCTGTGTTGCTGCTTGGCTTTTAGAGGGTGAAGGTCGGGTTACTGTAAAACACTTTGTGACAACAGATTATGTAAATAGGGCTTTATAAAATAAAGTTTTATTGATTTAGATACTTTTTATTCACCTCGGTGTACTCTGTGGATCCGATCAGACCAAACTCCTCGGCTCCCCAGCTCCCAAAGATGATGGACCTCCGTGGCCTCCATTTCCCTGACATACAGGCGGTAGTCAGACTTGAAATTCCCATGTTCACTGTTTACTGCTCCCAAAAACAGTGACTGGGTATCATTTTTGTCAGTTCAGTAGTTCCTCTTTTCTGTCCAACTCCTGAGCCCAGTTAGATGTGGGTAAAACCCCTCTCCTTCCTAACCCCCCATACCATACTCACCCTGCTTGAACATCCTATTCCTCCTAAAACCACCTCACCTCCCTAACCCAGGTCTAACTCCCTAACCCAGGTCTAACTCCCTAACCCAGGCCTAACTCCCTAACCCAGGTCTAACTCCCTAACCCAGGTCTAACTCCCTAACCCAGGCCTAACTCCCTAACCCAGGTCTAACTCCCTAACCCAGGTCTAACTCCCTAACCCAGGTCTAACTCCCTAACCCAGGTCTAACTCCCTAACCCAGGTCTAACTCCCTAACCCAGGTCTAACTCTCTAACTCAGGTCTAACTCCCTAACCCAGGTCTAACTGTGATACTCACCCTGCTTGACCATCCGTCCCAGCACCCGGGTCACCTCCAGCATCACGGAGGTTCCACTGCTGGGGTCGATGGCCCCGTGCACCCAACTGTCTCTGTGGTTACCGTAGATCACATACCTGTCTATGGGACAAAGACTTGAATTAGATTAGAGAAACCGTCAAGCTGGTCTGCTTTAAAATGTGTGTGTGTGTGTGATTCTTCACTGTCTGTGTTTTTGTATATTAACTGTTTTGTCTGCATAATGCACAATACATATGTCCTCATATTGCTTGACTCGATGCTTGACTCACGAGGTAACTAAGTGTGGTTCGGTAGCTAGAGGTGAATCCTTCTCACCTGGCTCAACACTGCCTCGAATCACCCCCATCACATTGGCAGAATTCTTCAGCTCCTCACGGTTATAGATGTCCAGTTTTACATCGCTGGAACAGTGACACACATTTTTTTTGTTTTGTTGACATACATACTGCTAAACTTGATATTGTGGTACTTTATAGAGATTTCCCAATTCCCACCTGTTGTTGAAGGTGGATGTTGGTTTGAATCCTGGTCCCCCCAAATTATACGTGCACTTGAATGCTCCCTGCCATTCGGATGGAGCGGCCTCTCCTCCCAGCGCACTGCAGAGATGACCAATCAAATACGGCAGGCAGGATTCAGAACCAATCACATTGGGCGGACCCCTCCTGGACACCAATCAGCTCTCCACAAAAGTTAATGATGTCACAATGGACCAACGGTCAACCCCACTCACCAGATCAAGGCATAGGCATCCTCAAACCCGATTGGTTGAGTCGGGATTGGCGGGATCCCGGTGATATTCTTAGCTGGTATTCTGTATGTGTCATCTGCAGATGGAAATGTCGGAAGTGGGAACTGTGAAAACGCCTTGGAAAGTCTGAGTTACAGAGATGATCAATGTACTTCTGATGGCGTTCACATACATGTGAATACGGTCAATGATGGCCAATATTTGTAGCCTCTACAGCAATCAAATTGTAACCTATTTTAGCTTCAATCTCGACAATTCTGTAACTATATAGTCAGGGGTTTACTACCTTTCGATTCCAACTGTCACTATAATGTTAAAGGTCAAAAGGTCATTTAACAGGAAGTTTAGCAGATAGAGTATCTCTTTAATGGACTGAAATGTGTGCTAACTGATTCAAAATGGCTGTTAGTCAAGATCATTTTGAGATGATGATATCTCATTTTGAGGGTCATAGGTCCTACCTTCTTATAACAAGTCAATTATTTACCACCACATCATCATAATGCATAACGGGTTACCTTTAGCGGCCAGGTAGGGTGTCAGCATGTCTCCATAGTGGGTGTTGAAGGAGCCCCTCTCCACCCCTGAGGGGGGCATGTACCAGGAATAGGGGTACGTCTCGTTGGTGTCGGACATCTTGCCATCGTTGATGTCCCACGGGTCGGTGTAGACCAGCACCCCGATCACACCGTACGGAGCTGCATTGATGGCCTGGAGAAGGCATGACACGACAGTCAAAGTGTTAATGTTAGTCTTGGTCTGCATCTGAAATGACACCCTATTCCCAATATAGTGCACTACTTTTAAACATTCCCAGAACATTAGCTAAGTTTCTCATTAAGTTCTAGTTAGAGTTTTATCTAACATTAGGATGATAACAGCCAAAAACATTCAGAGAATGTTTTTGATCAAATCAATTTATTTATCAAAAATGTTTTAGGTTAAATATCCTTGGAATTTTTTCCTAACATTCACTAAAATGTTGTGCTCAACATCTGTAACAACCACTACAGAACATGTTTGTATAACACATTTGCCTGATGTTGTAATAACGTTCTGATAACAGATTTAATCTGTTAATTAAAGGTTCCCAGAACGCTTCATTAGGTTGTGGGAACAGTCTGGTGGGAACATTGTGGGGACATCACAAAATATATGTTCCCAAAACAACATAAAAACTGTCCAGTTGTGCGGATGATTCTACTATGATTCTTTTAGGGTGCAAAAAACATTCACCTGATGTTCGTTCCCAGAACACATTTTGTCAGTCTTTCAGTGGTTTAATACAAACATTCTATAATCATCACCACGAATGGACAGTTTTTGTGTTATGAGAACATTTGCCACGACCAAATACATTTTCTGGGAACCTTCACAGAACCAATTTTGGTTTGCTGGGCAGAGTGCCATTTTGGACGCATGGTGTTAGTATGCCCTGTTCCAATACTTTGAAAATCCTTCAGAAAGTATTCACACCCGTTGACTTTTTCCACATTTTGTTGTGTAACAAAGTGGGATTAAAATTGATTTAATAGTCATTTTTTTGTCAACGATCTAAACAAAATACTCTGTAATGTCAAAGTGGAAGAAGAATTCTAACATTTAAAAAAACTAAAAAACAAGAAAAATACACTAATATACAATATCTTGATTAAATAATTATCAAAACCCCTGAGTCAATACATGTTAGAATCACCTTTGGCAGCGATTACAGCTGTGAGTGTTTCTGGGTAAGTCTCTAAGAGCTTTGCACACCTGGATTGTACAATATTTGTACATTATTTTTTTTCAAAATTCTTCAAGCTTTGTCAAGTTGTTTGTGGATCATTGCTAGACAGCCATTTTCATGTCTTGCCATAGGTTTTCAAGCCGATTTAAGTCAAAACTGTAACTAGGCCACTCAGGAACATTCAATGTCGTCTTGGTAAGCAACTCCAGTGTATATTTGGCCTTGTGTTTCGGGTTATTGTCCTGCTGGAAGGTGAATTTGTATTCCAGTGTCTGTTGGAAAGCAGACTGAACCATGTTTTCCTCTAGGATTTTGCCTGTGCTTAGCTCTACTTGATTATTTTTATCCTAAAAAACTCCCTAGTCCTTGCCGATGACAAGCATAACCTTAACATAATGCAGCCACCACCATGCTTGAAAATATGGAGAGTGGTACTCAGTGATGTGTTGTGTTGGATTTGCCCCAAACATAACGCTTTGTAATCAGGACATAAAATTAATTAATTTAGCAACACATTTTTGCTGTTTACTTTAGTGCCTTATTGCAAACAGGATGCATATTTTGGAATATTTGTATTCTATACAAGCTTCCTTCTTTTCACTCTGTCAATTAGGTTAGTATTGTGGAGTAACTACAATGTTGTTGATCCATCCTCCGTTTTTTTCTATCACAGCCATTAAACTCTGTAACTGTTTTAAAGTCACCATTGGTCTCATGGTGAAATCCCTGAGCGGTTTCCTTCCTCTCCGGCAACTGAATTAGGAAGGACGTCTGTGTCTTTGTAGTGACTGGGTGTATTGATACACCATCCAAAGTGTAATTAATAACTTCACCATGCTCAAAGGAATATTCAATGTCTGCTTTTGGAAAAACCTCCTTGGTCTTTGTGGTTGAATCTGTGTTTGAAATTCCCAGCTCGACTGAGGGACCATACAGATAATTGTATGTTTGGTGTACAGAGATGAGGTAGTCATTCAAAAATCATGTTAAACACTATTATTGTACACAGAGTGAGTCAATGCAACTTATGTGACTTGTTAAGCACATTTTTACTCCTGAACTTATTTAGGCTTGCCATAACAAAGGGGTTGAATAGTTATTCACCCAAGACATTTCAGCTTTTCATTTTTTATTAATTAGATTTTTTTTTTATATATATATATATATATTTATTTAGACTTTGACATTATGGGGTATTGTGTGTAGGCTAGTGACAGAAAATCTAAATTTAATCCATTTTAAATTCAGGCTGTAACACAACAAAATGTGGAATAAGTCAAGGGGTATGAATACTTTCTGAAGGCACTGTATGTGAACCATTTCTTACAGGATATTTCGACCGTTTTTTGTACGTGTCAAATTACAGTAGGCTACAAGCTATGTAAAGTACCATATTTACAATAGGAGTCTGAATATTTACCCTAGGAATCTGAATATTTACTATAGGAATCTGAATATTTACCCTAGGAGTCTGAATATTTACCCTAGGAGTCTAAATATTTACCCTAGGAGTCTAAATATTTACCCTAGGATTTCTGAACAACCAAACGTCATCCAAAAAAAATAAAATGAAATGGCATTTGCAGCCAATGAAATGGGCTCACCTTCCCTGCTCTCCCCTCCCCTCCATATCTGGTGATAGCGATGGTCCCTGTCAGGTCCAGGGTCTGGTTGAGTAGGAGGTAGTCACTGGGCTTCCCTTGGTTGGCGTAGACCAGTCTTCCCTGAACACACACACACACACACACACACACACACACACACACACACACACACAGAGACACAATCATTGAACCACAATCTACCTCCATCTAAAACTAAGACTGATATCAATTGACTGTAGGAGATATCAAACTGATATCCGAGTGATCAGTAGATTGTAGTAGATATCAGTCTGGTATCAGTAGACAATACCAGGAGATAGACACCACAGGCTTAACATATTATTGCTTTATTATTGACTATCATCATTACAGTTTATCACTTTGGTTTTCACAAGTACTGTATGTGGTGAATGTTCTAAACTCTGAGTACAAAACTCCAAACTGGTACGACTTGTAACGGTCTAACATTCAAAACCTTTCATCGTGCATTCATTTTGTTTGTAGACATCTTTCACCACACAACCATTGATCCAAAATATAAGTTTACTATGAAATATAATAACAACCAGTTAATCCAATAGCAAAACACTTGAGATACATGTTTTCAAAATTGCCCTTTGAATGCACAGTACAGTGCTGTATATTAGAGTACATTACACTGTTTTCACATTAGGCAATACACTAGCACTACCCATTAAAATCGACTGAACATCACATTTCCATAATTTCTATCCCATGTGTGATCAAAGTTGTGATCATTGAAGACGTCTTTCACAATCATTGATGCAAAAAATGCATGTATTGTTCAGATATAATTACAACATAGGTGTACTGTAATCAAATGAAACAAATGAAATGAATAAAAGAAACATAATGTTTAGCAGGCACTAGTTTGCATCAAGCCATACTTGAGAAAATAGCACCAAAGCGATTGAAACAATGATGTATATAAACCCTGGATTGCCGACGCCATGAATTGGCTGTTGAGGGGCTTTGAAGCCACTGGTCGGCCATATTGTAACTCCCCAGTAGCAGCAGTCCTCCATAGGAATTAATGGAATTCTACAGTATTTCAATTAAATGTTTCAAGGACAAAATTACATGTATTTAAGTATTTTTGTTGTTGTAGTGGGGACAGTAAACATTAGTACTGTAAACAAAAAAAACTTTCAGGAAACTGTTTTTATATATTTTTTATAATTAGCTCACATAATATATTTTAAAAGTATGCATTAAGATGTCTGTAATAGACTAAAAAAAGTGTCAAACAAGAGCGTAGACGTTAATAAATGCATTTCTAGAGCTTTCAATATATTTTTTACAATGGAGGAGGAGTACCCAAGATGGCTGGGCGGTGACTTCAATACAGCGCCCCCTGTCAGTCATCCAGGGTTTATACACGTCATTGGATTTAAAAATAAATAAATAAAAAGTATTGTAGTGGTCCTGTACGTGGCTCAGTTCATAAGAGCATGGCGCTAGCAGCACCAGAGTTGTGGGTTCGATTCCCACTGGGGTCACATACCAGAATGTGTGGACTGATGTCACTTTGGATAAAAGTATCTGCTACGTAAATGGCATATATTACAGTACTGTATTGGCCAATGCAATTTCACTAGAGCAGTGTGAACGCCCCAAAGTCTGTTGTAAAATCTATAGGTTTACCAAACGTTTAACTGATCATCAGTTAAGAGTAGTCGGATTATGTAAATGTAAAAAATATGTTTTAACAAAAAATAAAGAGAATCGTATCAAAAGTAATGTGAAAGGAAATTACTTTATATGAACATGTGTTGCAATGAACGTATTTCTAGATTAAACACTGATTACGTTTTGTGAAAAAGTGACTGTACTTAGTCAATTGAAAATGTGCTCAGAGTTTTGAAACAACTGCCTTTCTGATGATCTATTTTGAGTTTTGTAATAAAAGATTTGTGAAAATGTACCACAAAGCGATAAAAAAAAGTATAATGTTATCTGATGAGACACATCATAAAACATCTTCCCTTTTGACCTTGAGTGGATTATCTAAAATCTTTATAAGAATTTAACAACAGCCTCAAAGGTCGTGCCTTGACGATGCAGTGGGTGTCACAGAAAGGCAACATTTATGACATGAGGTCAATAAAACTGGTTAACCAATTACCTCAGTACAAAGAGAGATCAAAGAGAGACAGCTGATGTTCTGAAAGAGCTGCAAAATCTGGACCCCTACAAATCATCTGGGCTAGACAATCTGGACCCTTTCTTTCTAAAACTAGCCGCCGAAATTGTCGCAACCCCTATTACTAGCCTGTTCAACCTCTCTTTCGTAACGTCTGAGATCCCCAGAGATTGGAAAGCTGCCGCGGTCATCCCCCTCTTCAAAGGGGGTGACACTCTAGATCCAAACTGTTACAGACCTATATCCATCCTGCCATGCCTTTCAAAAGTTTTTGAAAGCCAAGTTAACAAACAGATCACCGACCATTTCGAATCCCACCGTACCTTCTCCACTATGCAATCCGGTTTCCGAGCTGGTCATGGGTGCACTTCAGCCACGCTCAAGGTCCTAAACGATATTATAACCGCGATCGATAATAGACAGTACTGTGCAGCCGTCTTCATCGACCTGGCCAACGCTTTCGACTCTGTCAACCACCGCATTCTTATTGGCCTTGGTTTCTCAAATGACTGCCTCGCCTGGTTCACCAACTACTTCTCAGATAGAGTTCAGTGTGTCAAATCGGAGGGCCTGTTGTCTGGACCTATGGCAGTCTCTATGGGGGTGCCACAGGGTTCAATTCTCGGGCCGACTCTTTTCTCTGTGTATATCAATGATGTCGCTCTTGCTGCTGGTGACTCTCAGATCCACCTCTACACAGACGACACCATTTTGTATACATCTGGCCCTTCATTGGACACTGTGTTAACAAACCTCCAAACGAGCTTCAATGCCATACAACACTCCTTTAGTAGCCTCCAACTGCTCTTAAACACTAGTAAAACTAAATGCATGCTCTTCAATCGAACGCTGCTGGCACCCGCCCACCCGACTAGAATCACTACTCTCGACGGGTCTGACCTAGAGTATGTGGACAACTACAAATACCCAGGTGTCTGGTTAGACTGTAAACTCTCCTTCCAGACTCACATTAAGAATCTCCAATCCAAAGTTAAATCTAGAATCGGCTTCCTATTTCACAACAAAGCCTCCTTCACTCATGCTGCCAAACATGCCCTCGTAAAACTGACTATCCTACCGATCCTTGACTTCGGCGATGTCATTTACAAAATAGCCTCCAACACTCTACTCAGCAAATTGGATGTAGTCTATCACAGTGCCATCCGTTTTGTCACCAAAGCCCCGTATACTACCCACCACTGTGACCTGTACGCTCTTGTTGGCTGGTCCTCACTACATATTTGTCGCCAAACCCACTGGCTCCAGGCCATCTATAAATCACTGCTAGGCAAATCCCCGCCTTATCTTAGCTCATTGGTCACCATAGCAACACCCACCCGTAGTATGCGCTCCAGCAGGTATATCTCACTGGTCATCCCCAAAGCCAACACCTCCTTTGGCCGCCATTCCTTCCAGTTCTCTGCTGCCAATGACTGGAACGAATTGCAAAAATCTCTGAAGCTGGAGACTCTTATCTCCCTCACTAACTTTAAGCATCAGTTGTCAGAGCACCTTACCGATCACTGCACCTGTATACAGCTCATCTGAAATTAGCCCACCCAACTACCTCATCCCCATATTGTTATTGTTATTTATTTTGCTCATTTGCACCCCAGTATCTCTATTTGCACATCATCTCTTGCACATCTATCATTCCAGTGTTAAAACTAATTTTGCACTATGGCCTATTTATTGCCTTACCTCCATAACTTGCTACATTTGAACACACTGTATATATATTTTCTGTTGTATTTTTGACTTTATGTTTTTTTACCCCATATGTAACTCTGTGTTGTTGTTTTTATCGCACTGCTTTGCTTTATCTTGGCCAGGTCGCAGTTGTAAATGAGAACTTGTTCTCAACTGGCTTACCTGGTTAAATAAAGGTGAAATAAATAAAAAATCATGAAAGACACCTTTCTTTCCATCTGTCCTGTCCGTCCACCCACATATTGTCTATACACAGACACGGTATCTTTCTAAATAACTAGACTACACAGAGTGCCCAGTGAGCTGAATGACCCAGAATAGGTCATAACTAAACTACACAGAGTGCCCAGTGAGCTGAATGACCCAGAATAGGTCATAACTAAACTACACAGAGTGCCCAGTGAGCTGAATGACCCAGAATAGGTCATAACTAAACTACACAGAGTGCCCAGTGAGCTGAATGACCCAGAATAGGTCATAACTAAACTACACAGAGTGCCCAGTGTGCTGAATGACCCAGAATAGGTCATTTAACTGATAGACTGTGGTGAAGATAACATAAAGAACATGACCATCCTTGGATCTTGGATGTGGTTCAGAAAGTCACCTTTGGGTGTCCTGCAGGGGGCGTCGGCTGCATAGGCCCAGGATCCTCCTGGTCTGTCTGTCTGTTTGTCTGTCTGTGTGTTGGTGGGTAAAGGCCTACCTTTGGGTGTCCTGCAGGGGGCGTCGGCTGCATAGGCCCAGGATCCTCCTGGTCTGTCTGTCTGTTTGTCTGTCTGTGTGTTGGTGGGTAAAGGCCTACCTTTGGGTGTCCTGCAGGGGGCGTCGGCTGCATAGGCCCAGGATCCTCCTGGTCTGTCTGTCTGTTTGTCTGTCTGTGTGTTGGTGGGTAAAGGCCTACCTTTGGGTGTCCTGCAGGGGGCGTCGGCTGCATAGGCCCAGGATCCTCCTGGTCTGTCTGTCTGTTTGTCTGTCTGTGTGTTGGTGGGTAAAGGCCTACCTTTGGGTGTCCGGCGGGGGCATAGGCTGCATAGGGCTGAACCACCTCAGGATCCTCCTGGTCTGGACTGTATGCCTTCTCCTTCTCTCTGGCAGTGTACAGGACAGCATCAGAGGGGCTCACTGCAACACACACACACACAGTAGTAAGAAAATGATGATTATGCTGCAGAATCATATCCATAGAAATAACAACAACCAAAGACATGTCACAAGGAGTACGACACATAATACACAGCATAACATGGACCACTTAACCTCCTAATGCTACACAACACCAAGCTTGGTTTACCTCCTAATGTCACACAACACCAAGCAGAAGAACAACTACTAGCAAGTATAACATGCGACTTTTACATGAGTGCCTGGCTGGGTCAAAAGCAGTGCACTATTTAGTATAGGCCAGGGTTAGAGTTTAGGACGCACCCTAAGCCCATGACTCACCCACGGTGACCTTGTTGGGGGTGTTGGGGTCTGGGAAGGACAGGTAGACCTTGTACTCCTCCCTCCAGGCCTGGTCCAGACCTGTGTCTGGGTCCTGCCACCTCTTCAACATGTACTGAACAGTCTTCTCATCCCCTGTCGAGGTCGCCATGTGGGGCACTTTAGTCAGTTCCCTGGAGAGACACATGGGGACGAGGGGGCGATCATGAGAGAGATGCTCGCTGAGGACGTTTGACGTGTGTGTGTGTGTGTGTGTGTGTGTGTGTGTGTGTGTGTGTAAGGAAATCTAAAGAGACTGGTACAGTATCCAGCAGCATGTGATCTGATTGATCAATTGATTGATTGATATCCAGCATCTGACCTGAGGTTCTCCTGTATCGCAATGTTGTCCACCTCTGCGATAAACTTCTGGATGAGAGCCTCGTCTACATCCTGGGTCACGTCCATTACCCAGCCAGGGGTGGTGGAGCCCTTCTGGATGCCGAAGTGCCCCAACAGGATGCCTGCAGTCAGCACCAGAGCTGCTCCGAGACTACCCAGCAGCACCTTCTTCAGCATGGTCCTCCTGGTCCTCTTCCTGGAGATCTACTCTGGAACACTAGAACCAGGTCTCTAACACTCTAGAACTAGAACCAGGTATCTAACACTCTAGAACTAGAACCAGGTCTCTAACACTCTAGAACTAGAACCAGGTCTCTAACATTCTAGAACTAGAACCAGGTCTCTAACACTCTAGAACTAGAACCAGGTCTCTAACACTCTAGAACTAGAACCAGGTCTCTAACATTCTAGAACTAGAACCAGGTCTCTAACACTCTAGAATTAAGTCTCTGACTAACGGTTGACATACACAAGCTTCCCCTGAACACACAAACACAGATGAAGTCTATTCCAGAGTTCCAGAGAAGAGCCTTTTGGTTGGTTACTGGTTGAAGTAAGTCTTTTTTTTCTTCTGATGAGCTCCTGAACACTCGGAGGCAGGGTGAAAGACAATCGTGTGTCCAAATAGAATGTCCAGCAGGATATGTGGTTCACTGTCTGCATAATACGCCCTTTATGGCCCTCCCCAATTCCCACTATAAAGTTTAATGATTACTTTTTTTGCAGAGGTGATGGACTTTGAAACACACACACACACACACACACACACACACACACACACACACACACACACACACACACACACACACACACACACACACTCTTGTTCAATGTTGCACATTGTCCAACCTCTTGAGAAGCTTCCCAAATATTGTGCTCAGGTCAGGTAGTGCTGTTGGACTGGTAGGCTATGCATGGTACTTGTAAAACACTGAAATTACACTTTTATTAATAAACTTGGCTATCTGGCGCACCTTAGTGGTCAATAGTATGCACTACGGGTCAAAACCAAAACAGAGCATGGTTTAATTTGACTTCCTGTATTGATATGAGCCCTTTGCAAATAATGCTTTGTTATGGATCCAATCATTATCTGACTTATTTCAAGGCTTCTCTTAACATGTTCAGTGTTTAAATGGTGGGGCATTCATAGCATGAGACGGGCTGTCATTCAGATTGTCCCAGAATGCAAATCTGTACAGGTCCGTTTAATTTTCACTTTCACAATCAAGAGGCGGACAGATAACCTGACAGTAAGTACAGTAATGTCTTATAATGTATCTACAAGTTGACTGTTCGATGTTTAAATTGTTTAAATGTATGGTTCGCTATATCCTAGCTAGCCTAATGATGTGGATGAATAGGCTAATGCAAGTTTTTGTTTAATAAATAGCGCAGGTTTTGAATCTCGAGCTGAAATCGAAAGTAACAGTAACTATTAAATGTGCAATGCCATGAGCCACGCGTTTCTCCTGAATGTGTTGTACAGCTTTCAAATGTGCATTATTGGGCTATTCACTTCAATATAAATGTTACAGATTGATTGATACATGATTTACTGTGCTACTGGTTGATACAACGATTAATACTGTAACAATGCTCCACCTCCACCATGCTCCACCATTCGGTTTGCTACAATGTAACCTGCCATCATTTCTTCCATCTGTAGGAAACTGCTGACTTCGCGCTTTTTCTCAGGCGTGAGGATGACGACGTTAACTGTCACCGTCCTGGTGCTCCTGCTTGTACCCTTTGCCCCATCTTTGGCGGCACAGCTTCCAGGAGGCCATGATACCGAGAACAAGTCTTCCTTGCCTCCACCTCCCGTCGCCACTAATGGCCAACCTTTCCCCTGGGTCAGAATGAGGCTTCCTGAAACTGTGTCTCCAATCCACTATGACCTCCTCGTCCACCCTAACCTGACCAGCCTAGACTTCACAGGAGCTGTGCAGATTCAACTCCAGGTCTTCGAGGACACCTCTACCATCATCCTCCACAGCAAGGAACTCCAGATTGCCAAAGCTGAGCTCTTGGCACCGGAAGGTCCAGGGTCACTGCCAATGTATGTGCTGTATGATCGGGTCCCATCTTTTTTCTACAATGGGTTGTCATCAAAGTTGGGGTCAATTACATTTAAATGCCAGTCAATTCAGGACGTACACTGAAATTCTAATTATCTTCAATGCTTTTCAAAGAGGACATTTTGGAATTTAAATTGGAATATGGTTGACTTTCTGAATTGACTGGAATTCAAATGGACTTGACCCCAACCCTGGTTGTCATGCATATTTGTATTGATGCTGATATCTTTATCTGTATTGATGGTAAATGGATTGATTGTCTGTGCTTCTATGTAGCTACAACACCAAGAGAAATTCCTAGTAACGTTTGTTGCATGGCGATAAAGTGATCTGATTCCGATTCTTCAAGGCCTCTGCGGGTGTTGGAGTACCCAGCTTTCCACCAGCTGGCTCTGGTGTCTGATGTGCTGCTGGTCAGAGGTGGGGTGTACAAGGTTCGTCTGGAGTTCTCTGCCAACCTGTCCGACAGTTTCCACGGTTTCTACAAGAGCTCCTATCGCACGACCAAAGGAGAGGTCAGGTAAGACTACGAACCATCAGGGTTGAGGTAGCTTAGTGGTTAAGAGCGTTGTACCAGTAACCGAAAGGTCGCTGGTTCTAATCCCCGAGCCGACTAGGTGAAAAATCTGTCGATGTGCCCTTGAGCAAGGCACTTAACCCTAATTGCTCCTGTAAGTCGCTCTGGATAAGAGCGTCTGCTAAATGACATAAAATAAATAAAATAAAAAAATTGACCCTGGGTAGTATAGGTTGTCACCTAGAGCCCTGAAAACGCATGTCAATCATTCTACAGTGCATTCCAACAGAGCATGTAGTGAAAGGGACCAACCACATATAGTGATCTAATTGTCCTGTATTTGGAGACGATCACTAAGAGGCAGCGATGTAGTCAAGTCACTAAACCTCGAGTCCCAAGTCCTTGGTGTACGAGTCACGAATCAAGTCACGAGTCCCATGGTAGTGCCAAAAGTAGCTGCCCAACCATTTTTTAAGCTACATTTCATTCCAGTGTTGCATATTTGTAAGGCTAAATAGATAATACAGCTACTGTATCTAACATTTGCTGCTGTAGCTAGAATGATGAATTATGCAAAAGATAGAGACAGTCACAACTGGTCGAGTCACGAGTCAGGAAAATCATGACTTGTGTCCGAGTCAAGTCCGAGTTCTTGACTCGAGTACTACAACACTGCTAAAAGGTGTGCACTATAATGAATTACTCAATCATAAGCTTTGCATTGCTTTTCCCTAGACCTACTGTATATCTAAATTGTAAACAACATGTTCATTTCTGCCTCTGTTTTGTTAGGTTTATGGCTTCCACTCAGTTTGAAGCGACCAGTGCCCGAGCAGCCTTCCCGTGTTTCGATGAGCCGGCGTTCAAAGCCAACTTCACGATCCAGATACGTCGGGAGCCACGCCACATCGCCCTCTCCAACATGCCCAAGGTACCCTGGGAAACGCCACGGGCTGCATCTCAATAGTGTCTTTCTCTCCTGGTCAACTTTTCTTCACTTGATATACAACAGATCTATAAATGGGTGATATATATATATATATATATAACAGATCTATAAACGGGTGATATATATATATAACAGATCTATAAACGGGTGATATATATATATATATAACAGATCTATTAACAGGTGATATATATATATATATAACAGATCTATAAACGGGTGATATATATATAAACTGCTCAAAAAAATAAAGGGAACACTTAAACAACACAATGTAACTCCAAGTCAATCACACTTCTGTGAAATCAAACTGTCCACTTAGGAAGCAACACTGATTGACAATAAATGTCACATGCTGTTGTGCAAATGGAATAGACAACAGGTGGAAATTATAGGCAATTAGCAAAACACCCCCAATAAAGAAGTGGTTCTGCAGGTGGTGACCACAGACCACTTCTCAGTTCCTATGCTTCCTGGCTGATGTTTTGGTCACTTTTGAATGCTGGCGGTGCTTTCACTCTAGTGGTAGCATGAGACGGAGTCTACAACCCACACAAGTGGCTCAGGTAGTGCAGCTCATCCAGGATGGCACATCAATGCGAGCTGTGGCAAGAAGGTTTGCTGTGTCTGTCAGCGTAGTGTCCAGAGCATGGAGGCACTACCAGGAGACAGGCCAGTACATCAGGAGACGTGGAGGAGGCCGTAGGAGGGCAACAACCCAGCAGCAGGACCGCTACCTCCGCCTTTGTGCAAGGAGGAGCAGGAGGAGCACTGCCAGAGCCCTGCAAAATGACCTCCAGCAGGCCACAAATGTGCATGTGTCTGCTCAAACGGTCAGAAACAGACTCCATGAGGGTGGTATGAGGGCCCGACGTCCACAGGTGGGGGTTGTGCTTACAGCCCAACACCGTGCAGGACGTTTGGCATTTGCCAGAGAACACCAAGATTGGCAAATTCGCCACTGACGCCTGTGCTCTTCACAGATGAAAGCAGGTTCACACTGAGCACATGTGACAGACGTGACAGAGTCTGGAGGCGCCGTGGAGAACGTTCTGCTGCCTGCAACATCCTCCAGCATGACCGGTTTGGCGGTGGGTCAGTCATGATGTGGGGTGGCATTTCTTTGGGGGGCCGCACAGCCCTCCATGTGCTCGCCAGAGGTAGCCTGACTGCCATTAGGTACCGAGATGAGCTCCTCAGACCCCTTGTGAGACCATATGCTGGTGCGGTTGGCCCTGGGTTCCTCCTAATGCAAGACAATGCTAGACCTCATGTGGCTGGAGTGTGTCAGCAGTTCCTGCAAGAGGAAGGCATTGATGCTATGGACTGGCCCGCACGTTCCCCAGACCTGAATCCAATTGAGCACATCTGGGACATCATGTCTCGCTCCATCCACCAATGCCACGTTGCACCACAGACTGTCCAGGAGTTGGCGGATGCTTTAGTCCAGGTCTGGGAGGAGATCCCTCAGTAGACCATCCGCCACCTCATCAGGAGCATGCCCAGGCGTTGTAGGGAGGTCATACAGGCACGTGGAGGCCACACACACTACTGAGCCTCATTTTTACTTGTTTTAAGGACATTACATCAAAGTTGGATCAGCCTGTAGTGTGGTTTTCCACTTTAATTTTGAGGGTGACTCCAAATCCAGACTTCCATGGGTTGATAAATTTGATTTCCATTGATAATTTTTGTGTGATTTTGTTGTCAGCACATTCAACTATGTAAAGAAAAAAGTTTTTAATGAGATTATTTCATTCATTCAGATCTAGGATGTGTTGTTTAAGTGTTCCCTTTATTTTTTTGAGCAGTGTATATATATATATATATATATATATATATATATAACAGATCTATAAACAGGTGATATATATATATATAACAGATCTATAAACGGGTGATATATATATAACAGATCTATAAACGGGTGATATATATATATAACAGATCTATAAACAGGTGATATATATATATATATATATAACAGATCTATAAACGGGTGATATATATATATAAGAGATCTATAAACGGGTGATATATATATATATATATATATATAACAGATCTATAAACGGGTGATATAACATATCTATTAACAGGTGATATTGTCACGATCGTCGATAGAAGTGGACCAAGGCGCAGCGTGGAATGCGAACATACTTTTATTTTTAATGATCACACGAACAAAACGATACGTGACGTCCTTGGCAATAGACACTAACCAAACACGGAACAAGATCCCACAACACACTGTGGAAAACAGGCTGCCTAAGTATGGTTCCCAATCAGAGACAACAAGCAACAGCTGATTCACGTTGCCTCTGATTGAGAACCACACCGGCCAACATAGAAACAAATGAACTAGATAAAAAACCTAGAACACAAAACACATAGAAACAACACACCCTGGCTCAACATAGAGTCCCAGAGCCAGGGCGTGACAGTACCCCCCCCCCAAAGGCGCGGACTGCGACCGCGCCAAACATAAACCGAACAGGGAAGGGCATTCCTCCTCGGAGGCGGTTCCGGCTCCGGGCTTGACCCCCACCCTCCAACAAACCCCCCATAGCGCCCCTGGTCCGGTCTGGCCCTGCTGGCTGGATCTGGACATCGGTGGAGCGGATCGCTCAGGCTCCGATGTGGAGCAGCTTACCGGTACCTGACCAGGCACCGGTGACCCAGGCACGGGCTGTGCAGGACTGACTGACACCACAGGCTTGGTGCGGGGAGCAGGAACAGGCCGGACCGACGACGCGCACCACAGGCTTGGTGCGGGGAACAGGGACGGGCCGAACCGGGCTGACGAAGCGCACCACAGGCTTGGTGCGGGGAGCAGGGACGGGCCGGACTGGGCTGACGATGCGCACCACAGGCTTGGTGCGGGAAGCAGGAACAGGCCGAGCCGGGCTGGCGACGCGCACCGTAGGCTTGGTGCGAGTGGCAGGAACAGGCCGGGCCGAGCTGGCGACGCGCACCCTTGGCTTGGTGCGGGGAGCAGGAATAGGCTTGGTGCGGGAAGCAGGAATGGGCCGGACCGGGCTGACGATGCGCACCACAGGCTTGGTGCGGGGAGCAGGAACAGGCCGAGCCGGCTGGCGACGCGCACCGTAGGCTTGGTGCGAGTGGCAGGAACAGGCCGGGCCGAGCTGGGAACACACACCACTGGCCTTACATGGGGATCAGGAACGGGCCGGACCGGACTGGCTACACACCTCAGTACCTCTCGCCGTGCCTCTACATATTCCTTCCCTCTACTCGCCAATGGCTCCCGTAACCCGGTGGCCTTCTCTCCTCGTCCACCAACTCGCCCCTTATCTGCCTCCAGCAGTCCCGTCGTCTACGGTGTGAGCCCCCCCCTAAAAATGTATTGGGTTCGTCTCTTCCCCGTGGCTATGGCCTCCATGGCTCTCGCCAGACTCTCCCTCTTCTGCTCCCAAGTCCAACCTCTCTCCTCCTCCCGCGGCTTGACCCAGTCGAGGTTGATATCCTTTAGAGCCCTCTCTGGCGTTGGCTCCTGGACACGCTGCTTGACCCAGTCGAGGTTGATATTCATTAGAGTCCTCTCTGGCGTTGGCTCCTGGACACGCTGCTTGGTCCAGTTATGGTGGGATCTTCTGTCACGATCGTCGATAGAAGTGGACCAAGGCGCAGCGTGGAATGCGAACATACTTTTATTTTTAATGATCACACGAACAAAACAACAAAACGATACGTGACGTCCTTGGCAATAGACACTAACCAAACACGGAACAAGATCCTACAACACACTGTGGAAAACAGGCTGCCTAAGTATGGTTCCCAATCAGAGACAACAAGCAACAGCTGATACACGTTGCCTCTGATTGAGAACCACACCGGCCAACGTAGAAACAAATGAACTAGATAAAAAACCTAGAACACAAAACACATAGAAACAACACACCCTGGCTCAACATAGAGTCCCAGAGCCAGGGCGTGACAGATATTTAACAGATCTATAAACAGGTGATATATATATACAGTACCAGTCAAAAGTTTGGACACACCTACTCATTCCAGGGTTTTTCTTTATTTGTACTATTTTCTACATTGTAGAATAATAGTGAAGACATCAAAACTATGAAATAACACATATGGAATCATGTAGTAACCTAAAAAGTGTTAAACAAATCAAAAATATATTTTATATTTGAGATTCTTCAAAGTAGCCACCCTTTGCCTTGATGACAGCTTTGCCCACTCTTGGCATTCTCTCAACCAGCTTCATGAGGTAATAATAATAATATAATAATATGCCATTTAGCAGACGCTTTTATCCAAAGCGACTTACAGTCATGTGTGCATACATTTTTACATATGGGTGGTCCCGGGGATCGAACCCACTACCCTGGCGTTACAAGCGCCATGCTCTACCAATTGAGCTACAGGTAGTCACCTGGAATGCATTTCAATTAACAGGTGTGCCTTGTTAAAAGTTAATTTGTGGAATTTATTTCCTTCTTAATGCGTTTGAGCCAATCACTTGTGTTGTAACAAGGTAGGGGGGGTATACAGAAGATAGCCCTATTTGGTAAAAGACCAAGTCCATATTATGGCAAGAACAGCTCAAATAAGCAAAGAGAAACAAAAGTCCATCATTACTTGAAGACATGAAGGTCAGTCAATCCTGAAAATTTAAAGAACGGAAAATTCCAAGAACTTTGAAAGTTTCTTCAAGTGCAGTTGCAAAAACCATCAAGCGCTATGATGAAACTGGCTCTCATGAGGACCGCCACAGGAAAGGAAGACCCAGAGTTACCTCTGCTGCAGAGGATAAGTTCATTAGAGTTACCAGCCTCAGAACTTGCAGCCCAAATAAATGCTTCACAGAGTTCAAGTAACAGACACATCTCAACATCAACTTTTCAGAGGAGACTGCGTGAATCAGGCCTTCATGGTTGAATTTCTGCAAAGACACCACTACTAAAGGACACCAATAAGAAGAACAGAACTTGTTCTCAACTGGCTTACCTGGTTAAATAAAGGTGAAATAAAAATTAAAAAATTAAAAGAGACTTGCTTGGGCCAAGAAACACAAGCAATAGACATTAGACCAGTGGAAATCTGTCCGTTGGTCTGATGAGTCCAAATTTGAGATTTCTGGTTCCAACCGCCGTGTCTTTGTGAGACGCAGAGTAGGTGAACGGATGATCTCCGCATGTGTGGTTCCCACCGTGAAGCATGGAGGAGGAGGTGTGATGGTGTGGGGGTGCTTTGCTGGTGACACTGTCAGTGATTTATTTCGAATTCAAGGCACACTTAACCAGCATGGCTACCTGCAGCGATACACCATCCCATCTGGTTTGCGCTTAGTGGGACTATCATTTGTTTTTCAACAGGACAATGACCCAACACACCTCCAGGATGTGTTAGGGCTATTTGACCAAGAAGGAGAGTGATGGAGTGCTGCATCAGATGACCTGGCCTCCACAATCCCCCGACCTCAACCCAATTGAGATGGTTTGGGATGAGTTGGACCGCAGAGTGAAGGAAAAGCAGACAACAAGTGCTCAGCATATGTGGGAACTACATCAAGACTGTTGGAAAAGCATTCCTAGTGAAGCTGGTTGAGAGAATGCCAAGAGTGTGCAAAGCTGTCATCAAGGCAAAGGGTGGCTATTTGAAGAATCTCAAATATATAAAATATATTTTGATTTGTTTAACACTTTTTTGGTTACTACATGATTCCATATGTGTTATTTCATAGTTTTGATGTCTTCACTATTATTCTACAATGTAGAAAATAGTAAAAGTAAAGGAAAAACCCTTGAATGAGTAGGTGTGTCCAAACTTTTGACTGGTACTGTATATATAACAGATCTATAAACAGGTGATATATAACAGATCTGTAAACGGGGCAGATGAAGGCAAAATAAATCCTATCCAGTTGAAAGTTTTCACCATGTCGCTTGCACCTGTCAAGCCCCTTTAGCTCAGCAGTGGTCATGAGAGAAAGGATATGAGCAAAGAGTTCTGAAAGTCCTGTTTCTCCACAGCGAGAGGTAGGTGTCATGATTAACATATTCTCGTTCCTCTTCCTCTTCCTCTTCCCCTCCCCAGGTACAGACAGTCGAGTTACCAGGTGGTGTGCTGGAAGACCACTTTGACACCAGCGTTAGGATGAGCACCTACCTGGTGGCCTTCATCGTCTCTGACTTCCAGTCTGTCAGCAAGACCACCAGTCACGGAGTCAAGGTGAGCACGATGTCACGCCTCCCCCATTTATCCTCTCATTGGTCAGAATGAAAGGTAGCTTAAGATGCCCAACCTGCGAACAGAAATGAAGTGCATTGAATAACTTTCACGTGGAAAAAAGGAGTTGTACCCTGTCTTGTTATTCAGGTTCTATCCGTAACCTTGTGCATTGCTACTTCTCTGTTTCACTGATTTATGACTAGCTTATACACACACATCATTATAGCTCCCTAGTCCCTGCTACGTGGAAGTGCTCAACAACATATTTAGATGGTTGACCTCTTCCTCTGTGTTGTCCTGTCAGATCTCAGTGTATGCCGTACCAGACAAGATCAACCAGACAGAGTTTGCCCTGAATGCCGCAGTCAGACTGTTGGACTTCTACGATGACTACTTTGATATCCCGTATCCTCTACCCAAACAGGGTGAGTAGAACACACCACACGTACACAACCGCACCACTCACCACACATAGACTTCCTGGGTGCATTTGGTAGCGGAAGGTGTCGCTAGCTGACAGTTTCTGCCAATTTATGTATTATGTTTAATAATGGTTTATAGACATTTTTGTAAGTAGACGTTCAAATAAAGCATTTCCTGATGTATTCCTGTGTGTTCCTCCCAGACCTGGCAGCTATCCCAGACTTCCAGTCGGGTGCGATGGAGAACTGGGGTCTGACCACTTACCGAGAGTCTGGGCTGCTCTTTGACCCCAACAAGAGCTCCGCCTCCGACAAGCTAGGCATCACCATGGTGATCGCACATGAGCTGGCACACCAGGTAAGTGGGACTACTCTCTTTTGGTTCATCAATCAGGTGCTTCAGAAAGTATTCCACATTTTGTTATGTTACAGCCTGAATTCAAAATGGACTAAACGTATTTTTTTCTCACTCATCTACACACAATACTCACAATGACAAAGTGAAAACATGTTTTTAGAAATGTTAGCACATTTTTTGAAAATGAAATTAGGGCTGGGCAATATGGTCAAAATATCATATCACGGTATTGTTTTAATTTAAGACGGTATTTCACAGTATTTTATGTTTTTGAATAATACAAGTTCTAAATGTGCTTTCTGAGTAAGTAGTGTGTGAACCTAGGGTGGCAACATATACATATTGAAGGTAACCGGTACTGGTTTCAAAAAACGAATGGAAGTATGAAGGGAGTTTTGTGCCTACCCCAAAAAAGGGGTTAAATATGTGTTAAAAATATATATATATATATATATTTCCAGAGTTTTTTAAATATCTCCTAGATTTATGACAGACACTTCAAAACTTTGTTTCTTATGATTTATTTTTTGACTGTTCTTTTTGCCATTTATGAATGTGTTTTTCAATGCATTTCTATGGGCTTTAGTAGTAAAGGCCAAAATCAATATTTTATCAAATAATTTTTTTATATATTATTTTCTACCTAAAGGGGTCCTACAATTCAAAATCAAATAGCTAAACGATCCATAGTATGACCATCTTAAAACAATTCCATATGTCAGCTTAGCCCCTCCCCCAATGTCTTAGACTAAATAATGAAATGTTTTCTCTTAGCTACTTCATGTAGCTCACGTATTCATGCGTCACCTATAGTTATTTCACTTAGAAGATACTGTTGCACAAACAACATGCTGATTTAGGCCTACACAATCACTGATATCAGGCTGTATAGCTAGCTACGTTGGCTCTGACTCACTACATTTATTAGCTAGCTAGCCAGCTAACTAGCGATTAGCATTAGCGGCTAACACGACTTAGCCACAACTTGCTAAGAAAAGACGAACTAGCTGTTTGCAGATGTAAGAAACATAAACTAATAGTGTAATTATAGAACGCTTGTGGATGTTATATTAAGAAGCAAAGCGGAAACAGCATCGTAGTCGTCAACATTGTTGCATGTGCTGCATTGACCATGCGGACTGAACGCAAGTTTCTCGTGGTCGAGCAACAACAAATGCGCTCGTTGAGTGACAGGGGGAAGGGCTAGGTCTGTGTGGAAAGCAGTATGGAGCGAGAGAGAGAGAGAGAGCGGAGAGAGATCAATCAAGTAGCGGAGTAAACTATAACAATAGACGGTACACAAGGCATATCACATTTAACAAACCAAACATTCAAATACCTTTATAGAAAGTAAAGTAAAAACTCAAACCGGTCCGTGCATCAATACGGGTATATAGTCAAATACGGTATACCGCCCAGCCCTAAATATAAAATATCTAATTTACATAAGTATTCACACACCTGAGTCAATACATGTTAGAATCACCTTTGGCAGGGATTACAGCTGTGAGTCTTTCTGGGTAAGTCTCTAAGAGCTTTGCACACCTGGATTGTACAGATTTAAGTCAAAACTGTAACGGAATGTCTTCTGTAACGGAATGTCTTCTTGGTAATCAACATCAATGGACAGTGCATTCGGAAAGTATTCAGACCCCTTGTCTTTTTCCACATTTTGTTACGTTATAGCCTTATTCTAAAATGGATTAAATGCATTTTTTCCCTCATCAATCTACACACACTACCCCATAATGACAAAGTGAAAACAGGTTTTAAGAAATGTTTGCACATTTATAAAAATAAAAAAACTGAAATATCACATTTACATAAGTATTCAGACCCGTTACCCAGTACTTTGTTGAAGGCCCTTTGGCAGCGATTACAGCCTTGAGTCTTCTTGGGTATGACGCTACGAGTTTGGCACACCTGTATTTGGGGATTTGTCCTGCTAAAAGGTGAATTCATCTCCCAATGTCTGGTGGAAAGCAGACTGAACCAGGTTTTCCTCTAGGATTTTGCCTGTACTCCATTCCATTTATTTTTTATCCTGAGAAACTCCACAGTCCTTAACGATTACAAGCATACCCATAACATGATGCAGCCACCACCATGCTTGAAAATATGGAGAGTGGTACTCAGTAATGTGTTGTATTGGATGTTCCCCAAACATAACACTTTTGTATTGAGGACAAAATGTTAATTGCTTTGCCACATTTTTTGCAGTATTACTTTAGTGCCTTGTTGCAAACAGGAATGTATGTTTTGGAATATTTGTATTCAGTACAGGCTTCCTTCTTTCCACTCTGTCAATTAGGTTATTATTGTGGAGTAACTACAATGTTGTTGATCCATCCTCAGTTTTCTCTTATCACAGCCATTAAACTCACCTTTGGCCTCATGGTGAAATCCCTGAGCGGTTTCCTTCCTCTCCGGCAACTGAGTTAGGAAGGATGCCTGTATCTTTGTACTGACTGGGTATATTGATACACCATCCAAAGTGTAATTAAAACGTCACCATGCTCAAAGGGATATTCAATGTCAGCTTTTTTTTTTTTTTTACCCATCTACCAATAGGTGCCCTTATTTGCAAGGCGTTGGAAAACCTCCATGGTCTTTGTGGTGGAATCTGTGTTTGAAATTCACTTCTTGACTGAGGAACCTTACATATAATTGTATGATTGGGGTACAGAGATGAGGTAGTCATAAAAAAATCATGTTAAACACTATTATTGCACACAGAGTGAGTCAATGCAACTTATTATGTGACTTGTTAAGCACATTTTTACTCCTGGACTTATTTAGGCTTGCCATAACAAAGGGGTTGAATACTTATTGACTCAATACATTTCAGCTTTTCATTTTTTATTAATTTGTAAACATTTAGAAAAAACATATTTCCACTTTGACATTATGGGGTATTGTGTGTAGGTCAGTGACCAAAAAACACTAAATTCAACCCATTTTAAATTCAGGCTGTAACACCAAAATAAATTGAAAAGGTCAAGGCGCTGTATATCACATACTGTAATAAGCACACAGTATGTGATATATTACCCTGTTATTACCTTGTTTCTGTGCTCTAATGTAAAGTGTTACCAGTTCTCTAGTGGTTTTGGGTAAGTTATCTAGTACAATGCATTACATTTCTTGTGAGATGTATGTTTTTTCACATAGTGACTATCCTGTCCTAAAACTACCCTGTCTCTACTCCTATTGTTCTAGTGGGTTGGTAACCTAGTGACTATCTTGTCCAACCCTGTTTCTCCTCCTGTTGTTCTAGTGGGTTGGTAACCTAGTGACTATCTTGTCCAACCCTGTTTCTCCTCCTGTTGTTCTAGTGGGTTGGTAACCTAGTGACTATCTTGTCCAACCCTGTTTCTCCTCCTGTTGTTCTAGTGGGTTGGTAACCTAGTGACTATCTTGTCCAACCCTGTTCTTCCTCCTGTTGTTCTAGTGGGTTGGTAACCTAGTGACTATCTTATCCTAACCCTGTTTCTCCTCCTGTTGTTCTAGTGGGTTGGTAACCTAGTGACTATCTTATCCTAACCCTGTTTCTCCTCCTGTTGTTCTAGTGGGTTGGTAACCTAGTGACTATCTTGTCCAACCCTGTTTCTCCTCCTGTTGTTCTAGTGGGTTGGTAACCTAGTGACTATCTTGTCCAACCCTGTTTCTCCTCCTGTTGTTCTAGTGGGTTGGTAACCTAGTGACTATCTTGTCCAACCCTGTTTCTCCTCCTGTTGTTCTAGTGGGTTGGTAACCTAGTGACTATCTTATCCTAACCCTGTTTCTCCTCCTGTTGTTCTAGTGGGTTGGTAACCTAGTGACTATCTTATCCTAACCCTGTTTCTCCTCCTGTTGTTCTAGTGGGTTGGTAACCTAGTGACTATCTTGTCCAACCCTGTTTCTCCTCCTGTTGTTCTAGTGGGTTGGTAACCTAGTGACTATCTTGTCCTAACCCTGTTTCTCCTCCTGTTGTTCTAGTGGTTCGGTAACCTAGTGACCATGCAGTGGTGGAATGACCTGTGGCTCAACGAGGGCTTCGCCAAGTTCATGGAGTTTGTGTCGGTTAACATCACCAACCCTGAGCTGCAAGTGGTGAGCCTCTGTTTGGTTTGGTTTCTAATATTCATTTTCTGTATTTCTTTATTTGATTTAATATGAAATTAAAGAGTATAGTAGAGAGTTTGTATAGAAACATACCTGAACAAATACTGAGCTAGTTGATAGGCAGGCTGCTGGATATATGTGTAGGGAAATCAGAGTTGATGTAATATCACTAACTGACAAATGACTTCTCTCTTTCTCTCTCTCTTTCTCTGTTTTCTCTCTCCCCTGTCTCTCTCTCTCCCTTTCCCTCCCCCTCTCCCTTTCCCTCCCCCCTCAGGATGACTTCTTCCTAGGGAAGTGTTTTGAGGCGATGGAGGTGGATTCATTAAGCTCCTCCCACCCCGTTTCCAGCCAAGTGGACACTCCTACTCAGATCCAGGAGATGTTTGACGACGTCTCCTACGATAAGGTCAGACTCCCATCCATCCAATCAACCAAGGTCTGACTCCTATCCATTCTATTCACTTCATGTTGACTATCCGTCACACCTGGTTTCAAATACTTCACTGTGCTTGATTGAGCTTGCCTGTTGCAATGGAACCAATAGAAAAGCCCCAAAAGTGCAAACCCCCTTCACCTGAAACTCTAGGTAGGCTAAAACAAACACTCAAAGTACTTGAAAGATTTCAAATAGCATTTGAACCCAGGTTTGCTACCTCTTCTGAAAGTAGTCCAGCCTAGTCAGTGAGTTGATTTCTGTGAATTCATATTTATTCCATCCAGGGGGCGTGTATTCTGAACATGCTGAGAGACTTCCTGACCCCAGAGGCCTTTAAGATCGGTATTGTCCGCTACCTCAGACGCTACAGCTACCAGAACACTGTCAACAGCCACCTGTGGGAGAGCCTCACCAACGTAAGTGTGTAGACAACTAACTGAGCCTCATACCCTTTTCACACTACTGAGTCGAACCCAACCAAGCCAGTAATGTGTGTGTGTGTCTAACAGATCTGCCAGTCGGACGATCTGGATGAGGGCAGACTGAAAGACGATGGGTTCTGTTCTCAGGGAAAGGCTCAGTCTGGCGCTCCAGTAAAGATTCACAGACACACTAGCAAGTCCAGTCACACACTGTCACTGTCAACACCAACACAAACTGTCCAGTCACACACGTACAGTCACACACGTCCAGTCACACGTCACGTCACACCTGTCAGTTCACAGTCAACACACTGTCAAACACAGTCACAAACACACGTCACAGTCACCACACTGTCACAGTCACACACTTTCACAGTCACCACACTGTAACAGTCACCACACTGTCACAGTCAACACACTGTCACAGTCAACACACTGTCACAGTCAACACACTGTAACAGTCAACACACTGTCACAGTCAACACACTGTCACAGTCAACACACTGTCACAGTCACCACACTGTCACAGTCAACACACTGTCACAGTCAACACACTGTAACAGTCAACACACTGTCACAGTCAACACACTGTCACAGTCAACACACTGTAACAGTCACCACACTGTCACAGTCACCACACTGTCACAGTCAACACACTGTAACAGTCACCACACTGTCACAGTCACCACACTGTCACAGTCAACACAATGTAACAGTCACCACACTGTCACAGTCAACACACTGTCACAGTCACCACACTGTAACAGTCAACACACTGTAACAGTCACCACACTGTCACAGTCACCACACTGTAACAGTCACCACACTGTAACAGTCAACACACTGTCCACACTGTACAGTCACCACACTGTCACAGTCACCACACTGTAACAGTCACCACACTGTAACAGTCAACACACTGTCACAGTCACCACACTGTCACAGTCACCACACTGTCACAGTCACCACACTGTAACAGTCACCACACTGTAACAGTCACCACACTGTCACAGTCAACACACTGTAACAGTCACCACACTGTCACAGTCACCACACTGTCACAGTCACCACACTGTAACAGTCACCACACTGTCACAGTCAACACACTGTAACAGTCACCACACTGTCACAGTCACAACACTGTCACAGTCAACACACTGTAACAGTCACCACACTGTAACAGTCACCACACTGTCACAGTCACCACACTGTAACAGTCAACACACTGTCACAGTCAACACACTGTCACAGTCAACACACTGTCACAGTCACCACACTGTCACAGTCAACACACTGTCACAGTCACCACACTGTAACAGTCACCACACTGTCACAGTCCCCACACTGTAACAGTCAACACACTGTCACAGTCAACACACTGTCACAGTCACCACACTGTCACAGTCAACACACTGTCACAGTCACCACATAACAGTCACCACACTGTAACAGTCACCACACTGTAACAGTCACCACACTACGTCAACACTGTCAATCACCACTGTAACAGTCACCACACTGTCACAGTCACCACACTGTCACAGTCACCACACTGTAACAGTCACCACACTGTCACAGTCAACACACTGTAACAGTCACCACACTGTAACAGTCACCACACTGTCACAGTCACCACACTGTAACAGTCACCACACTGTCACAGTCACCACACTGTCACAGTCAACACACTGTAACAGTCAACACACTGTAACAGTCACCACACTGTCACAGTCAACACACTGTCACAGTCACCACACTTGTACAGTCAACACACTGTAACAGTCACCACACTGTCACAGTCAACACACTGTCACAGTCAACACACTGTAACAGTCAACACACTGTCACAGTCAACACACTGTAACAGTCACCACACTGTCACAGTCACCACACTGTCACAGTCAACACACTGTAACAGTCACCACACTGTCACAGTCACCACACTGTCACAGTCAACACTCTGTAACAGTCACCACACTGTCACAGTCAACACACTGTCACAGTCAACACACTGTCACAGTCAACACACTGTAACAGTCACCACACTGTCACAGTCACCACACTGTAACAGTCACCACACTGTAACAGTCAACACACTGTCACAGTCACCACACTGTCACAGTCAACACACTGTCACAGTCACCACACTGTAACAGTCACCACACTGTAACAGTCACCACACTGTCACAGTCAACACGCTGTAACAGTCACCACGCTGTCACAGTCAACACACTGTCACAGTCACCACACTGTCACATTCAGCACACTGTAACAGTCACCACACTATCACAGTCAACACACTGTAACAGTCACCACACTGTAACAGTCACCACACTGTCACAGTCACCACACTGTACACACACTACAGTCACCACACTGTCACAGTCACCACACTGTCACAGTCACCACACTGTCACAGTCAACACACTGTCACAGTCAACACACTGTAACAGTCAACACACTCACCCTGTCACAGTCAACACACTGTCACAGTCACCACACTGTCACAGTCACCACACTGTCACAGTCAACCACACTGTACAGTCAACACACTGTCACAGTCACACACGTACGCACAACTGTCACAGTCAACACACTGTCACAGTCAACACACTGTAACAGTCACCACACTGTCACAGTCACCACAACTGTCACAGTCACCACACTGTATAACACGTCAGCACACACTGTCACAGTCACACACTGTCACAGTCAACACAACTGTAACAGTCACCACACTGTCACAGTCACACACACTGTCACAGTCACCACACTGTAACAGTCAACACACTGTCACAGTCACCACACTGTCACAGTAAACACACTGTACCCCACTGTCACACACACTTACACAGTCACCACACTAGTCACAGTCACCACACTGTCACAGTCACAACAACACTGTCACAGTCACCACACTGTACAGTCACCACACTGTCACAGTCAACACACTGTCAGTCACACCTGTAACATCACCACTGTCACAGTCAACACACTGTACACGTCACCACACTGTCACAGTCACACACACTGTAACAGTCACCACACTGTCACAGTCACACACTGTAACAGTCACCACACTGTCACAGTCACCACACTGTAACAGTCACCACACTGCACAGTCACCACACGTACAGCACCACACTGTCACAGTCACCACACTGCAAGTCACACTGTAACAGTCACCACACTGTCACAGTCAACACACTGTCACAGTCACCACACTGTCACAGTCACCACACTGTAACAGTCACCACACTGTAACAGTCACCACACTGTCACAGTCAACACACTGTCACAGTCAACACACTGTAACAGTCAACACACTGTAACAGTCAATGTCTTGTGCTGTATCCTTCCTGGCTTGCTGTAGAAGTGGTACTCAGGTGACCGTTTGTGTGTGTTTGTGTTGTAGAAGTGGTACTCAGGTGACCGTGTGTGTGTGTTTGTGTTGTAGAAGTGGTACTCAGGCGATCAGCTGGATGTGAGGGCCATCATGGACACGTGGACGCTGCAGGAGGGCTTTCCCCTGGTCACTGTAGAGGTCAGGGGTCGCCAGGTCAGACTCAGCCAGGAGAGATACCTCAAGACTGACGACCCCTCACAGACACACGGGTAAGACAATTCTCACTCCTTTTGTCTTTTCTGGTTTTATTGAACAGATGGTAGTGAGAGAGAATGTGTCTGAGGGCAGTAGGCAGGATTTGAACCCTCTTCGACTGTGCAGTTGGAACTAGATATCCAGGAAACACCATGGTTTAATTTCCATTGTAGAGATGGTGGTTCAGGCTTGGTAGTTCAGGGATTTGTGAATAACCAACTAATTCCAATATAACCTCCTGATCCCCCATGCAGCTTCCTGTGGCAGGTTCCTCTAACCTATATCACCAGCAGCTCCAGCACAGTGCATCGCTTCCTGCTCAAGACCAAGACAGGTAGGCGTCTCTGTCTGTGGTTTGTGGCCTAACGGTTCTAGCGTTAGTCCCGCCTGGTGACAGTATAGTTACAGTAAACTAACTAATTAACTCCCCTCCCCCTCTAGACGTGCTGTACCTGCCAGAGGAGGTGGGGTGGGTAAAGTTTAACGTGGATATGAGTGGTTACTACATGGTCCATTACGAGGGGGAAGGCTGGCGTTCTCTGACCTCCCTGCTGCTGACCAATCATAGGGCTCTGAGCTCCAACGACCGCGCCTCCCTCATCAACAACGCCTTCCAATTGGTCAGGTCAGTCGGTCATCACAGTGTATAATATTGTAATATGTATTTTTTTTATTGTAATATTATACAATATTCAATGTTGTTTTTTATATATACTGAACAAAAATATAAACGCAACATGCAACAATTTCAACGATTTTACTGAGTTCATATAAGGAAATCAGTCAATTTAAATAAATTCATTAGGCCCTAATCTATGGATTTCACATGACTGGGCAGGGGCGCAGCCATGGGTGGGCCTGGCTCCCAAGTGGGTGGGCCTATGCCCTCCCAGGACCACCCATGGCTGCGCCCCTGGGGAGCCAGCCCAGCCAATCAGAATTCATTTTTCACCACAAACAGGCTTTATCACAGACATAAATACTCCTCAGTTTCATCAGCTGTCCGGGGGGCTGGTCTCAGACGATCCCACAGGTGAAGAAGCCAGATATGGAGGTCCTGGGCTGGCGTGGTTACACGTGGTCTGCGGTTGTGAGACCGGTTGGACGTACTGCCAAATTCTCTAAAACGACATTGGAGGCGGCTTATTGTAGAGAAATTAACATTCAATTCTCTGGCAACAGCTCTAGTGGACATTCGTGCAGTAAGCATGCCAATTGCACACTCCCTCAAAACTTGAGACATCTGTGGCATTGTGTTGTGTGACAAAACTGCACATTTTAGAGTGGCCTTTTATTGTCCCCAGCACAAGGTGCACCTGTGTAATGACCATGCTGTTTAATCAGCTTCTTGATATGCCACACCTGTCAGGTGGGTGGATTATCTTGGCAAAGGAGAAATGCTCACTAACAGGGATGTAAAGAAATGTGTGCACACAATTTGAGAGAAATAAGCTTTTTATGTGTATGGAACATTTCTGGGATCTTTTATTTCAGCTCATGAAACATGGGACCAACACTTTACATGTTGCATTTATATTTTTGTTCAGTGTATTTTTGTATGTGAAATTGTTGTGTTTGAGACAGTTACACTGCATTTTTTAAACTAACTTTTCCAAATTTTAAATGTCTTTGTGATTGGTTAGATTAGTCATGGTACGCAGGGCTGTTACGGTGACCGTATTACCGGCACACCGGCAGTCACGAGTCATGACCGCAGACACATTCCACATAACTCCAAAATTGCACTCTGATGCCGCTGATGGTCATTAGTAGCCTACCAAACTTGCTAACGGCCAGTCGCTAATGGCCTGATACTCGGTGCTCTATTTTCCCTCTAATCACTTTTCCCTGTAATCAATCCAAATACTATCGAAAATCAAATCAAACTCTAAATGAAAGCCCTGGCATTCAGTTTGAGCGGACTGTTGCGCAGCGAGAGCCAGCTCCTCATAGCTGGTTGATGCATTGAATGAACCGATGCCAAGCGTGTACAGTCTAAGGCAAGAAACAGCGCATGCATTTTTTTGGCGACTTTTTCAAATCATAGTTGCAGGCATCATGATGTAGCCTAGCCCGTAGGCCTATATGTTTTGATAAGGTTTGTATCACAACTAAAGTGGCCAAATAACTCTAGGCGTAGCATATAGGCCTAGGACCCATGGAACAGGGTTGGAGAGAACATAGATTACTGAGCCTAGTGAAATGGGTTCTTATAAGCCCAGTCATTGCGCCAAAAACAGAGTTTTGACTGGCCACTATTTGAAAGAGGATCCCAACTTTGTCATGCTGCTATATTTATTGCTCAATTCTTAAAATTAAGCGCATTAATCCGCTTTACAACCTGTTTAGCCTACCTGGCATATTCAAAACGTAACCGTGGGTAACCTCCATTCACTATTCCAGTGCAGGCTATGGATGACATGTTTTTTTTGTGGGCCATTCTAAATAATTCCACACATATATTAGTAGGCTATAAGTAAAAATCAGATTAAATTGAGAATAGTCTGATGTGTGAGAATATTATCAAGCGCTTGTCAAATTGTGAACGAGAGACTGATGAAGTGTGTGCAGCCTGCGTAAGAAACAGAGCAGAGCGTTTCCCTTTCACGAGACTTTATTCAAATCATCATTAGAGTCGCATCATGCAGCCTTGTATTAGAAATCAAAACGACAGCTTTTGTGTCACAACTAAAGTTGCATAAATAACTGTAAATGAAGCGTATAGTAGGACCTGTTTCAAATGATCACTTTAACCGCTCAACACAGAATAACCGCATATGTGCGCACTCCCTCTGAAATTATTTGGGGAAAATATCCTTTCTGTTTTATTCAGCTATGTTCAAATTGTATTCTTTTTCTATAAAATAATGGGAATTATAAGCAAATCTTGTCTGCTAAATGAACTAGTGTAGCCCACAGCCATATGGCATAGCCAGATCAGGACCTAACATAAGGACGACTCAGAGTATGCTATTCTGTTCTTTTGAAATAGACTACATTTTATTCATATCATAATAATAAATAAATAAATAATGGATTCATTGTGATGGTGTAGGCTATATTAAATGGATTTATTAGAATTTTTTAATGTACTGTAGATGTTCAAAAGGTCCGCATCAGTGGCTTGTGGGGAAGCCCAGCGATGCTAAACGTGTTTATATTAATTAACGGTCAATTACCGTGAGACCGGCAGTTATTTGCACGACAATCACAGGCTGACAATTTCATGACCGCTACAACCCTAATGGTACGCAGTCAAAACATTTTTATTTTTATTGGTTAGGTTAGACTTGGTACGCATTAAAAATGTCTTCAGATGAGTGGGTTGAGTGAGCTTGTCTGTGTCCCCCAGTGTGGGTAAGGTAGGACTGGACACAGCCCTGGACCTGTCTCTGTATCTGTCCAAGGAGACAGACATCATGCCTGTCACTCAGGGTCTGGGTGAGCTGGTTCCTCTCTACAAGCTAATGGAGAAGAGAGACATGGAGGGTCTGGAGAACCAGATGAAGGTAAGAGAGTCCGGTTCCTCTTGAGGTTTCTTCCTTCCAGAGTTTTTTGACAGAGCTTTGTCACTGTGCTTCTGCTTGCTCTTTGGGGTCTAGGCCCGGGTTTCTGTATAAGCACTTTGTGACAACTGTTGATGTAAAAAGAGCTTTATCAATACATTTGATTGATTGAGTAGAGATAAAATATCTGTTTGTCAGGGCTACATCGTGGAGCTGTTCCGGGGTTTGATAGACCGTCAGACGTGGAGTGACGAGGGGTCTGTTTCCCAGAGGGTTCTAAGGAGCTACCTGCTGCTGTTCGGCTCTGTCAGGAACCACCCCCCCTGTGTCGCTACCGCCACACACCTCTTCAACAAGTGGAGGACCTCCGACGGCAACATGAGGTCAGAGGTCAAACCATTCAATTCAATTAAATAAACATTTTTAATCCCAGAGAGGCAGTTATTGCGGGGATCACTAGGAGTCAAGTAAACACCTACATGACAACGTCTACCTCATTATTAACCGTTATACAATGGGTGGGTCTAATCCTGAATGCTGATTGGTTAAAACCACATTATTTAGGCCTCTGTATGATAACCCCTCTTAACGTGGACATCTCTGTCTAGATTCCAAAAATCGTATATCCCTTGTCTCCTTTCCATTTTGACCTCTGAAGGGACTTGACAGGTGCAAGTAAACCTCTGTCCAGTCCTTACAGCTATCCGTTGTCCTGAAGGGAAAGAGAGAAGAGACGGAGACCATGCTAGAGTGTTGGGATATTGCTTCAGCTCAATCCCCTCTCTCTCTCTTCTTCCTCAGTCTCCCCAGTGATGTCAGCTTGGCGGTGTTTGCCATTGGTGCTCGTGACCCCGAGGGGTGGGACTTCCTCTTTGAGAAGTACCGCCATTCGCTGCACACATCTGTCAAGAGCCGCATCAAGTCTGCCCTGTCCATCAGCCCTCTGCAACACAAGCTACAGCGGTGGGTTAACATCTCTCCTGCTTACAGCACTCAGAACTATCTCTCCTCTGTTTTCTCTTTCTTCCTCTCAGCTCAGCTATTTATACTGGGCACCGTGTAGCTCAGTTGGTAGAGCATGGTGCTTGCAACGCCAGGGTTGTGGGTTCAAATCCCACGGGGGGCCAGTATGAAAAAAGAAAAAAAAATTATGCACTGGATCTTAGCGTCTGCTAAATGACTAAAACATTTCAATATTTTCTTGCTGCTCTGTATTGCATAAAAAATGCTAAACGTCTAAGCCTTTGGGGTGGGGTCACACCATGGATCATTTATCAAATTTAGGACCCCTGAAAGTATCAAGAAACTAGAATTTGGGCTTTACTACTAAAGCTCGTAGAAACACATTGAATAACATTCATAAATGGAAAAACAGACAGTAAAAAAAAAAAAAAACATAAGGATATTGTCTGCCCTATATCTAGGAGATATACGAAACATCAGGAAATATTTAGTTTTTTCACACATTTAACCCCTTTTTATGTTGGCACAAAACTACCTTCATACTTCCATAAATGTTTTAAACTGGTACAAGGTTACCTTCAGACAAGTCCCGTGACAGTTATGGTCAGCAAAACGGAAAATGCCATCGTGTTTGTGAGAATCTCCCCTTTCCACAGTGGGGTCACGTTAGTTTGTAGCCCAAACGGTCCGGACGCTACAAACAGAAGTTGGCACATTGACGGTACCAACTTCAGACGAGTCCTGTGGGGTTTGTGGGGGTCATAGAGCAAAACTGAGAACACCATTGTGTTCGTGAGAGTCTCACCGTTACGTGACGCTATGTTTTCATGAGAATACCATTTTTTGGGAGGTCTCCTGGTCTGACAAACAGTGATTTAGCTTTGCCACTTTCCACCGCAGATGCGGAAGGCCGACATAGGTGGATGCGGTGGATTGAGACACAGCCCATGCAAAAAAAAACAGATACACTACATGGCCAAAAGTATGTTGCCAAACATCTAATTCCAAAATCATGGGCATTAATATGGAGTTGGTCCCCCTTTTGCTGCTATAACAGCCTCCACTCTTCTGGGAAGGCTTGATGTTGGAACATTGCTGCAAGGACTTGCTCCATTCAGCCACAAGAGCATTAGTGAGGTTGGACACTAATGTTGAGCGATTAGGCCCGCAGTCAGCGTTCCAATTCATCCCAAAGGTGTTCGATGGGGTTGAGGTCAGGGCTCTGTGCAGGCCAGTCAAGTTCTTCCACACCAATCTCGACAAACCATTTCTGTATGGACCTCGCTTTATGCACGGAGGCATTGTGATGCTGAAACAGGAAAGGGCCTTCCCCAAACTGTTGCCACAAAGTTGGAAGCACAGAATCGTCTAGAATGTCATTGTATGCTGTAGCGTTACGATTTCACTTCATTGGAACTAAGGGGCCTAGCCCCAGACCATTATTCCTCCTCCACCAAACTTTACAGTTGGCACTATGCATTGGGGCAGGTAGCGTTCTCCTGGCATCCACCAAACCACCAAATTCGTCCGTCGGACTGCCAGATGGTGAAGCGTGATTCATTACTCCAGAGAATGCGTTTCCACTGCTCCAGAGTCCAACTCCAGCCGACGATTGGCATTGCGCAATGGTGATCTTAGGCTTGTGTGCGGCTGCTCAGCCATGGAAATCAATTTCATGAAGCTCCCGACGAACAGTTCTTGACGTTGCTTCCAGAGGCAGTTTGGACCACAGTAGTGAGTGTTGCAACCGAGGACAGACAATCTTTACGTGCTGTGCATTTCAGCACTTGTCGGTCCCGTTCTGTTCAACTGCCAATGTTTTTCTACGGAGTGCTCGATTTTATACACCTGTCAGCAACGGGTGTGGCTGAAATAGCTGAAACAACTAATTTCAAGGGGTGTCCACATACTTTTGTATATATAGTGTACGTTAGGGGGAGGGAGAGAGCAGGGAGAGGAAAGGAGAAGAGAGAGAGGAGGGAGAGTGTGTCTCTAGTTTCAATGGATGCATTTTGATGGGGGTTTTGTATTATGTTAATTAGATTGATGCACGGGTGCGTCAATAGACTATTAAAGCCGCACTATGCAGAAACCGCTCCTCCCTCCTGGGTGCTAAAATTCTAATAATTTCTGTTGATGTGACAAAACAAGCATGTATAGTGTAGAGAGTCATTGTACCATCTAAACCACTGTGAAATATATTTTCCATAACCAAAAATATTGTATTTTCAGCTGTTTGAAGCTGGTGTACAAAACCGAAAGTAAAAGACGCAAAAATTAAACTTCAGAACAGGAAGCATAGAAATAGCGCACATAGAACAGATCTACCGCTTCTTAGACTTGCTTTCAATGAGAATGAAAGATCTATAACTCACATTTCTATGTGAATTTGGTCGGGTCGCCCAAAAAGTTATATATTGTACTGTAGCTTTAAGGATTTAAGATAAACAGTTAAGGACTCTCTCCCTCCCGCCTCCCCATCTCACCCCCCCTCTCCCTCCTTTCTCCCTCCCAGGTTAATGGAGCAGAGTCTTGCAGGCGAGGTGATGAAGACTCAGGACCTTCCTCACGTGGTCATCTCTGTCAGCAGGAACCCCAAAGGGTACAAGCTGGCCTGGGACTTCCTCAGACAGAACTGGCACACACTGGTGAAGAAGTGAGTCTGATAATCTTATGCTGTGGTTATAGTAGAAACCACCTTCACCGAGATCTCCCCTCATGGGTGTATCTTCCGAACAGCACGCAAAGCACAATGTTGGCTGTTAGCCTGTCCAGCACTGTGTCAAAGCTAGCGAGCAAAACCCTCCCTCTGATTGGTTATTACCGCAGTTGCGTTGCTGGCAATTGGCATAAAAAAGTTGGAACTTTCTCTTTAAGTGTCTGTTTACCCCATGACCTTTTGACCTGTAGGTTTGACCTGGGGTCCCACTCTATCTCAGGCATGGTGACTGGTGTGACCAACCAGTACTCCACCAGGGAGATGCTGGATGAGGTAAGAGTCTGTCTACTCTGGGGTTTGATAATACCGCTACTATTACCTCATGTTACGTAGCTAAATAGTAGTATTGTCAGCTGTAATAACCATTCCACTGTCGTAGTATTACTGGTGTGTCGGTGTGTGCTCACCCTCCGCTGTATACAGTAGATATGTAGGCCTACAAATAACTTTTAAAGATCTATTCTAAGCCGTCTCCATGTCTCCTCCCACCAGGTGCGCGGGTTCTTTGACTCTCTGTCTGAGGAGACAGGTTCTGGCCTGAGGTGTATCCAGCAGACGTACGAGAGCATCGAGGAGAACATCCGCTGGATGGACAAGCACCTGCCCCAGCTACAGGCCTGGCTGGACAGACAGGCCCAGGGAGCCAGAACAGAGAGACAGGACCATGAGGACCTATAGACCTCGATGTAGTACAGGCCTCTCACAGGGCAGGGAGGGGTCTAGAGCAGAGGATGATTATGGCCATGTTCGAGACCATCAAAACTGGGATGTATTATGCGTAAACTGTGACTGACTGATCTAGAAATAATATTGAGTAGTTATTTATGATGCAAGATGATTTGTAGATTAGTCAGTCTCGACTCACCTTTAAAGAATAATATTTCCTCACTGCATTGAGCAGTGTTGGTAACACTGGATATTACACTTCTGTCTGAGACAAAGGTCGGCCCATGGCTAAGACCCTAAACCTTTTTTTTTTTCAAATGTATACGAATTGACTCGGTTAATCAGTTATCCTCACCTCAACCTTAAACAGACATGACTACGACTCAGTTTGTCGTTTTCTTTTGTGATGAATTTATTTTGCAATACTGTCAGCATAAATATTTGTGAGTGTTTTAATATAGTGGTTATCCCCACTTGTTAGGGGATCATAACCCCCAGGAGATTTCCTCCACATAAGCGTTGTCTTGGTTACTGTTCCCAGGAGAAACAGCACAGTCCTGCACCTCAGAGGATGCTCCTTCTATTGCATTTGTTGGCCCACTTGTTTTGAGTGTGTTTTTGCTGATCTTGCTGCATTTATGCTGTAATGATTTGGCTTCAGAATGTCTCAATAGAGTTGCGGTACATGCTATTTATTTTTTACACATGTACTTTGATCTCGGACGATGCCCTTTTTAAAAAAATAATTAAATGTTGACAAGAATCTGTATTTTGTTAAAATACTGAATGAAAAATATTGATTGTAAACCCTGTCATTTATTGGAAGGCTCTGGCTAAGAGATGGGGACAGACAGACAAGTCTAAATGAATAAAGAGAACATCCAATAAGATCTCTCTACAAAGAGCTGAAGTTTATTGAAAAGGTTTGGTCCAGTCTATGCTGCCGCCAGAGCTGTCAGGCACTAGCCAGCCGGTGATATCGATGCTCAACAGAGTTTCAGCAGTTCCATCTCACTCCAACCATCATTGAGGTAAAGTCAGTCCTCAGCCTGGATACAGGACAACTCCAAACAATACACCCCAAAGTCAATTCTGAATTTCCTAGCCACACAAAACTCCACAGAGGTACATTGAGGAAGGGCCCAAAGCACTGAAGGCCCTCCAAATGAGTAAACATCTTTAAAAAGTGTGTGCAGGTATATTGGTCCTTGTCTGAGGTTCTCTCTATATATATATATCCTACATATTCCCTATATAGTGCAGTGCTTTTGAGCAGAGCATCTCAGGGGGCACTGCGGCTGTGGATGCAGGAGGGGCAGCAGTGCAGCGTGTCGTGGATGAACAGGTCACATTCCACACAGAACACACTGCTGCACGACGGACACGTGAACACACTTTTGTCTTTCAGCTCCCCCTGGCAGGCTTCACAGAACCTCTTTCTGTGGAGCAGCTCCAGGCGGTCCTCCTGGAAGGCCTCCAGGGGGAAGAGGTGGTGGAAGGAGCGGGCCAGGTGAGGAGCGGAGACAAGTGTCAGTCCTGGAGAACACACACACACACACACTTTAGGTCACACTTCTGTCACACACATACATTGGTCATCTCAATTTATGTACACACTTCCCAACATATCCCCTTTCTCCAGAAGTGTGCACTTGTTCACTTCCCAATTTGAAAGGAAGTTACTGAAAGTCCCTCTAGCCCCCCATGCCTACAGCAAACCAATGCTTCAGAATGTGTGGGAAGTAGTGAACGACTGCACTGATGAAGGACAGACTATTGGGACATACACTCAGCTAGACACCACGCACCACAGACTTTACACTCAGCTAGACACCACGTACCATAGACTTTACACTCAGCTAGACACCACGTACCACAGACTTTACACTCAGCTAGACACCACGTACCATAGACTTTACACTCAGTTAGACACCACGTACCATAGACTTTACACTCAGTTAGACACCACGTACCACAGACGTTACACTCAGCTAGACACCACGTACCATAGACTTTACACTCAGTTAGACACCACGTACCATAGACTTTACACTCAGTTAGACACCACGTACCACAGACGTTACACTCAGCTAGACACCACGTACCACAGACTTTACACTCAGCTAGACACCACGTACCACAGACTTTACACTCAGACACCACGTACCACAGACTGTACACTCAGCTAGACACCACATATCAGACTTTACACTCAGCTAGACACAACATACCACATACTTTACACTCAGCTAGACACCACGTACCACAGACTTTACACTCAGTTAGATACCTGTACCAGACGTTACACTCAGTTAGACACCTGTACCAGACGTTACACTCAGCTAGACACCACAGACGTTACACTCAGCTAGACACCACGTACCACAGACTTTACACTCAGCTAGACACCACGTACCACAGACTGTACACTCAGTTAAGACACCTGTACCAGACGTTACACTCAGCTAGACACCACAGACGTTACACTCAGCTAGACACCACGTACCACAGACTTTACACTCAGCTAGACACCACGTACCACAGACTTTACACTCAGCTAGACACCACGTACCACAGACTTTACACTCAGCTAGACACCACGTACCACAGACTTTACACTCAGCTAGACACCACGTACCACAGACTTTACACTCAGCTAGACACCACACACTTTACACTCATCTAGACACCACATACCACAGACTTTACACTCAGCTAGACACCACATACCACATACTTTACACTCAGCTAGACACCACGTACCACAGACTTTACACTCGACAGGTAGCTCAGTGTACTTGGCCTGGCACTGTGGACAGAAGTACCCTCCCATAGACAGACCGGGACCACCACTAGTGCTGTCTAGATGAGCCTGGCTGAAAGAAGGCTTGGCATCCTGGTCTGATAGAGAGGCTATGGTGTGCTGAGGGAAACCTGGAGAGACAGAGGGAGAGAGAGAGAATGGAAACACTGGAGATATCAGGAATAACGGTGTGTGCGCTAAGGACTGAGCCAGTCTATGTGGTGAAGCTCTGTGTGTGTGTGTCTGACCCATGCGTATGAGGGAGCACTCAGAGGAGGAGGTAGCGGGAGGAGGCTTCACGTGAAACGACAGCAGCTCCCTGAAGTGGCTCTCATCCAGGATCACATGGTACGACCCCCCGGTCTCTCTGGTGAGCACGGTGCAGACACGCACCTCGGCTGACAGGCCAATCACAGACACACGGATCTTCAGCGCCTTCAGAGTCTTATTATAGAGAGAACAGAGAAAACACCAGAGATGTGAAATGTGAGACTTAGAGAAGAGATCAGGGAGACACCAGGGAGAGATCAGTGAGAGATCAGGGAGACACCAGGGAGAGATCAGGGAGACACCAGGGAGAGATCAGGGAGACACCAGGGAGAGATCAGGGAGACACCAGGGAGAGATCAGGGAGACACCAGGAGAAAGACCACATAGAAACTACCAGAGTTTCTAGTTTCTACATGAGACAAAACACCAGAGAGAAAAACATCTGGGGAGAGGGAAAGTGAGAGAGAAACATAAGACAGATAGAGAGCAAGAGAAAGTGATAGAGACAGAGAGGGAGACATCCAGATCTGCTGTTACCTTGACCAGCTCGTAGATGTTAGCCGGGTCACATGTGGTGAGGCTGCTGAAGATGATGAGGACTTCCCTGCTGCTGTGGCCTGGCATGTGTCTGAGGAGAGAGATAGAAGGAGAGGGTGATGGTGATTTTAAAAAGAGAAAAGTGGATCATACATCTTGGGACCAAAAAAAGTATATGGATACACACACACACACACACGCACGCACGCACGCACGCACGCACGCACGCACGCACACACACAACACGCACGCACAGGGAGCATACTTGAGTGTCTGCATGGCCAGGTTGAGGGAGTTATATAGAGAGGGTTCCCCCCCACATGTAGAGTCCTTTGCTTTCTTCAGGGCATCGATGTGTTTCTTTGGGTTCCCTGTGGATAGAATACCCCACTGTTAGCAGAATTGTAACCAGCACATAACTTACACGCACACTCAAAACACCAGCACGCCACAAACTTATGCCTACAATGTAAAATACATCTATAAAAATGAAAACTATTTTTTAATATGCAAAAATGTACGGCACTTATATTGAATTGAATAAGCTTAGGGAAAATTGGCCACCTAGTAGAATGACCCAGGGCTGACATCTGACCCCTGGTGGGGTCATGGTGCTCACTCACCTGCCAGGTCAGTCAGCTTCTCCGCTCTCTTGTTCTTGGTGGTGATGATGCCCACCTGAAGCGGAGGAGACCATAGGAGGGACTAAGTTCTCTTAGCTTATTAGACCATAGTAGGAGGACGACAACACCATCACTGACGTAGCAATCAATCAAATGTATTTCATAAAGCCCTTTTTAACATGAGCAGTTGTCACAAAGTGCTTTACAGATACCCAGCCTAAACCCTCAAAGAGCAAGCGACGCAGATGCAGTGGAAAAACTCCCTAGAAGGCAGGAACCTGAGAAGAAACCTAGAGATGAACCAGGCTCCGAGGACTGCTTATGTAGCCTGATTACTTAGACAAACACTCAGGAATGAATGACAGTGGGCCAACAAAACCCACTCTAAATGAATGGTGGAATGACGGCCTACCTGACTGATGGGGTTCTGGTCAAAGTATTCCTCTACGAAATATTCCACCAGCTGCAGGGTTGAAGAGAGAGAAAACATTCACTAAATATTTTTCAGCTCCATATGTTTCACAAGTATTTTGATTCCTCCTCCTCCTCCTCCTCCTCCTCCTCCCAGACCCCCCACATACTCGTTCACCCTCTTGCTCGCCCCTCTTCCTCCTCATCCTCGTTCACCCTCTTCCTCACCCCTCTTCCTCCTCTTCCTCGCCCCTCTTCCTATTCCTCACCTTGAGTGTAGAGGTGAGGCGGTTGGGTTTCAGGTCCTGGTCTTCCATGGTTCTAGAGGTGTCAATCACCACGTACAGGTGACGCATCTGAAACACATGACATTGTAGTGTTATTGTAGTATTCCCATCATTACCTTACAGAGCAAGTACCATGGCAACTGAGAAGGCAAATAGAGGGTAGGGATCAACTCACCATCCCAAGCCGAACTTGTCCATGGCTCTCGAACACCCTTTTCCTTTTGGCCTGGAAAAGGATTTCCTCCACAGTGGCTTTGAGAGATCCAGACTCATCCTCCTTCAAGATCTCCCTATGTGGACAGAGTCAGTCAGTCAGTCAGTGTCCGCGTTTGAGTGGTAAGGCTAAAGCAGCAAACTGTAGACCAAAGTCGAGGAGTGAAGTCGGGGGAGGTGCATCTGCGACAGCCGAAAGTCGGACACTAATGTGGTTTTTCAACAGCAAGGCTCAGATTAACATGGCAGTGTTGCCATTCTTTATCAAATGTTCTTTATAATGTTGAAGAAAGCATGTCTCCAACACACAAACAAATTCATATGTGTACATTATACAACCAATTAGTGAGCAAGAGCCTCAATCACGTGTATTTATTCACTGTGGGCCACTCATGAATTGCAGCAAATTGGTTCCTGTTTCAGTCACGTCTTTGGTCATGTTCGCTTGGGTCAAACAATAACACCCTAATGATTGGTTGACATTTACATTTACATTTACATTTGACAATCGAGCCTCCCACAATGCAGGTGAAGAGCAACTACAAAAACACACACAGTCCAATAACTATATTCATCCTAAATGTATGTTTAGTGATCGCCTTACCATGTTCGCTCATAACCACCCTCCCAACGCTTGGCTCTCTCTGGCTCTTCGTCCATCTTGATTGAGTCAACCTCCAAATGCAGTTCAATCAAAAACTAAAGTATCTGTAGAAGTGACAAGAGGGGAATTCGAAGGTTTAAAAAAGTTGCAACGCTTCGTAGCTATTAGCTAGATGTAGCTACAGTGGGGGAAAAAAGTATTTAGTCAGCCACCAATTGTGCAAGTTCTCCCACTTAAAAAAATGAGAGAGGCCTGTAATTTTCATCATAGGTACACGTCAACTATGACAGCCAAATTGAGAGAAAGAAATCCAGAAAATCACATTGTAGGATTTTTTTTAAATTGATTTGCAAATTATGGTGGAAAATAAGTATTTGGTCACCTACAAACAAACAAGATTTCTGGCTCTCACAGACCTGTAACTTCTTCTTTAAGAGGCTCCTCTGTCCTCCACTCGTTACCTGTATTAATGGCACCTGTTTGAACTTGTTATCAGTATAAAAGACACTTGTCCACAACCTCAAACAGTCACACTCCAAACTCCACTATGGCCAAGACAAAGAGCTGTCAAAGGACACCAGAAACAAAATTGTAGACCTGCACCAGGCTGGGAAGACTGAATCTGCAATAGGTAAGCAGCTTGGTTTGAAGAAATCAACTGTGGGAGCAATTATTAGGAAATGGAAGACATACAAGACCACTGATAATCTCCCTCGATCTGGGGCTCCACGCAAGATCTCACCCCGTGGGGTCAAAATGATCACAAGAACGGTGAGCAAAAATCCCAGAACCACACGGGGGGACCTAGTGAATGACCTGCAGAGAGCTGGGACCAAAGTAACAAAGCCTACCATCAGTAACACACTACGCCGCCAGGGACTCAAATCCTGCAGTGCGAGACGTGTCCCCCTGCTTAAGCCAGTACATGTCCAGGCCCATCTGAAGTTTGCTAGAGTGCATTTGGATGATCCAGAAGAGGATTGGGAGAATGTCATATGGTCAGATGAAACCAAAATATAACTTTTTGGTGAAAACTCAACTCGTCGTGTTTGGAGGACAAAGAATGCTGAGTTGCATCCAAAGAACACCATACCTACTGTGAAGCATGACAATGATCCCAAACACACCACCCGGGCAACGAAGGAGTGGCTTCGTAAGAAGCATTTCAAGGTCCTGGAGTGGCCTAGCCAGTCTCCAGATCTCAACCCCATTGAAAATATTTGGAGGGAGTTGAAAGTCTGTGTTGCCCAGCGACAGCCCCAAAACATCACTGCTCTAGAGGAGATCTGCATGGAGGAATGGGCCAAAATACCAGCAACAGTGTGTGAAAACCTTGTGAAGACTTCAGAAAACGTTTGACCTTTGTCATTGCCAACAAAGGGTATATAACAAAGTATTGAGAAACTTTTGTTATTGACCCTCATTTTGTCTGTCATAGTTGATGTGTACCTATGATGAAAATTACAGGCCTCTCATCTTTTTAAGTGGGAGAACTTGCACAATTGGTGGCTGACTAAATACTTTTTTCCCCCACTGTATTAGATTATAAACAATGGCATTATCATGCAAATAAAATAATTTTCAATAACAACATAACTGCCATCGTTCCCATACAAGTCCAATTGGAACCAATTATGTATATTGGTTGGGAAATGTAGCTATGCAAACAATCACAAACACTCGATCTGCTGCGCGTACAAAGTAGTAATTGAATATGGCGATTCTCCTTTAAACCCAGGAAGCAGCCATTCAATTTGCCATTCACCAGCTTAATAATGTCAAAATACGTTCGGAAGAAGAACAGTATCGTCATTACTGCCTCATACTTCCCAAAAAGGTCTAAATAAAAAGTTACATGCAACCGAAAAATGCCACTTTTGCACCTCCTGCAATATTAGTCATAAAATGACAAGTCCCCTGTAGCTCAGTTGGTAGAGCATGGCGCTTGCAACGCCAGGGTTGTGGGTTCGAATCCCACGGGGGGCCAGTATGAAAAATGTATGCACTCACTAACTGTAAGTCGCTCTGGATAAGAGCGTCTGCTAAATGACAAAAAAAATTTAATACATCAATTTAGAAATATACAACTTTAAAAACGTACCCTATATTGTCTACTTACATGAAATATTATTGCATTCCGTGTAGCGCGGTGAAACAGATTGATATGACGTTCATACACTGTTGTAGGTGATAAAATCAATGACATGTTCTGCTGCTGGATCAGCGCGTGGCAGTAATTAGTGATTTTATTGATGGGTGCAGAAGAGCTGGATTTGGCATTTTCTCAAAAACAATACGATTCTTTTCGGTTGCATGTAACTTTGTATTTAGATTTTTTGGAAGTACATACCGGCCGCAACGGCAGTAATGGCATTACAATACTAGTTGGTCAGCGAAACTCCATTATTTGGTAAGTACCAAACGTATTATGACATTAAGCTTGAAAAGCTGGAGAATGGCAAACTGAATGGGTTTAAGGAGAATCGCCATATTCAACGTCTCCTGTAAACCCAAGATTCTGCTTCAGCTGCGCCAAATATATTTTATAACTAACTCCTATCTGTCGCTGCGCATTGCTGGGAAACTGGCGGATGTTATTCCAATGCTTTGCTAAGTTAATCGTCTACAATCCATTTCATGCATGAGTTCCTCGACTAAATTTGTTAAATCGTATGCTTAATAATTGTATTAGTTTACTATGATGCAGAAATAGAAAAATTCTAATAAGATTAAAACAAAAACACAGCATTCTCATACCTGCTGACGGAAGCAACCATCTTTGGTGTAACAGAACAGCGGCTCTCTCTTCCCCCCTAAAAACAGTTCCGCTTTCAGATATTGTTTTGGGAGCAATGGGTAAACTCATGTTTTTGTGGATGTTGAATTCATAAATTGCATGTAAATGGACAGAAACGATTGTCAATAAAAACTTTTAAAGTTAAGTATTGAAGTTGACAGCTGCTCAGACAGCAATAAGATCTCATTAAAATAATATTTGTTGAAGCCGCAAATAAAAACAAATTGTGTATTTTCATATTTTTATTGAAAATCATTTACACAATATAAATCATACATTGTACATCATCACCATGGTAGTAACTTACATGCCTGCATATCTGTATGGCCAATATTTAACCTCAGACTATCATAAAAAAAAAATACAATTTACATGCCAAAACATTTTTGGAAATTCACAAAAAGATCAAGGTAAGAAAAAGGGAAAACATTCTTAATTTGCTTTCTATACAGTGCACGGTGCTTACTATACATGCTGTGCCCGGATGTCTGTAAAAGACAGCTACAAAATGAATTTGTAAAAACTGATAACAGTACAATTCCATAAGCACACACCAGGTATTTATTTTTATCGATAAGATATTTTATTTGGATACAGGCGCATCCCCTGAGAACCTTTCTTAAAAACAACTAAAATGTACAAACGTAAAAAATGATAATTGGCCATGTCATGTGCCGTATCTATACCCTAGAGGGCGCTCTAATCTTAATCTTTAGCATCTTGCGCCAACCATCATTACCCACCTGTTAACCTAACGTAGCAGGCGTAAAATAAACGCATGAAACTAGATCCTCCACATACTGGTCTTTATGAAAAGGAACAAAAACTGTCTGGGGAGGTTCTCTTCTGCACTGTTCAACCAATCCAGTAAAATGTGGAGGAGGAGTTAAGATGGTTAATGTCCAAAAGCGTTAATGTCCAAAAGCGGAAGTCGAGTCACATGCTCTTTCCAAAACCGGAACATCCGATTGTTGGGGACTCGGCAGAGGCTACTCAACTGTAGATATTAGAGGTAGAATCATAGTCGCGGGAAGTAGTTTGGGGGTGGGGTTGCTGTGACGACAGGAGGGGAGGGGTCCATTGGAAGAGTCTATATAGGTCTGCTAATACAGGACTAGTAAAGGCCCAGTGCACTGCTTTTGTGCTTTATTTTTTAAACTAAAATGTATTTTGAGTGTTTACCAGCATTTGTAACTTGATTCTGATAATTATCTGTACAAAACAGTTAATCTGATAATACTTGTGAAATAGAAAAATCCTCGCCTTGATATGTTTTCCAGTTTCTTGAAACACTTTTGCAAATGCAACTTATTTCCATGTGAAAACTGAAATGGTCTATTAATTCCTTTTCCATTTGAGTAGACGCTCTTATCCAGACCAACTTACAGTAGTGAGGGCATACATTTTCGAACTGGACCTCTGGGGGAATTGAACCCACAACCCTAGCATTGCAAGGGCCATGCTCTCACTGAGCCACATCACAACACCCTCAGCATCCCTACTTCCTGCGGCTATGGGTAGAATCCTCTAGCAGCACCACGTTAAGATACTGGTGTATGAGTGTATGGGTGTATTGGGTTGTAACTCAACTTCAACATCCATCTTAAAAATAGATAACATTATTGAAATAAAAAGATTTTTAAAAAAATCTTGATTAGACATTCAGAGAATGATCTCTCTTAAAATCAGTTCATATGACTTCACATTGAGAGGGGAAAAAAAGCCTTCTCTGGATCCCTCTCCCATTATGGTATTCCTTCTTTTGGGGCCAGTTTCCTGGACAGACAGGGGTGGAGTCAGCTCTGGACTGGGGTCAGAGGTCAGGGTCTGCGGTCATACTCGCTGACCTTCCTCTTGATGTGAGACAGCTTGGCCTTCAGGTGCTTGCACCTCTTCTTCTTCAGCAGATAGTCTGGGGACTGTTGAGATAAGAGGTTAACTTAAAAACATGTTGAAACCTACAGTACTGTGGTTTGTTTGATTGGTTGGTTGAATCAAAACGCTCACAAAATATATGTTACTCAAAAAGGTAATAGCGGTGTTGTGGAACATACCTTCTTCATATTCTTCAGCCGGGTGTACTCATCCATAGCATCCTGTTTTTAAGGAAAGAAAAAAAGAGAATTAGGCGTCACACTTTCTTATTGTGGAAGTCGGCCCGATATGCTACAGTACTTTCGACATTTGTAGCGCTGAGTCTACCTTTAACTTACGATTCAGATTTCTCCGTTTCTTTGAAATTGTGTTAAGGATGTCATCATTGTCTCCTTAATAGGCAGGTTTCCATTGAACCAGGTTTATTGGACAAAAGCAATGTCGCAAAATAAATAATTGCGACGTGTAATGTAAACGGCAGATTTAGGAGACATTTTCGGAAGATCAACAACATTTGTATCCGTTCGATGGGTGGATTTCTTTTGTCAATTTCTTTGTGACAAATTATTATGGAAACCAGTGTTTAAAAAAATAATAATTTTGAAGGTACGCGGGCACGTGATGTCATCACTTAACTATAAAGCTCCACTCCATATTTTAAATTCTAAATGCCTACTGCTTGCAAAATATATATTTTCAACTGTAAAATGTTTTCCTTTGCAGGACAAAGATTGTCCTGACTTTCAAAAATGCCTGAATTGCTTCACCTTGCTTTTCTGGTTGGCTGGTAAGTTTCACCATCTGATTCTTTCAGATCTACAGGAGTGCAAGTTTCACCATGGCACATGAAAATTATTAGAATATGGCAAATATTAAAATATTACTGCATTCTATCCATGCTTGCTTTCACAGGGGTTACCTGAGTCATGAAACAAATACTTGGGAGGGCATACAGGCTGTCCACAATTTATTCATGTGCAATTTGCCCACATTTTATTTGAAAGTAGCTAGGTTTCCATGTGAACATTCTAAAATCCACAATAAAAACAATATGCGCATTTTCCCACCAGAGATGTTTCCATCAAATTAACTTGTTGTGGATAAGACTGTGCGTGATGAAGTAGTGCACATAAAAATACCTTTTGCGGTTACGTTCCCATGTACCAAATAAAAAAATACAAGTTAAATAGGTTTCCATCGCATTTAACTCTACTGATGGTTTTCTCACCAAATATTTGGCATTTTATAGCGAGTGTGCCCACTCTGGCATTGGCACGTGCACTCTAGCCAACAGCAGGGGTATTCAACCCTACAAGGTCAGGAGCCTGCTGGTTTTCTGTTCTACCTGATAATGAATTGCACACACTTGGTGTCCCAGGTCTAAATCAGTTCCTGATTAGAGGGGAACCAAGGAAAAATGCAGTGGAACTGGTTGAAGTCCTGAGTTGAGTGAAGGGCCTACATCAGGGGTGTCAGACTCATTCCACGGAGGGCCAAGTGTCTGCGGGTTTCTGTTTTTTCCTTTCAATTAAGACCTAGACAACCAGGTAATTAGTGACCTTATTTCATCAATCAAGTACAAGGGTGGAGCGAAAACCCGCAGACACTCGGGCCCTCCGTGGAATGCGTTTGACACATATGGCCTACATGATGAGATTATTATGGACAGAAGAGAGATTATTTGTATTTGTCAAACGGCAGCCAAGCATTGATCATCATGTCAACACAATAAGACCCTCGATATTTATTGGAAAGGAGCATCAAGCTCATCACCTTGCACTTTCACCACCCTGTGAAATTCATCATAACTTATTTCATCTGTAGCCTAATAAACTGCATGGTTTCCCGAGTCGTAGTGGGAGGACCACACAACATATCATCGCGTGACTCAAAGTTTACTTCGATATTATGGTTATATCAATATTTGCACATAAAAGTGTTTCCACTGACATTTCTCACCCAATTCATTTTACTGACAAAAAAATCTGCCCTTGTCTAGCGTATTTTGTAGGGGTGTAACGATTCGTTTTAACAACGATTCGATTTGTATCACGATTCGTGGTTTTCGATACGATTCAAGGACGATATTGGTTCATTTAGAACGATACGATCCGAAACGATTCAGTGACTTGAAATCAATTCAGTAACCTTTTAGCCAAAAATTCAACCAGTGTGACTGAAATAAATACCTGGATACTGGACAGTGCAGGTGAAGTTTCCTAGATTCCTGTTTCTTGTAAGGACCGCAATGGTGGCTTGATAATTTCTCGCTCGTCGGCTTCTCCTCTGTCGTCCGCCATGCTATGTTTTGTTGTCTTTGCGCCTTTGCGCTGCTGCTGGCGCGGGGCGATGACGTCACGGATAGGCAGACTGAATCGAGTAATGTTTAAAGCCTTTATCATTAAAAGTGCTAAGAAAAAACATCCATATAAAGTCTGACGTGCTTAAATCCAATGGGTTATTTCCTAGTATCGATACAATCGATTTATTACATTTTAAAACGATGTTAGATTGATATATGTTGTCCAAAAGGCCAACTCGCCGAGCACAGATCGATGTAGTTGGATCATAGGAATATAAATCGATACATCGATGTAGTAGATGGATCGTTACACCCCTAGTATTTTGTTTTGTCGACATTTGGAAAGTTTACCGACAAATGTTCTGTTTCCATTAGGCCTGTCATTACATTCTGTATCTGACATTTACTCCTATCAAAAGGTTGGATGTAAACCTGGTTACTGCAGGAGTGACGTCATTACATCCAGCAGTTTTTATAGACACAAGATGGTTACATTGAAACACACACTAGCAGGCAATTGTTGAATCTATTTTCTATGCAAACTTTCTAAACGGCGGCAACAACAGAAATCACTGGACAAGTTCATCGAAACATAGCTATTGACTCACACAGATACTTTAATAGAACATGAATAGAAAAAGAAAACCATATAATATTTATATAGTATCTCTAAAGTCCTCACCAGGAACTGTGGGCTGCCCTCTGGCTGTCTGTCCAGTTCCTTGTCCAGGTCAGCCAGGCCCATGTTGAGGTCATCCAGCTCAGCCTGCAGCTCTTTGTATTCCAGGTGGTCCCGGTCAAACTCCCTCTTGTAGTCCAGACGCTCCTGCTCATTCATGATGGCAGAGAACTCGCTGAGAGACAGAGGGACGGGATGGATAGAGTGAGTTTTAGAACTATATGTATTTATTTTTTTACCCTTTTCCCTTAGTTATCTTTGACGGATGAAAACTCAATTTGATGTCTAACTTTCTACCCACAAATACCTCTCCCAATAGTCTAAAATCCCCTTCCAAAACTTCTATACAACAGACCTGGGATAACTGTATTTTTAACTCTGCTTTGTGGAATTTAACTCTTTCCAGGAGAACAAATAGTAACTTTGGAGGTGACCACAACTGTCTGAACACAGATCCCCCAAAATTACAACTTTTTGAAAAGATTTGAATACAGATCTCAGAAAGTGACTACTTTTCAAAACGACTTCAATACAGATCTCAGAAAGTAACTATTTTTTGTAAACTATTTGAATACAGATCTAAGAAAGCAACTACTTAAAAAAATATATTTTAATACAGATCTTAGGAAGTGTCTACTTTTCGGAAACTATTGGATTGGCTGCCTTCAACTAATAGTATCTCCTACACAGTATATACTATTTCAATATATCCATCATATTCGAAGTTTCGTTCCAAAACGCTATACAGTGGGGGAAAAAAGTATTTAGTCAGCCACCAATTGTGAAAGTTCTCCCACTTAAAAAGATGAGAGAGGCCTGTAATTTTCATCATAGGTACACGTCAACTATGACAGACAAATTGAGAATTTTCTTTCCAGAAAATCACATTGTAGGATTTTTAATGAATTTATTTGCAAATTATGGTGGAAAATAAGTATTTGGTCAATAACAAAAGTTTCTCAATACTTTGTTATATACCCTTTGTTGGCAATGACACAGGTCAAACGTTTTCTGTAAGTCTTCACAAGGTTTTCACACACCGTTGCTGGTATTTTGGCCCATTCCTCCATGCAGATCTCCTCTAGAGCAGTGATGTTTTGGGGTGTGTTTCGTTGCCCGGGCGGGGTGTTTGGGATCATTGTCATGCTGAAAGACCCAGCCACGTTTCATCTTCAATGCCCTTGCTGATGGAAGGAGGTTTTCACTCAAAATCTCACGATACATGGCCCCATTCATTCTTTCCTTTACACGGATCAGTCGTCCTGGTCCCTTTGCAGAAAAACAGCCCCAAAGCATGATGTTTCCACCCCCATGCTTCACAGTAGGTATGGTGCTCTTTGGATGCAACTCAACATTCTTTGTCCTCCAAACACGACGAGTTGAGTTTTTACCAAAAAGTTCTATTTTGGTTTCATCTGACCATATGACATTCTCCCAATCCTCTTCTGGATCATCCAAATGCACTCTAGCAAACTTCAGACGGGCCTGGACATGTACTGGCTTAAGCAGGGGGACATGTCTGGCACTGCAGGATTTGAGTCCCTGGCGGCGTAGTGTGTTACTGATGGTAGGCTTTGTTACTTTGGTCCCAGCACTCTGCAGGTCATTCACTAGGTCCCCCCGTGTGGTTCTGGGATTTTTGCTCACCGTTCTTGTGATCATTTTGACCCCACGGGGTGAGATCTTGCGTGGAGCCCCAGATCGAGGGAGATTATCAGTGGTCTTGTATGTCTTCCATTTCCTAATAATTGCTCCCACAGTTGATTTCTTCAAACCAAGCTGCTTACCTATTGCAGATTCAGTCTTCCCAGCCTGGTGCAGGTCTACAATTTTGTTTCTGGTGTCCTTTGACAGCTCTTTGGTCTTGGCCATAGTGGAGTTTGGAGTGTGACTGTTTGAGGTTGTGGACAGGTGTCTTTTATACTGATAACAAGTTCAAACAGGTGCCATTAATACAGGTAACGAGTGGAGGACAGAGGAGCCTCTTAAAGAAGAAGTTACAGGTCTGTGAGAGCCAGAAATCTTGCTTGTTTGTAGGTGACCAAATACTTATTTTCCACCATAATTTGCAAATAAATTCATTAAAAATCCTACAATGTGATTTTCTGGAAAGAAAATTCTCAATTTGTCTGTCATAGTTGACGTGTACCTATGATGAAAATTACAGGCCTCTCTCATCTTTTTAAGTGGGAGAACTTGCACAATTGGTGGCTGACTAAATACTTGTTTCCCCCACTGTATACACACACCAATTTCATTTTTTTTTTCATCAGAAATGATTGCTTTATGTGTGTGTAAAATATTACTGGTCTCTGATTTTTTATTCATAGATTTTAGATGTGTATTAAAATTGGTTGTTGCAAAAACGCTATATATCCATTGTTTAGCTGAAATGGAATGTTTGTATCCTGTAGACTTGACTGATCTCACCTACCTGCAGTATCTTAAGATGAATGCACTAAGTCACTCAGGATAAGAGCATCTGCTAAATGACTCAAATGTCAAATGTAAATATTTTACATAGATCTCATTACTGTATTGATAATCTTTTTAAACATTTGTTTAAATATTGATGTCACAAATGTATCATTTGTTCAGTTCTTTATTTTAAAAAATATAGTTAGTTACATTTGACTGTAAAACCTAGCAGTGCTACATGTTTCTCTGAGAGTGAGGTGGACATATACAGTGGCTTGCGAAAGTATTCACCCCCCCTTCGCATTTTTCCTATTTTGTTGCCTTACAACCTGGAATTAAAATGGATTTTTTGGGGGTTTGTATCATTTGATTTACACAACATGCCTACCACTTTGAAGATGCAAAATATTTTTTGGGGTGAAACAAACAAGAAATAAGACCAAAAAACTGAAAACTTGAGCGTGCATAACTATTCAACCCCTGGGTTTGCACCAGACATAGCATTTACCTTGATGGCCAAAAAGCTCAATTTTAGTCTCATCTGACCAGAGTACCTTCTTCCATATGTTTGGGGAGTCTCCCACTTGCCTTTTGGCGAACACCAAACATGTTTGCTTATTTTTTTCTTTAAGCAATGGATTTTTTCTGGCCACTCTTCCGTAAAGCCCAGCTCTGTGGAGTGTACGGCTTAAAGTGGTCCTATGGACAGACACTCCAATCTCCGCTGTGGAGCTTTGCAGCTCCTTCAGGGTTATCTTTGGTCTCTTTGTTGCCTTTCTGATTAATGCCCTCCTTGCCTGGTCCGTGAGTTTTGGTGGGCGGCCCTCTATTGGCAGGTTTGTTGTGGTGCCATATTCTTTCAATTTTTTAAATAATGGATTTAATGGTGCTCAGTGGGATGTTCAAAGTTTCAGATATTTTTTTATAACCCAACCCTGATCTGTACTTCTCCACAACTTTGTCCCTGACCTGTTTGGAGAGCTCCTTGGTCTTCATGGTGCAGTTTGCTTGGTGGTGCCCCTTGCTTAGTGGTGTTGCAGACTCTGGGGCCTTTCAGAACAGGTGTATGTATACTGAGATCATGTGACAGATCATGTGACACTTAGATTGCACACAGGTGGACTTTATTTAACTAATTATGTGACTTCTGAAGGTAATTGGTTGCACCAGATCTTATTTAGGGGCTTCATAGCAAAGGGGGTGAATACATATGCACGCACCACTTTTCCGTTATTTTTTTTTTTACAAGTTATTTTTTAAATTTCACTTCACCAATTTGGACTATTTTGTGTATGTCCATTACATGAAATCCAAATAAAAATCCATTTAAATGACAGGTTGTAATGCAACAAAATAGGAAAAATGCCAAGGGGGATGAATACTTTTGCAAGGCACTGTAGGGTTTTGCAACTACATGATTATTCGTCTCCCTGAAATGAAACCATCAAGTAATATATTTCAAACAAATACATGTCTGTCATTGAACAACCCCATTCCATGATTAGATGGTGCAAAAACACACTAATATATTTAAGGTCTTTAAACAATAAAAGCTAATTTACCAAAAATTCTGAAAATGGATATATAATATAGCGTTTTGGAATGAAACTTAATTTGATCTGAACATTCTGTAAAATGTCAATTTTCCTGAAAATCCATTGCCCCAGGAGTACATAATCAAGTCAAACCAATTAACCAATGATATTCTGTACTGATAAGTATAAATAAGTTGTGATGCTCAACTACTGTATGACTCTTTCAACATGCCACTGAAAAGTTTGAAAGCTGCAATTCATTTTTTGATAGCTGAAAATACTGCAGAGTAATTCAAAGCCATTTGCAAACAGCAAGTTGGATGCTTAGCAAAAAACAACTTTGAACCTCTTTGTCCATCTGAGGAGACGTGTTCTTGTTTCAAACACTCAGTATACCATATTCAAAGGGATAGTTTACTCAGAATACAAACTAACATGATTTTCAACCTACCTTGGCTGTAGTTGATTCAAAAAGGCAGTTTTTTATATATATATATATATTGTTTCCTTTCGACACTTAATAGCCATATTTTGTTACAGTTAGCATTCTCAGTAACACTTAACATTAAACTGCCCTTGTGCCTGTGTAATAAAACTGTAATTACTTTTGGAGCACATTTTATTAGCATGTTGTTATATGATACTTTGGTATCATGTATCACGCTCTCCCGAGTGGCGCAGTGGTCTAAGGCACTGTATCGCAGTGCTAGCTGTGCCACTAGAGATCCTGGTTCGAATCCAGGCTCTCGAATCCAGGCTCTCGAATCCAGGCTCTGTCATAGCCGGCCGCGACCGGGAGACCAATGGGGCGGCGCGCAATTGGCCCAGCGTCGTCCAGGGTAGGGGAGGGAATGGCCGGCAGGGATGTAGCTCAGTTGGTAGAGCATGGCGTTTGCAACGCCAGGGTTGTGGGTTTGATTCCCACAGGGGGTATGATTTTTTTATTTTTTTTATTTATAATAAATGTATGCATTCTCTCCTCCCGATTCTGCTCTGGATAAGAGAGCGTCTGCTAAATGACTAAAATATAAATGTAATTGCATATCAATGAGCTGAGAGTTTGAGCTGACGTTCCTTATTCCACATATGTAAGAACATCATTATGCAATTATAAAGCAATTTCCAAAGTCCTATGCAACAACAATGTTGCTAATTGTAGTAATCCCCAAGTTACTACACGTGTATAGGAACTTGATGTAAAGTGTTACAGTATGTCTCACTCATTATGAAAAGATGTGTGTTAGTCATTTTGAAGCTGCACAAGTGGTTTACTAATGTTGAGGTGATTCCATGTCCCTCATTCAAATTCATATCCGAGAGCCCTCCAAACCATGTGCTAATGATCATATATTTAGACTAATTCAACTAACTGTTGAACAGCTTCTATTACCAGACCATCAGACGTAGTTTTTGGTTCATCAAATATTTAGCAGCCATCAAATAAATATGTTTGTTTTCCAATCATTTGCATATATTCAAATACCTTCAAATATTATTTGGTTTTCTGAGACCTGTATTTAAATAAAAACTAGTTGCCTTTTCGTTCAAACTATATATACATATTTGACTACTTTTGAGTATTTAAAAAGTTGGTATTTTCTAATAAACTACAAAATACAATGATCTTCTGCCCAGGTCTGCTATTCACCTGTTTGGGGAATATACTACTACTCCTATCCCACATCCATAATAATGCTACAACCTACTTGAATGAATGCAGTTCATTAGGATACTCTCATTCTAGCCTCACCCCAGATCGGTTTGTTAAGTACAGACCCCCGATACTACCGTCATCCTAGCCTGATCCCAGATCTGTTAAGGATGGCAAACTGCTTCAAGATTTGGCTATACTTTACAAACAGATCTGAAAGCAGGCAACTTTCATTCCACCAGTCGTCCCTCCACTCACGTGTTAAAGTCGATCTCGTCCAGATCCTCTCCTCCCGATTCTGCACCAGTGTCGTTGTCCCTCAGCTTGCTCTTCTGTCCTCCCAACGAGCTTGTTATGTCTGAGCTCCTAAAAAATAAAGTAAAAATAAAATATGACTTTATTATTCACATTTGACCTAAATATCACAATTATTCTAATAAACTCCAGTTTAATTGAATCAGTAAAACTGTGTATTAGAGGATTGTAAAACTAGTAGCACCAGAATCTATCTTCTCATAACAGGAAGTGTTTTGTTTTTCTCTGAAACAAGCTCGTCCTGATCGAGTAATGTCAGGATGACGGCGTCACACAAAACCTCAAATCATTCAGCCACAAGATTGTGCCAAAGAACACATTCCCAATATTCCGGAGCATTACAACATTCTACCAACTTCTGGTAAATCCCCTAAAAGCCACAGCATTCAACCAGGAAAAATACTTTCTTCCTTCCAGTTCTAACGTGACAAATGGAAAGACTAATTCATGACAACGTCATGAGTTCATTTGGCATGGTAAACACACAGAGTATATTGGGGTGGCAGACCACCATTGATGGTGGAAAAGGTGATTTGACGTGCTTCTCCGTTTATCCAAGCATGTTTTAACAAATAGCCTAATGGCTCTAAAAACAGTGTCTCCACTGCCCTTCCCTAGCCAAAAGAATGTATTGCGTAGCACTTTTTTGTGTTTAGGAAATACTTTCTCTTTGCCAGGTGAAAACATGCGGGTGAAACAACCCACATTCAACCAACCCCAAACAAACATAGCCCTTTAAACTTTCGCCAAGGAAATAAAATGGTTCTTGTCCTGAGTGAGAATGATGAAGATGCCTGTGGACAGGCAAGGTCAGCTTTGGGTCTTCCTCCACTAATGGTTATTGTTAGGATAAGCTGACCACAGATTCTTCAGAAGTTAAATTAATTTAAATGTGCAACAGAGCATTGTTCCAGCGCATACCCATGGAGTCGCCCCTCACCAACTTAAGGTTCTCATTGAAATACATTGCCCTGGCTCAGTTTTTGACACTGCGAAAACCTCTGCGTGTAGGTGACCTTACCCAGGCAGATACAGAGGTTTGTGGTCTGGCAGCTGGTCCAGGAAGTTCCTGGAGCCCCCCACCTTGTCGTTGTAGTCGTTCACCAGGGTGTCTGGCTGACCAGACACGTTATTCACCTACAGGAAGAGACAGGGATCAATAAAGTTTATTCAATTGATTTCAATACAGGAGGAAACCGGTTAGCGGTCAAAAGTCATATTGAGACAGAGGGCAACAAACAGCCACTAATAGAAAACATAAATTATGATATGCTAAAATAATACACCAGTTGGAAAGAACAAAACGCTCAAGAGCACGCCAATCCTACTTTTGGTGGAATGCATACACAATCACCAGAAAACATCATGCTTATGAAATTCCTGAAGAAACTGTTGTAATAAACATATTCTAGTCATAATTTCAGGCAATCCCTTAAAGCATGTCATGTCAATCATGAATCAACTTGTCGACTGAAGAAACCTTTTGCGAGCCGACTTATGATCTAACCAAACCGAAACTATCAACACAACCAAAGCAGTCTTTAGTTCCTGACACATGACAACTACAGTACCAGATAGTCTTCATTAAACACATGTGCCACGGTGTTGAACTGTGTCTCATGATTCCTTTATACGTAGGCTACCAGGTATGGCTGTAGCCCATGTATGTGCCAAGTTTTATAGCTGCACCAAGTCAATTAAGTTGGTATGGCAATACCGCATTGTATGTGAATCTTTGTGAATCCAATACCGCATTGTATGTGAATCTTGGTGAATCCAATACCGCATTGTATGTGAATCTTTGTGAATCCAATACCGCATTGTATGTGAATCTTTGTGAATCCAATACCGCATTGTATGTGAATCTTTGTGAATCCAATACCGCATTGTACAGTGGGGAGAACAAGTATTTGATACACTGCCGATTTTGCAGGTTTTCCTACTTACAAAGCATGTAGAGGTCTGTAATTGTTATCATAGGTACACTTCAACTGTGAGAGACGGAATCTAAAACAAAAATCCAGAAAATCACATTGTATGATTTTAAAGTAATTAATTTGCATTTTATTGCATGACATAAGTATTTGATACATCAGAAAAGCAGAACTTAATATTGGTACAGAAACCTGTTTGCAATTACAGAGATCATACGTTTCCTGTAGGTCTTGACCAGGTTTGCACACACTGCAGCAGGGATTAATTTGCATTTTATTGCATGACATAAGTATTTGATCACCTACCAACCAGTACGAATTCCGGCTCTCACAGACCTGTTAGTTTTTCTTTAAGAAGCCCTCCTGTTCTCCACTCATTACCTGTATTAACTGCACCTGTTTGAACTCGTTACCTGTATAAAAGACACCTGTCCACACACTCAATCAAACAGACTCCAACCTCTCCACAATGGCCAAGACCAGAGAGCTGTGTAAGGACATCAGGGATAAAATTGTAGACCTGCACAAGGCTGGGATGGGCTACAGGACAAAGGGCAAGCAGCTTGGTGAGAAGGCAACAACTGTTGGCGCAATTATTAGAAAATGGAAGAAGTTCAAGATGACGGTCAATCACCCTCGGTCTGGGGCTCCATGCAAGATCTCACCTCGTGGGGCATCAATGATCATGAGGAAGGTGAGGACCTGGTCAATGACCTGAAGAGAGCTGGGACCACAGTCTCAAAGAAAACCATTAGCAACACACTACACCGTCATGGATTAAAATCCTGCAGCGCACGCAAGGTCCCCCTGCTCAAGCCAGCGCATGTCCAGGCCCGTCTGAAGTTTGCCAATGACCATCTGGATGATCCAGAGGAGGAATGGGAGAAGGTCATGTGGTCTGATGAGACATAAATAGAGCTTTTTGGTCTAAACTCCACTCGCCGTGTTTGGAGGAAGAAGAAGGATGAGTACAACCCCAAGAACACCATCCCAACCGTGAAGCATGAAGGTGGAAACATCATTCTTTGGGGATGCTTTTCTTCAAAGGGGACAGGACGACTGCACCGTATTGAGGGGAGGATGGATGGGGCCATGTATCGCGAGATCTTGGCCAACAACCTCCTTCCCTCAGTAAGAGCATTGAAGATGGGTCGTGGCTGGGTCTTCCAGCATGACAACGACCCGAAACACACAGCCAGGGCAACTAAGGAGTGGCTCCGTAAGAAGCATCTCAAGGTCCTGGAGTGGCCTAGCCAGTCTCCAGACCTGAACCCAATAGAAAATCTTTGGAGGGAGCTGAAAGTCTGTATTGCCCCGAAACCTGAAGGATCTGGAGAAGGTCTGTATGGAGGAGTGGGCCAAAATCCCTGCTGCAGTGTGTGCAAACCTGGTCAAGACCTACAGGAAACGTATGATCTCTGTAATTGCAAACAAAGGTTTCTGTACCAAATATTAAGTTATTATTATTATCAAATACTTATGTCATGCAATAAAATGCAAATTAATTACTTTAAAATCATACAATGTGATTTTCTGGATTTTTGAAGTGTACCTATGATAAAAATTACAGACCTCTACATGCTTTGTAAGTAGGAAAACCTGCAAAATCGGCAGTGTATCAAATACTTGTTCTCCCCACTGTATCTGAATCTTTGTGAATCCAGTAACGTATTGTATCTGAATCTTTGTGAATCCAGTAACGCATTGTATCTGAATCTTTGTGAATCCAGTAACGTATTGTATCTGAATCTTTGTGAATCCAGTAACGTATTGTATCTGAATCTTTGTGAATCCAGTAACGTATTGTATCTGAATCTTTGTGAATCCAGTAACGTATTGTATCTGAATCTTTGTGAATCCAGTAACGTATTGTATCTGAATCTTTGTGAATCCAGTAACGTATTGTATCTGAATCTTTGTGAATCCAATAACGTTAGAGTTGCTGACTGAAGTGGTTTTGTTTGTGTGGTTGCCTGGAGGTTGCCTGGAGGTTGCCTTAAGGTTCCCTCCCTCTCACATATTACTCACAAGTATGGTTGTCACTGTGAGGCAAATAGTTTGGATGACTGAGCGCTCTCATCTGGGACCGACCGGTTTCTCCACTTCCCCCTCCATCCTTCACAGCCAAAATAAACACAGATATGATCACAACCAGAGACAGGGAGGAACACTAGGCCAACATCCTCATAGCCAATCACAACTGTTCCTCGTGCCACATGATCAGAATGCTATTTTAAGAACCAATGATTTACCATGACATCACTACAAATGAGACTAGTGCCTTCGGAGGCCACTCCCAAAAACCGGACATGAAACTCTCCCCCTGCACCTGACAACACATACCTATCCACTTCATCCATCATAAAGCACCTGTGGTGAAAGCTATGTTTCTGCTGTGACTGTCTACTAAGATGAACACACAAGGACAGCCGGGGGGGGGGGGGGGGCCTGAGCCTAGATCAACACTAACTAGCGCTCAGTCAACCAAACTACTTCTCCCAAACGCTTTGAACACTGGCCCTGTAGCACAGATAGTGTTCCATTATTGTTGTCGCTGTGAGATAAATGGTGTGGCAGTCTGAGCCGCTCCCACCCAGGACTGACCGGTTTCTCCACCCTCCACAGCCCAAACACCACAGATACTATCACAACCAGCGACAGGAAGGAACCCTGGGACAACACCTTATAACCAATCACAGTCGAAACCTTAAATATGACTGAACTCCAACTTGAGTTGGTTTCGGCGTGTGGATTGATGTGGGTGTCTCTTATGTGTGTTCGCAGGTGGGAAGTTAGCCAAATCATTTAGCCAATTAGATTCAGCCGGCTGGTTTGCGACCGTGGCCAAGTTGTTTTGACCTTGGATAGCTCATCTCTGGGGATAGTTTGGGACCATCAATAAAGAAGACAATGTAAATGGGACAATATTTTCTTGTTTCACATCTTTTAGTTGTCTCATTAAAGTTGGTTTGACTTTAAGTCATTTAAATGTTTTGCTATTGACCTTTTAAAATATTGTCCCATGTACATTGTGTCATTTACCGATGGTCCCCAACTAGCCCCATACGGATATAGAATGTCAAACCAAATTGACCATGGGCATTGCGATCGCTCCGAACTGATGATTACTTGGGTGCTTCCAGCTGTGGGCAGGATTCAAATAAACCCAACCCACTGACAACTGTTGCGGTACCCTTCATTCTGTGACATACAATTTTTTCCTATCATCTCGCAAATCTCTGACTTACTTTATGACCAAAATTATCCTATTTACACTTTGTAGTCAATTTTGACACTAGAATAAATGTTTCATATGAAATTTTATTTGTCACATGCTTCATAGGCAACAGGTGTAGACTAACAGTGAAATGCTTACTTACGGGTCCTTTTCCAACAATGCAGAGTTAAAAGATAAGATAAATAAAATATTGGTGAGGTGAGCAAGGAATAAATAGTGAATAATTAATAAAACTAACATGGCTATATACAGTGGGGGAAAAAAGTATTTAGTCAGCCACCAATTGTGCAAGTTCTCCCACTTAAAAAGATGAGAGAGGCCTGTAATTTTCATCATAGGGACACGTCAACTATGACAGACTAATTGAAGATTTTTTTTTCCAGAAAATCACATTGTAGGATTTTTAATGAATTTATTTGCAAATTATTGTGGAAAATATGTATTTGGTCACCTACAAACAAGCAAGATTTCTGGCTCTCACAGACCTCTAACTTCTTCTTTAAGAGGCTCTTCTGTCCTCCACTCGTTACCTGTATTAATGGCACCTGTTTGAACTTGTTATCAGTATAAAAGACACCTGTCCACAACCTCAAACAGTCACACTCCAAACTCCACTATGGCCAAGACCAAAGAGCTGTCAAAGGACACCAGAATCAAAATTGTAGACCTGCACCAGGCTGGGAAGACTGAATCTGCAATAGGTAAGCAGCTTGGTTTGAAGAAATCAACTGTGGGAGCAATTATTAGGAAATGAATGACATACAAGACCACTGATAATCTCCCTCGATCTGGGGCTCCACGCAAGATCTCTCCCCGTGGGGTCAAAATGATCACAAGAACGGTGAGCAAAAATCCCAGAACCACACGGGGGGACCTAGTGAATGACCTGCAGAGAGCTGGGACCAAAGTAACAAAGCCTACCATCAGTAACACACTACGCCGCCAGGGACTCAAATCCTGCAGTGCCAGACGTGTCCCCCTGCTTAAGCCAGTACATGTCCAGGCCCATCTGAAGTTTGCTAGAGTGCATTTGGATGATCCAGAAGAGGATTGGGAGAATGTCATATGGTCAGATGAAACCAAAATAGAACTTTTTGGTAAAAACTCAACTCGTCGTGTTTGGAGGACAAAGAATGCTGAGTTGCATCCAAAGAACACCATACCTACTGTGAAGCATGGGGGTGGAAACATCATGCTTTGGGGCTGTTTTTCTGCAAAGGGACCAGGACAACTGATCCGTGTAAAGGAAAGAATGAATGGGGCCATGTATCGTGAGATTTTGAGTGAAAACCTCCTATCAGCAAGGGCATTGAAGATGAAACGTGGCTGGGTCTTTCTGCATGACAATGATCCCAAACACACCGCCTGGGCAACGAAGGAGTGGCTTCGTAAGAACCATTTCAAGGTCCTGGAGTGGCCTAGCCAGTCTCCAGATCTCAACCCCAAGGAAAATCTTTGGAGGGAGTTGAAAGTCCGTGTTGCCCAGCGACAGCCCCAAAACATCACTGCTCTAGAGGAGATCTGCATGGAGGAATGGGCCAAAATACCAGCAACAGTGTGTGAAAACCTTGTGAAGACTTACAGAAAACATTTGACCTGTGTCATTGCCAACAAAGGGTATATAACAAAGTATTGAGAAACTTTTGTTATTGACCAAATACTTATTTTCCACCATAATTTGCAAATAAATTCATTAAAAATCCTACAATGTGATTTTCTGGATTTTTTTTCCTCATTTTGTCTGTCATAGTTGACGTGTACCTATGATAAAAATTACAGGCCTCTCTCATCTTTTTAAGTGGGAGAACTTGCACAATTGGTGGCTGACTAAATAATTTTTTTCCCCACTGTATAGGGGGTGGAAAATAACTGACTCATATCGATGCAACATAGGCCATCTTCAAAACGAGAAGTAGTTTTTTTAGGGGCAGTCGCTCTTTAACAACCAATTCTTTACCACGACATAGCAAGATATCACTACAAATGAGACTAGTGCCTTGGGAGGCCACTCCCAGAAACTGGAATTGAAACTCTCCCCACCTCCCCCTCCCCCTGCACCTGACAACACATACCTATCCACTTCATCTATCCTAAAGCACCTGTGGTGAAAGCTATGCTTCTGCTGTGGCTGTCTACTAAGATGAACACACACGGACGGCCGGGGGGGGGATGGGCTGAGCCTAGATCAGCACTCTGCTTCCCCCAAACGGCCCAGTGGAACAGAACAGTGCCTTCAGAAAGTATTCATACACTTGTCCACATTCTGTTGTGTTACAAAGTGGGATTAAAATTGATTGAATATTCATTTTTTTTTATCTACACAAATGTCAAAGTGGAAGAAAAATATTTTACAAATGTTAGAATTTATGAAAAATAAAACACTAATATATCTTGATTACATAAGTATTCAACCCCCTGAGTCAATACATGTTAGAATCACCTTTGGCAGCGATTACAGCTGTGAGTCTTTTTGGGTTAGTCTAAGAGATTTGCACACCTGGATTGTACAATACTTGCACATTATTATTTTTGAAATTCTAGAAGCTATGTCAAGTTGGTTGTTGATCATTGCTAGACAGCCACTTTCAAGTCGTGCCATAGATTTTCAAGCAGATTTAAGTCAAAACTGTAACTAGGCCACTCAGGAACATTCAATGTCGTCTTTGTAAGCAACTCCAGTGTATATTTGGCCTTGTGTTTTAGGTTATTGTCCTGCTGAAAGGTGAACTTGTCTCCCAGTGTCTGTTGAAAAGCAGACTGAACCTGGTTTTTGCCTATGCTTAGCTCTATTCGGTTTCTTTTTATCCTAAAAAAAAAAACTCCCTAGTCCTTGCCGATGACAAGCATACCCATAACATGATGCAGCACCACTATGCTTGAAAATATGAAGAGTGGTACTCAGTGATGTATTGGATTTGCCCCAAACATAATGCTTTGTATTCAGGACATAATGTTAATTTCTTTGCCACATTGCTTGCAGTTATACTTTAGTGCCTTATATGCATATTTTGGAATATTTTTATTCTGTACAGGCTTCCTTCTTTTCTCTTTTCAAAGTGAAGAGACGACTCCGGGATGCTGACCTTCTAGGCAGAGTTGCAAAGATAAAGCCATATCACAGACTGCCCATCTTAATCTTTTATTTTTATTGGCCAGTCTGAGATATGCCCTTTTCTTTGCAACTCTGCCTAGAAGGTCAGCATCCCGGAGTCGCCTCTTCACTGTTGACGTTGAGACTGGTGTTTTGCGGGTACTATTTAATGAAGCTGCCAGTTGAGGACCTGTGAGGCGCCTGTTTCTCAAGCTAGACACTAATGTATTTGTCCTCTTGCTCAGTTGTGCACCGGGGCCTCCCACTCCTCTTTCTATTCTGGTTAGAGCCAGTATGCGCTGTTCTGTGAAGGGAGTAGTACACAGCGTTGTACGAGATCTTCAATTTCTCGCATGGAATAGCCTTCATTTCTCAGAACAAGAATAGACTGACGAGTTTTAGAAGAAAGTTATTTGTTTCTGGCCATTTTGAGCCTGTAATCGAACCCACAATTGCTGATGCTCCAGATACCCAACTAGTCTCAAGAAGGCCAGTTTTATTGCTTCTTTAATCAGCACAACAGTTTTCAGCTGTGCTAACATAATTGCAAAAGGGTTTTCTAATGATCAATTAGCCTTTTAAAATGATAAACTTGGATTAGCAAACACAACATGTCATTGGAACACAGGACTGATGGTTGCTGATAATGGGCCTCTGTACGCCTATGTAGATATTCCATTAAAAATCAGCCGTTTCCAGATACAACAGACATTTACAACATTAACAATGTCTACACTGTATTTCTGATCAATTTGATGTTATTTTTAAATGGACAAAAAAATTTGCTTTTCTATTGAAAACAAGGAAATGTCTAAGTGACACCAAACTTTTGAACGGTAGTGTACATGAAATCATCACAGATTACATGGACTTTACAGTCAGTCCCTGTTCCAACAGCACACACACCTCCATAAACATCCCCTATCTGGAAACACACTTCCCAAAGCCATCTGGACACACACACACACACACACACACACACACACACACTCACCCATTCTCCGATGGTGTGTGTGCGCAGGCTGCTGCTGTTGATGTTGACCTTGACCTCCTCCCAGAGGATTCTGTCTGGGCCACAGCGTCTGATCTTCTGACGCGTCTTCACAGCAAACACCAGAAGGATGATCAGACCCACAAATACCAAGACACCCAGGATGATGGCTATGACCTAAAGAGATAAGAGGAGAGAGACATTGTAACAAGATGGCTATGACCTGGGACAGAGAGGTGAGTCAGTGGGTTAGCATGTTCCACACAGGAAGAGGGATAATGCACCAAGCTGAAGAGTTAAATCTGTTATTTTAACTCATTGTAATCTGTACCAAGAAATATACAAATTGTATTTGAATTGTGCATTGAGGGGCGAGAAATGTACGCGACTGGAGACTACAGAGTGATCAAATGGAATTCAGCTTGAGAAGGTAAGAAAGGCAAGAGGGTGGTCTAAACGAGCTGCTTTCTTTGAAATGTATAATCAGCCGTAAGGAGACTGTAGCTATAGCTCTCTCTATCTGTAGCTCTCTCTATCTGTAGCTATAGCTCTCTCCATCTGTAGCTATAGCTCTCTCCATCTGTAGCTATAGCTCTCTCCATCTGTAGCTATAGCTCTCTCCATCTGTAGCTATAGCTCTCTCCATCTGTAGCTATAGCTCTCTCCATCTGTAGCTATAGCTCTCTCCATCTGTAGCTGTAGCTCTCTCCATCTGTAGCTCTCTCCATCTGTAGCTGTAGCTCTCTCTAGCTATAGCTCTCTCCATCTGTAGCTCTCTCTAGCTATAGCTCTCTCTAGCTATAGCTCTCTCTATCTGTAGCTATAGCTCTCTCTATCTGTAGCTATAGCTCTCTCTATCTGTAGCTATAGCTCTCTCTATCTGTAGCTATAGCTCTCTCTATCTGTAGCTATAGCTCTCTCTATCTGTAGCTATAGCTCTCTCTATCTGTAGCTATAGCTCTCTCTATCTGTAGCTATAGCTCTCTCTATCTGTAGCTATAGCTCTCTCTATCTGTAGCTATAGCTCTCTCTATCTGTAGCTATAGCTCTCTCTATCTGTAGCTATAGCTCTCTCTATCTGTAGCTATAGCTCTCTCTATCTGTAGCTATAGCTCTCTCTATCTGTAGCTATAGCTCTCTCTATCTGTAGCTATAGCTCTCTCTGTCTGTAGCTATAGCTCTCTCTGTCTGTAGCTATAGCTCTCTCTGTCTGTAGCTATAGCTCTCTCTGTCTGTAGCTATAGCTCTCTCTGTCTGTAGCTATAGCTCTCTCTATCTGTAGCTATAGCTCTCTCTATCTGTAGCTATAGCTCTCTCTATCTGTAGCTATAGCTCTCTCTATCTGTAGCTATAGCTCTCTCTATCTGTAGCTATAGCTCTCTCTATCTGTAGCTATAGCTCTCTCTATCTGTAGCTATAGCTCTCTCTATCTGTAGCTATAGCTCTCTCTATCTGTAGCTATAGCTCTCTCCATCTGTAGCTATAGCTCTCTCCATCTGTAGCTATAGCTCTCTCCATCTGTAGCTATAGCTCTCTCCATCTGTAGCTATAGCTCTCTCCATCTGTAGCTATAGCTCTCTCCATCTGTAGCTATAGCTCTCTCCATCTGTAGCTATAGCTCTCTCTATCTGTAGCTATAGCTCTCTCTATCTGTAGCTATAGCTCTCTCTATCTGTAGCTATAGCTCTCTCTATCTGTAGCTATAGCTCTCTCTGTCTGTAGCTATAGCTCTCTCTATCTGTAGCTATAGCTCTCTCTATCTGTAGCTATAGCTCTCTCTATCTGTAGCTATAGCTCTCTCTATCTGTAGCTATAGCTCTCTCTATCTGTAGCTATAGCTCTCTCTATCTGTAGCTATAGCTCTCTCTATCTGTAGCTATAGCTCTCTCTATCTGTAGCTATAGCTCTCTCCATCTGTAGCTATAGCTCTCTCCATCTGTAGCTATAGCTCTCTCCATCTGTAGCTATAGCTCTCTCTATCTGTAGCTATAGCTCTCTCTATCTGTAGCTATAGCTCTCTCTATCTGTAGCTATAGCTCTCTCTATCTGTAGCTATAGCTCTCTCTATCTGTAGCTATAGCTCTCTCCATCTGTAGCTATAGCTCTCTCCATCTGTAGCTATAGCTCTCTCTATCTGTAGCTATAGCTCTCTCTAAGCACATATTTGACACAATCTGACAGGAGCACCTGCAGGATCCCTAACAGAGGCTGCAGGAAAATACCCCATAGGCTAGGAGAGATGCAGCTCTTAAAATGACCCCTCGTGACCCCACTGGTACCCACCTCCTGAGGTTCCACCACACAGTAGTGGTAGAGGTACTGGTTGATGAAGATGCCCTGGGCTTGGTTCTGATTCTGGTACTGGGAACACAGCTGTATGATCTGGTTGTAGTAGACGGACCCTGAGGACTGGGCTGTGGGGTTTACCGCCACCAGGTAGACTATAGTAGCGATGATCATTAGTATCGCCAAGATGGCTGACACGATGATGGCCCCCAGGTAGAACTTTGGGGAACGGGACGTGTTCTGCCGCGACACCACTAGTATGAAGATGATGAGCACCGCGATGAAGGTGATGGCTGCTATGGCAATGATGAAGCCCTTCCCCGCCAGGGGGTCAGTCTGGGTCCCGCTTCCGTAGCTGCCTCCGCCATAGGACGAGCCTCCTCCTCCGACACCGCCGCCGTAGGAAGAGCCGCCGCCGTAGGACCCTCCATATCCGGCTCCGCCTCCGCCTCCGATGCCCAGCCCGGCGCCGATGCCGCCGCTCATTCCCATCATGCTCATGTCGTAGTCCCAGGCGAGTGTAGATGCCACGCAGGCGAAGACCGCTACGCACATGATGATGATGATGATGGAGATGATCTTCATCACCCCTGGAGGAGAGGTCCAGCGGTAGAAGTGGAGGAGCTCCTCGTCCGGGTAGTAAGAGTAGGCTGGGTTGGAGACACGCTCCTCATACTTGTACCTGTGTTCATGGCTGTTAAAGGGGGGGGAAGAGGTGGAAGGGGAGGAGGAGAAGTTAGAGGGGTAGACATAGAGAATGTATTACTCCTATTAACATGCAGAGTTGGGAAGGTTGTAGGGGATGATAGGGTGGGGGTGGAAGAGTAGGGTGATATGAATGATCTGATGAAGTAGAATGACAGGTGGGATGAGTATATTAATGTAGAGAGACGAGTCTATTAATGTAGAGGGATGAGTGTATTAATGTAGAGGGATGAGTGTATTAATGTAGAGGGATGAGTGTATTAATGTAGAGGGATGAGTGTATTAATGTAGAGGGATGAGTGTATTCATGCAGAGGGATGAGTGTATTCATGTAAAGGGATGAGTGTATTCATGTAGAGGGATGAGTGTATTCATGTAAAGGGATGAGTGTATTCATGTAGAGGGATGAGTCTAATGTAGAGGGATGAGTGTATTCATGTAGAGGGATGAGTCTAATGTAGAGGGATGAGTGTATTCATGTAGAGGGATGAGTGTATTCATGTAGAGGGATGAGTGTATTCATGTAGAGGGATGAGTGTATTCATGTAGAGGGATGAGTGTATTAATGTAGAGGGATGAGTCTATTAATGTAGAGGGATGAGTCTATTAATGTAGAGGGATGAGTGTGATGGGGATGATGAGGTGAGGTGGGATGAGGAAATAGGATGAGGATAGAGGGATGTGTGAGGAGTTGTGTGGGATCAATACATAGGATGAGAGAGGGAGGACTTACCGTCTGCTGCCCGGATGGTAAGAAGGAGGGGTGCGTTTGTTGTGAGAGGGCATTCTGGGATCCTCTGGTCCTCCTAGGTCTCAACTCCTCACTTTACCAAGTTGCTGCTGCACTATCTGAAGAAGAAAGAAAACATGTTAGCAACCAAGACAAAAACAGTACACTGTAAAAAGAATAATCCTGTTGTTTTTACGGTTACTGGAAGCCAGTTACCTGTAAATTACTGTAAAGAACGGTACAGTCTGTTACCGTTAATTTCCAAAGGAAATGTGGTTTAACAGTACATTACTGTACGAATATAATAGAAGCTATAATGTTGAGGGACAGTAAAAGTAAAAAAAATATTGTTCTCCAGATCAGAACACCCAAAATATTATCTTTCACCTTTTCCTAAAGAAGAATGGGCTAAACCCTGGGATGTAGTACCACCACCGATAAATCTACAATAATCGAGAATTTCAACAAGCATTTTGCTACAGCTGGCCATGCTTTCCATCTGGCTACCACTACCCCGGCCACCAACTCTGCACCCTCCGCTGCAACTTGCCCATGCCCCCCCCCCGCTTCTCCTTCACACAAATTCAGACAGCTGATGTTTTGAAAGCGCTGCAAAATCTGGACCCCTACAAATCAGCTGGGCTAGACAATCTGGACCCTTTCTTTCTAAAACTAGCCGCCGAAATTGTCGCAACCCCTATTACTAGTCTGTTCAACCTCTCTTTCATAACGTCTGAGATCCCCAGAGATTGGAAAGCTGCCGCGGTCATCCCCCTCTTCAAAGGGGGTGACACTCTAGATCCAAACTGCTACAGACCTATATCCATCCTGCCCTGCCTTTCGAAAGTATTTGAAAGCCAAGTTAACAAACAGATCACCGACTATTTCGAATACCACCGTACCTTCTCCGCTATGCAATCCGGTTTCCGAGCTGGTCATGGGTGCACTTCAGCCACGCTCAAGGTCCTAAACGATATTATAACCGCGATTGATAATAGACAGTACTGTGCAGCTGTCTTCATCGACCTGGCCAAGGCTTTCGACTCTGTCAACCACCGCATTCTTATTGGCAGACTAAATAGCCTTGGTTTCTCAAATGACTGCCTCGCCTGGTTCACCAACTACTTCTCAGATAGAGTTCAGTGTGTCAAATCGGAGGGCCTGTTGTCTGGACCTATGGCAGTCTCTATGGGGGTGCCACAGGGTTCAATTCTTGGGCCGACACTTTTCTCAGTGTATATCAATGATGTCGCTCTTGCTGCTGGTGACTCTCAGATCCACCTCTACGCAGACGACACCATTTTGTATACATCTGGCCCTTCATTGGACACTGTGTTAACAAACCTCCAAACGAGCTTCAATGCCATACAACACTCCTTCAGTAGCCTCCAACTGCTCTTAAACACTAATAAAACTAAATGCATGCTTTTCAATCGAACGCTGCTGGCACCCGCCCACCCGACTAGAATCACCACTCTCGACGGGTCTGACCTAGAGTATGTGGACAACTACAAATACCTAGGTGTCTGGTTAGACTGTAAACTCTCCTTCCAGACTCACATAAAGATTCTCCAATCCAAAGTTAAATCTAGAATCGGCTTCCTATTTCGCAACAAAGCCTCCTTCACTCATGCTGCCAAACATGCCCTCGTAAAACTGACTATCCTACCGATCCTTGACTTCGGCGATGTCATTTACAAAATAGCCTCCAACACTCTACTCAACAAATTGGATGTAGTCTATCACAGTGCCATCCGTTTTGTCTCCAAAGCCCCATACACTACCCACCATTGTGACCTGTACGCTCTTGTTGGCTGGTCCTCACTACATGTTCGTCGTCAAACCCACTGGCTCCAGGCCATCTATAAATCACTGCTAGGCAAATCCCTGCCTTATCTTAGCTCATTGGTCACCATAGCAGTACCCACCCGTAGTCTGCGCTCCAGCAGGTATATCTCACTGGTCATTCCCAAAGCCAACACCTCCTTTGGCCGCCATTCCTTCCAGTTCTCTGCTGCCAATGACTGGAACTAATTGCAAAAATCTCTGAAGCTGGAGACTCTTATCTCCCTCACTAACTTTAAGCATCAGTTGTCAGAGCACCTTACCGATCACTGCACCTGTACACAGCCCATCTGAAATTAGCCCACCCAACTACCTCATCCCTATATTGTTATTTATTTTGCTCTTTTGCACCCCAGTATCTCTATTTGCACATAATCTCTTGCACATCTAGCATTCCAGTGTTAATACTATTGTAATTATTTTGCACTATAGCCTATTTATTGCCTTACCTCCATAACTTGCTACATTTGCACACACTGTATATATATTTTCTGTTGTATTTTTGACTTTATGTTTTTTTACCCCATATGTAACTCTGTGTTGTTTTTATTGCACTGCTTTGCTTTATCTTGGCCAGGTCGCAGTTGTAAATGAGAACCTGTTCTCAACTGGCTTACCTGGTTAAATAAAGGTGAAATAAAAAAATAAAAAAATTGTACAAGCACTTGAACATGACTTGAAGAGAGGTGGCCTTTTCAAACGTGTGCTGCTACTATTACTACTGTTACTAACTACACAAAGGTTACATCCCAAATGGCACCCTATTGCCTATAGTGTACCACTATAGATCCCTGTTATAGGAATCTGGTCAAAAGTAGTGCACTATGTAGGGAATAGGGTGACATTTGGGACAAAAAAAACACTGACTACACAAACATCTCCTGCATAGTAGGCCCTTCTGCAGCCTAGGAGAGAGGGGAAGAGCACAGCAGCAGTAACGTGTTCTCATTGTGGTTCTTTACAGAAACTAGCCCAATAGACTAAAGGAGCCTAACGTTCCTCCTTATAGTCCAAAAGGACCTTGCATGTTCTGTTTAGAGGCGAATTGGCTCTGGCATCCAAATCAGCGAATACTCGATCTAAACGTGAATCGATTCTCAATTGCGGTCCACTTCTACAAACATAAATCCCTCTACTTTCATATCACATCAAAAATAATTTAAGAGTTGCAAAATACACACTTACTGTACACTGTTTTAAGCGGGTTTAACACAGTTGCAGCCGACAGTGTTTTTCAGGTGACAACACGTTTGAGGCGTCCGTCTTCCGTTTGCACACAGGTGTTCAGAGACACAGATAGACAATTAGCACAGGTAGTCCATTCTGTTTTCCGTAAACAACCGCTGTAACATGGAAATATGGCATTGTGGGAACAGGAACACTAACCCTAGCAAGTTGTGTATCAATTTAACCTTTTGTTTTTCGAAAATAATTGTTTGCTGATATGAAAGATAAGGTTCTTAGATTTAGATTGAGCGTCGGGGCTCTTAACAAAACTCCCCTTACAGAAGATGCCTCTGTCCAATGATTTGTGTGTAATGATCAAGGGTAAATCCTGACCTACAGAATTGATTGGTATTATAATAGGCTGGAGTTGGGTGCGGTTATACAATAGTTGTATACTATTGGCTATACGTAGAAGGAATCACCCTGATATTTTTGAATATTGGGAAAATTCCAAAACAAATGTTGTTATTTGAATTGAATTAAATGCAATAAAAATAACCTGATGAATGAGGGGGAAATAATTGCCTTGGCTTTTTTTAATTTCACACCTCAGTTTTGAAAATCGTAGGAAATGATTATCGGTGTGTAGAGTAAACGACCCAAATATCAACAAATCGTCAAGGAACGTTTTCGAATATAATTCTACAGAATAAAATATGTACATGATCCAGTTAAACTTCAATAATGTGCGCAATGGTAGCCTACTCTCCAGGTTTGTTATCAAATAAAATAAAATAAACATTTATCTAAAATTCACAGCCAGCATAAAAAATACACCACGATTGAAAATCCAAGAAAGAAGGCCATTTGATAGACCTACATGGTAAATTACATATGAACATATCACCAAAAGTTACAAAAAACATTGACGGCAAACTCACCTGTTCGTGATTATCCACACACTACGGATGCAGGCTGAAATTCGTATGCTATTGTCGAACACACCTATGCAGGTTGCGCTCTCTCATTGGAGATGACGGTAGTGAACTGTCTCCTCCCGGTCACTCCCCTATGCAGAACACAAAGTTTGTTCTGTGCCTCTAATCTTTGTTTGAAATGTATGACATTCCTTGTGGACTAGTCTTCCCTTAGACCTAATTGTCACCAACATCTAATATACAAAGAATGTAGTATATCAAGAACAAATTGAGGGTGGGAGTGTTTAGGTACATTTGGACACATCAAATAATTTTTGTTTGTCACCCATGTGTTTATTAATCAATAATGGCTAAAACGGGATCCCAATAGTATTGAAACATTGGGTCAAAATGTTTGCTGACAGAGTAGGTGATACAGAAGTAGATAGGCTTTGTTTCCTTGACATCTGTTAACTTCCTGGTCCTATGCTAGGTTGAAGATAACCAAAGTTAAGTCAAGAGGGTTCTAATATCGCAGAACTCTTTGCATAAATAAGGACTAATTCTAAACTAAGGCACCAGATATGCTAGTTAGCAACAGCGCTGGTCCCATGAATCTGTTTATTTTCATTATTTTGAAAAGCTTCCGCATGGAATCATAACTTGCCCTGAACTGTGTATCTTCAACCGTGGGTAAGATGACACCTTGGTGCTTGGGGGGTCGCAGTGGAACCCGACACTGTTATGGTTTGAATAGGGAACTGTGACGCCGAACGCTCTGCCCCCCCCCTTCCCCCTCTAGTGTATATCATGACCAAACCAGTCCTCCAGGCCTTAAGGAGACCAACAACATCCATGTCATGAGGACTAGGCAAGATTCCACACAGACAGGAAGTGAGAGTGAGAGACATTGTTTAGGTAACATTCCCTTTGTAACAGACACTGATTGATAGAAAAATGATCCAGTTTCCAGTCTTCTCTGACATTCATCGACCCACTGACATAGTCACACACTCCTATTACTAATAGAATGGTCATTTCTACTATAAAAAAAAGGCATCATAGTTTATAGGATCTTTATCAAACAGTGCTGAAATCATAGACTTTCTGGACTTTCATTCATTATCAAGAAATTACAAGTACACCAGTAAGCAAGAAGAAAACAGAAATATATGATACTGGATAACGTTTTTTAAATAACAATTTTACACATAAATGTACAAAAGTTATCAGATGTGCCATGTGTTCCAAATAAACCACCTCGATTGACATCAGAGTAAAACATTGGACTGTGTTCATGTACACCCAGAAGCTGCAAAACAGTTTTTGAAAAACACAAGTCAACAATTACATAAAATACATAGTAGGGCTTTGTCACTTAATAAAACAACTATTGCGAAAAGGTCTGTTGAGGAAATCATAACAGATTTGTTTAGTTTCATACAGTTACAGTATCTAGAGTTTACAAAATGGTACAATGGAGGCATAAATAATTATACACAAAATAATGACATCGGCCCACTTTATCAAATTGATGGTGGGATCCTGTGTAGAGATTGAACTGTACTTCATAGGTTGGGATCCTGTGTAGAGATTGAACTGTTCTTCAGGGTTGGGATACTGTGTAGAGATTGAACTGTACTTCATAGGTTGGGATACTGTGTAGAGATTGAACTGTTCTTCAGGGCTGGGATACTGTGTAGAGATTGAACTGTACTTCATAGGTTGGGATACTGTGTAGAGATTGAACTGTTCTTCAGGGCTGGGATACTGTGTAGAGATTGAACTGTACTTCATAGGTTGGGATACTGTGTAGAGATTGAACTGTACGTCATAGGTTGGGATACTGTGTAGAGATTGAACTGTACTTCATAGGTTGGGATACTGTGTAGAGATTGAACTGTACTTCATAGGTTGGGATACTGTGTAGAGATTGAACTGTACTTCATAGGTTGGGATACTGTGTAGAGATTGAACTGTTCTTCAGGGCTGGGATACTGTGTAGAGATTGAACTGTTCTTCAGGGCTGGGATACTGTGTAGAGATTGAACTGTACTTCAGGGTTTTGGATACTGTGTAGAGATTGAACTGTACTTCAGGGCTGGGATACTGTGTAGAGATTGAACTGTACTTCAGGGTTGGGATACTGTGTAGAGATTGAACTGTACTTCAGGGTTTTGGATACTGTGTAGAGATTGAACTGTACTTCAGGGTTGGGATACTGTGTAGAGATTGAACTGTTCTTCAGGGCTGGGATACTGTGTAGAGATTGAACTGTACTTCAGGGTTTTGGATCCTGTGTAGAGATTGAACTGTACTTCAGGGTTGAGCAGTGGCAACCAACTTACAATTATGGCAATGGACAAAAATATCACCGACATAAATAAAAACAAATGCATCAGATAAGAAGAAAACGTGTAGATTATAAAACCGGCCTCAATATCAACTTTGTGGCACTAAAATCTTTATACGATTTGACCCATGGCAATGTCCATATGATGCATATAACTGGCAAGGAATGGCCTCCAACATAATGTAATGGAGGGTAAGCTACAGCGTTCGGGCTTGACCTGGCTCAGTTAAGCTGCACAGTTCAGTGAGTGTGTGTGTGTGTGTGTGAGTGAGTGAGTGAGTGAGTGAGTGAGTGAGTGAGAGTGAGTGAGTGAGTGAGTGTGTGAGTGTGTGAGTGTGTGTGTGAGTGAGTGAGTGAGTGAGTGAGTGTGTGTGTGAGTGAGTGTGTGAGTGTGTGTGTGAGTGTGTGAGTGAGTGAGTGAGTGAGTGAGTGTGTGAGTGAGTGAGTGAGTGAGTGAGTGAGTGAGTGAGTGAGTGAGTGAGTGAGTGAGTGTGTGTGTGTGTGTGTGTATGTGTCTAGCTGAATCCGTCGTTCCAGTCCATGACCTTGTTGTATTCGTTGATCTTCTGTTTGATGTGGGACAGTTTGTTCTTGAGGTACTCACACCTTTCCCTCTTCTCAAGGAACGTAGGATCCTGACAACAAGAGAGAAAAAGTAACATTTGTTTACTGTCTCCATCTCTCTCTTTCACCATCTGCCTCTCTCACACACACCTCAACCTCCTAAAGACATCAGTGGAAACAAAGTCCCATGGTGGCGCAGCGGTCTAAGGCACTGCATCTCAGTGCTTGAGGCGTCACTACAGACCCCCTGGTTCGATTCCAGGCTGTATCACAACCGGCCATGATTGGGAGTCCCATAGGGCGGCGCACAATTGGCCCAGCGTCGTCCGGGTTTGGCCGGTGTAGGCCGTCATTGTAAATAAGAATTTGTTGTTAACGGACTTGCCTAGTTAAATAAAATAAAATAAGTCTTGCCATTTGATGAGGTAATAGTGGAACTGACAGCCATCAGATAAGGGCATAGTTGCATTTGATGTTGTATCTAACAAAAGTCCTAGTCTGTGTAGACGGGACAGAGATAAACGCTTCAACAGGAGGTCTGAGTGAGGAGTGGAGAGGAAGAGCTCTGACCTACCGTCAGTCCGTCACACGTCATTGGTTTACCTGAAAGGGAAACTACCTGAAACTATGAAACCTCCTACACAAACAGGTTCTACAGATCAACATATACATGGGCGTCGCCCATAAACATATTACAGAAACCTAAAAGTATTCTACAGATCATTATTAGGGCTCAGGACCTGTAGTGGGTCCCTTACCTATACACATTTTTTATTAAATAAGATTCAAAATCACTTACCGCTTTCTTTCTCTGGTACTCCAATACTATGGTATTGATGCGTTCCTTCTCCTGAAAGAAGATCTTTAACTTTGAAAAAGGGATTGGTAAAAAGCACTATAATGACGTGAATGGACATTAGGCTATAATTTATGGTAGCTTTATGTTTGTCAATTTGATCTGTGTGTGTGTGTGTGTGTGTGTGTGTGTGTGTGTGTGTGAGTGAATAGTCTACGTGTGACGTGCTTGTGTATCTCTCTGTCTCAGTACCAGTTGGCTGGAGGGCCGTGGAGGCAGGTTCCTCATCAGTTCGTCCATCTCGTCAAACCTCTTGGCCATGGCCTGGACCTCAGCATGCAGCTCCTTGTACTCAGCATACTGGTCTTTAAACACAGCCTTGTACTGGTCCCTCTCCTCCTCCGTACGGATGGTCGGGTACTTCCTGTTGACACCGGAGATAGAAAGTAGAGGTCGTCAACAAGCATGGGTGCATCTCAATAGTCTAAAATGAGTCGTCCTATACACACACATCTGCAAATGAACCTCATAGAAATGCAGGGTATGCTTGTTTTTTTAAGGCCTTCATATGTAGAAACAGATGTCTACCTCCTGGGCAACCAGGTGTGTAAACTATCTTGCCAAGCCCAACAATGGCATTAACTGATCCATTAAGAGAGTGAGAGAGAGAGAGAGAAATAGCAAAACAGCAGGACTGAGTGTGGCCCTCGTGAGCTGGAGTTCTGCGCCATGTGACCGTAGATAGATAACTGTGTAGTAGGAAGCAGACGGTCACAGTCAGCTACCCTTTGGTACTTAAGGTCCATACATTTGATTTTATTTCACCTTTATTTATGCAGGGAAGTTCCATTGAGACCAAAGTCTCTTTTTCAAGGGAGTCCCTTCTTCACAAAAATTATGCAAATACAAAGTACATAATAAGGAAGCATTGATACGAATTACAACGAATAAAGGCAGTGGCATGATATACAACAATACAAATGATTTTTTTTTTTAAACGCGTACATCTGTCTGAGAACATGTCAAATAAAGTTGGATGGGTGGTTAGTACTCACGCCACATAGTCTGCAATGATTACAGGTTTGGGGATGTGTCCTGCAGGGATGTGTCCTCTGAGGATCTCTGGCTCCATCATCAGAGGGACGGCTGGAGAGGCAACATGGCCGTCCAACACCTCTGGGATAGTCTGGAGGGCGGGGAGAGGGGTCTGCTCTGAGGTCCTGTAACCGCCCAGCTGGGGAAGGATTGTGATGGGAGGCATGGTTACTGTGTTGTCAGCAGAGTTGAGGTCAATTCCATTTAAGTTAGTGTCAATTCAGAAAGTAAACCAAATTGCAATTCTACGTGTTCAAGTGGAATGTCAGTGTACTTCCTGAATTAACTGGAATTTAAATGGTTGTCAGTATGTATGCTCAGTGTAATGGAATGAAGAATGTGACATTTGCACCTTGGGTGTGAGAAAAGCGCTTTACAAATTAAATGAATGATTATTAATTAAAGTTTTCTACTAGTGTACTAAGAGACTTACAGCAGATATTGGCAGGGAAGATCCAATGGTTTTCATCTGAGAACAAACAAGACAAATGGCAAAGGATTTGTCATAGAACACTAAAATTGCAGCCCACAAGGACAATTGTGTGTGTGTGTGTGTGTTTGCAGGTGTGTGTGTCTGTGTGTGTGTGTATGTGTCTGTGTGTGTGTGTGTTTGCAGGTGTGTGTGTGTGTGTGTCTGTCTGTGTGTGTATGTGTCTGTGTGTTTGCAGGTGTGTGTGTGTGTGTCTGTGTGTGTATGTGTCTGTGTGTGTGTGTGTCTGTGTGTCTGTCTGTGTGTGTGTGTCTGTGTGTGTATGTGTGTGTATGTGTCTGTGTGTGTGTGTCTGTGTGTCTGTGTGTCTGTGTCTGTGTGTGTGTGTGTGTGTGTGTATGTATGTCTGTGTGTGTGTGTCTGTCTGTGTGTCTGTGTCTGTGTGTCTGTGTATGTGTGTGTGTTTGCAGGTGTGTGTCCCATCCCGCCCTCACCTCCTGCGCTAGCCCCTCCCTCCTCAGCCTCGCCGCCTCGTGCCGCCACAACTTCAGACACACGGCGGCGCCCACAAAATATATAATCATGTTGACAAACAGAAAAATAATGGCGGCGGTCTGGCCGGCCTCTGTGCGACAGAAGGCCCCGTTGACGCCGTTGTTGAAGACGGGGATGTAACAGAGTCCTCCTCTGGTCGTGTCCCTGACGTACATTACCGCTGCTGCCATGTAGAGAACCCCAAGGGCCAGGTTAATCACACACTCAGTCATGGGCCACCAGGACGAGTCTAGGAGGATGGTACGGTAGTACATGGTCATCCCCAGGACTAGCATAATGACTGTTACTATCCAGGCCAGGCCAGCCACTACCAAGACGAAGGGGGTTTTGGGTCCGTCGTAGCTGAATCCGCTGCCTCCGTAGGCCGCTGCGCCGCCCCCTAACCCCCCGAACAACTGTGGCTGGGAGTAGCCAAACATCTTGAACCACTCGTTGTCCTTGTGCACATAGGCGCAGGCGCAGGCGAAGACGACGGCGCCCAAAAGGAGCTCCACACAGCCCAGGATGCGCAGTAGCCCCGCCCAGGACTTCATATAGGCGTAGCGCTGGTGGTAATCCTCTACCCGCTCGCTGTAGGTCTTGGCTGAGCGGAAAGTGATGCCCGAGACTGACTCGATGGCATCGACTCCTAGCAACATGGCGTCACGTTCTTTTCGGGAGTTGTAGCTGCCGCCAGAGCCTCCGTACGGGTCCCGGTAGGAGCCGGGGAGGGAGGGAGAGGGGGGAGGGGAGCAGGGGACACCTCTAGTGGTTCCTGGTTTGAGGTCGTCTTTTTCCGTCAGCGGCGGGGAGGGGGGCGGGGGGAAGGAGAAGGGCTTGTTGCTGCTACTACGGATACTGTTGCCGCGGAAGAAGTCCTTGACGGAGTCAGGGATGAAGCGGTGGACGGGTTTGATGTCCATGGCTGCTCTGTCGTTGTCAAGGTGCTCCGAGGCACCGTTGCTAGGGGGGTAGAAGTCAGGGCCCACGGGGGGCTGGTCTGGGAGGGGAGGGGGGGGCAGGGGGTCGGAGCTCACGGCCAGGTCTGCCCCCCTGAAAACCCCAAGGGAGCGGGGAGGAGGAGGGGGGTCCTGGTCCCTCCATAAGGAGCCCACTGGGACCTGGTCGTAGTGAGGTTCTGCATCCCGGACACCGTCGAAACGGCCGGAGGAACCACCTCTAGCAGACATGGGGACTCACTGGTCTCAGCCCTAGTACAGACACGGAAAGGAGAGGAGAGAGGCTGTGATTAGAAAATGCAGGACAATATTGTCAAAGGATGAGCTGCTTGATAGTCTGGAATCTATGCTGTATACTTTGTGTGACCTCTCGCCGCCTTGTAAACTACCGTTACAAAAAGCATTACAGGTCAAAGATTGGGAACCTCAAGACATGAGGCATGATCGGGATTACTATTACAGTGTGTGGTGTGTGGACAGTAGTTGCACGCAAACTGGCACTGTCTTCAATCAGGGGCTTCCTGGGAATTGAACATGGAAACCATGGCAATGCCAGATATACTGTTACCCCCCAGATAACACAAAGAACCTACACGTAACCCCAGATTCAACCAAACTTTATGTGGATTCCTGGAAAGCAGTCAATTGTTAGTGAGTGGACTATCCTGGTGGTTAAATCAATAAAAAACGAAATTAAAAAATGTCTCCCACAAACAAAACAATGTGGGGAAAGTTTGGTAACAACTTTATAGTTTTCTATAGCATGTCAAGTAACTCAAGTAAATCTCCCATCCCCAAATGACCACAATATCAACATCTCTTCACAATTTTGGTATGACACAAAATAAATGTTGTATGAATAGTAACGTCACAAAACAAAACAAAAAAAATGGAAAATGGTTGGAATAATACCTCTTTTAACACACAGTCACCGGGCCAGACTCACATGGCCTTGCTGTTCAGTTTGAATATGTTTATGTGGCTCTGCTTTTCTCTCTGGCTGTGTCACCTGGAACGAGGACAAACAGGTGACAGTCAGTTACACTTTGGGAGTTTGTGTGTCTGGCCCGGGTTACCCCGGTGGGAGAAGTTTGAACCAGGTGAAAAGTGATTGCATTTGTTTTGGAACCAGGCTGCCTCCCGGCGTGAGCCAAGTGCCCGCTCTCTCTGGTCGATGGTGAAGGTGGCTAAAAACAAAAGTGACATAATTAAGCATGTGGAGTGATCAGTAGGATTCTGTGTTTTCACATGCAGAAGTGATTGCTTTTGATAAAAACGTTTTATCTGCCTTCCCAATGAGAACTAGTTTAACAATTCAAAACATGTATTTTATGGAAAAGAGATGATGCACCATGCTGCCTTGTTGACAACATGACCAAACAGTGCAGATTACTGTTTGATTTGAAAAAGGGCACTCCTCCCTCCCCGCTTTTGCTCAATAACGTGACTGCCCATTGCCCAGTTCAACCCGGGCCAGCGTAATAGAACTCCCTCAATGACCTACATGCATCAAATCAAATCAAATCGTATTTGTCACATGCGCGGGAATTACCGTGAAATACTTACTTACAAGCCCTTAACCAACAATGCAGATCAAGAAATAGAGTTAAGAAAATATTTACTTAATACACTAAAGTAAAAATAAATAAATGATAATAACACAATAAAATAACGAGGGTATATACAGGGGTTACCGGTACCGAGTCAATGTGCAGGGGGTACAGGTTAGTCGAGGTAATTGGTACATGTAGGTAGGGGTAAAGTCGGAGGAAGGATGTGTACCGAATATCGACAGTATATCCGACACACTTTCATAAATGTACTGTAGGTTTACAAAAAGGTAAACGCACAAAGGATCAATCTGCTGACCGATTTGTTCTGACCTAACATAGCAAAAAAATTTTAAAGAGACTGTAGCAGCCTGTTACAACTTGGAAGTTAGGTGTGTGTGTGTCTTTGTTGACATAAAAAAACTAATCTAAACCACATGAGACAAGGCTACACCAAATTTGAACTAAAACTCTCATGTCCACAACTTCATTAAATCAATAGACATTGTCTGATTGTTAGACATTTTGGCATGCAGTCCACCACATGGCCAAGAGGAGGTACCTTCGGGAACATTCTACAAACAATGTATAATTATTATTTGTATTACGATAATTGGCCTAACCGCTGTATATAGAACAACTGATCTTTCACGTTTTTATTAATATGAACCGGATTTGTACCAGGTTGGTGTCCAGGCAGTTTTACATCCCCCAAAACTTGCTATTTGCATCGTCACATATAACCTACACAAACCTGATAACCACATTTATTGAAACATCTGTAATATCCATTCCTACATGTGACAACTCCGTTGATGTTTTATTAAGAAATGATTTGAATTTTGCTTACCTGCCGTTGATAAATCCACCTGTTCTTTCCGCCAATTAACTTCCGCAGAACGCAGGCGCTGAACCATGTGACCAACCCATCCCTGTGAGTGACATAGCTGTCTGCCAAGAAACACACCTGGGCTGGCCGGTCGAACCACGGGTGTATTCATTACGCCGATTCTGTTGCAAAACGTTTCGTCTGTTGCGAAACCGTTTAAATAATTTACATTACATTTTACATTTTAGTCATTTAGCAGACGCTCTTATCCAGAGCGACTTACAGTTAGTGAGTGCATACATTTTGTAAAAAAAAAATTGATAAAAAAAAACATACTGGCCCTACTCCAAACGGAAAACGTTTTGCCACGAAAACTAGAGTTTCTATTGGACAAATCCAGGTAGGTCGCTCCGTTTGGTTCTTAAACGGTAAATGGTTCCTGTTGCAAGACGTAATAAATACACCCCAGACTTAACTGGGCAGAAAAAACGCAATGTAACGTTCAATTAAACGGGAACGGTTCGGTTCTGAACGACCAGTTGAAACACGAGGAAGGGTTGTGTTGCTGTTTGGGGAAACGTGCCGTTCAGTACAAGCCCGTACGCAACGTAGCAAAAGTTTAATCGAACTGAACGCACCCCTGGTGTGGTGGGTGGGTGTGACTGGCGCTCTCTCAAAACGGAGATCGAAACCGGTAATATGATCTGAAACCCCCTGGCTCCTTTGACTACTAATTGCTACTTTTTTTGCCGTTACTCTAAATTAGCATTTTACTCCAATGAATTATAGTCTAGCAGACTAGGCTTGCTCCTCCAGCTGGCTATTTCAGTTGCAGAGGCAGAGCATCAATTGAAATACAATCTCAGTGTAGTTTATAGCCTATAGCAGTGGTGTCAAACATACGCGAGGGGTACAATCCAGCCTACGGGTGGTTTGAGTATAGACAACAATTTACTTAAATTACTAAACCAAATCGAAACTGAGGTCCTTCCCCTCTGACCTTCTCCTCCAATGGGTTTTGAGGAGGTGAGGAGTATGCGATTGAGATTCTCCCTGTGTAGAAATTATATTATAGACCTACATTCATCAGATTGCTAATAATCACCGAAATGAAAGCTATACAGTCAGGGAGCTTCGAAAACGATGGATAGCGATATTTTTTTTTGAAAATGTTGACGGTGAGGAAATATAACCAGTCTTCAGTGCGGCCCTCTGAACCTCGTCCGAATACGGCTCCCGGGGCAAAATGAGGGACACCCCTGGCTTATAGCTACAGATCCAACAATCACCAGTTGATCGTAAATGCATTTTTATTCTTTATTATGTTGTTCCGCCATCATTCCTTCCTTGTACAGTATAAAGCTTTAGCCATACAAAACGACCACAATCTACTGTTAAAACCTGTGAGTATTTCATGGAAATACTAGCGGTATGAGGACAAAATGAAATGTTTCATGCATCTTTTCAAAATAATATGGAAATATTAAACCTAAAATGAAAAAAAAACTTCTGGCAAAAACATAATTCCTGCAATATTATTAAGTGTTGTTGAAATTTGAATGACATGACTATGTTTATCACTATCAATGTCTACAAGAAATTATGAATTTAAGAGAAGATAATACAATTCAAAAATAACATTTTTAAACAAACAAAAACATTTAACCAAAAGGCATGAGTTTTTATTTATTTATGTAGATAAACTATTGGAATGCAATAAATGCAAAATAAGCTGAATGTGCCAAAAATAAATTGTAATCAGTTTTAAATCAATCAATGCCACAAGCAAATGCAGCATGCATCTAATTAATACACATTCAATTTTGCACATCCTTAGACTCTAAAATGACAAAACATTTCCCTTAGAGTAGAGATATAGCGATTGCATGCATTTGGACTTAAATACTGCCCAAATCTTGTGATGACATGGCTTTTCATGACTTCTAGCTTGTACCTGAACAGCTCTTGCAACACGGTCAGTATCTAAACATGCTTACTGCCCCTTGCTTTCATCGCAAATGAAGGTGTGGTTAACCATACAGTCCAACGGAATAAACACAGCCAATGTGTGCATCCCAAATGACACCCTCTACCATATATAGTGCACTACCTTTGACCAGTGTCCTAGGCCCTGGTCAAAACTAGTGCACTATATAGTGAACAGGCTGCCATTTGAGATACACCCATTTATTATCATTACGCTGGGCCTCTGCTCAGTGAGGTAACCATGCCCTGCTCTTTACCTGTGTGTGTGAGTGTGGTTGTCCATGTCTTAGACTGTAAACATGTCTACGATAAGAGTGTACTGTTTACCAATATTATGTCATCAATGTTGTCGACTATGCTAGATGGTTTTCGGGTTTTTTTTTTCGGACCTGGGGCATATTTTTTTTGTTCCAGTCCAAGACTATCACACCCATTTCAACAACTCAAATGATTGGTTGATCAATTCAACAATCAGGTGTGATACACGTTGTGCTCGAACCAAAACCAGGACCAGGATTTCAAGCCTCAGTACTATCCTAGCAAAGCCTAGTATGTGTGTGATTGATATAAGTTAAAGGTGTTTAGATTTTTTTCAACAAACATGAAGAGTCCCATGGTATGTTTTTCTGGTATGAAGAATATTCCAGCCATGCACTGTTTTGGTTTCTAGGGTTTGTGTCCGTGCTAGTTGTTGTCCTTCACCCACTGCTCTATCCACTGGACTATCTGCTCCAGGTTACGCTCCAGGTCCTCAGGCTCGTTGCTGGGCAACTGGTGGACAATCTCCTCCTTGTAGGCCTCCATGGCCTCCTCATAGATGGTCTGGAAGATCTCACACTGGACATTGTCCTGCAGCTTCTTCCCTGTGTAGCCCCTGTAGAGGGGAGAAAGAGACAGATCATGTGTCAGAGCTTTCTGTCTCCTCCATAGGGTCTTAACAGGGAAGAGGGAAGTGTTTTGTACAGTCTTAATTCTCTATGTGCTTTGCATTTCTTCTAAAGGTGGTACACAGAGAGAGAAATAAGAAAATGTATAAATGTCTTCCCTGTGTAGCCCCTATGGAGGAGAGAGATAGCCTGTCTTCCCTGTGTAGCCCCTATGGAGGAGAGAGATAGCCTGTCTTCCCTGTGTAGCTCCTATGGAGGAGAGAGATAGCCTGTCTTCCCTGTGTAGCCCCTATGGAGGAGAGAGATAGCCTGTCTTCCCTGTGTAGCTCCTATGGAGGAGAGAGATAGCCTGTCTTCCCTGTGTAGCCCCTATGGAGGAGAGAGATAGCCTGTCTTCCCTGTGTAGCCCCTATGGAGGAGAGAGATAGCCTGTCTTCCCTGTGTAGCCCCTATGGAGGAGAGAGAGAGCCTGTCTTCCCTGTGTAGCTCCTATGGAGGAGAGAGAGAGCCTGTCTTCCCTGTGTAGCCCCTATGGAGGAGAGAGATAGCCTGTCTTCCCTGTGTAGCCCCTATGGAGGAGAGAGATAGCCTGTCTTCCCTGTGTAGCCCCTATGGAGGAGAGAGATAGCCTGTCTTCCCTGTGTAGCCCCTATGGAGGAGAGAGATAGCCTGTCTTCCCTGTGTAGCCCCTATGGAGGAGAGAGATAGCCTGTCTTCCCTGTGTAGCTCCTATGGAGGAGAGAGATAGCCTGTCTTCCCTGTGTAGCCCCTATGGAGGAGAGAGATAGCCTGTCTTCCCTGTGTAGCTCCTATGGAGGAGAGAGATAGCCTGTCTTCCCTGTGTAGCTCCTATGGAGGAGAGAGATAGCCTGTCTTCCCTGTGTAGCCCCTATGGAGGAGAGAGATAGCCTGTCTTCCCTGTGTAGCCCCTATGGAGGAGAGAGATAGCCTGTCTTCCCTGTGTAGCCCCTATGGAGGAGAGAGATAGCCTGTCTTCCCTGTGTAGCCCCTATGGAGGAGAGAGATAGCCTGTCTTCCCTGTGTAGCCCCTATGGAGGAGAGAGATAGCTTGTCTTCCCTGTGTAGCCCCTATGGAGGAGAGAGATAGCCGTTTTAGACTACTGAGACGAGCCATAATGGGTTGTGGTCCACTGGCCTGTTTACGCATCCACCATAGTTGCTGGGACCGTGCTGAAAGTACAATGAGCAAATAAAACCTCTGAGCCAGCGCAGAAAGATTTGGGTTGGCACGATAGTATGAAAAAAGTAAGAAGGAGAGAGACATAGTGTATGTAGCCCTTTTGGAAAACAGCACGTCAGTGATAATTCGTATACGTGACGTCTAGCAAATACACTGTTAAATGTTTTCAATTTGCCAGGAGAAACCCACCTGCCCTCCAGCCGGCTATAGAGGTTGGTGTTGTCTGTGCGGAGCACGAAGACAATCTGGAACCAGCGCTCTGGGAAGAAGTCACAGCCGTGGTAGTCCACTATCACCCCTCCGTCCCCCATCTTATCCTCCAGCTCATCCACCACCTGGAACACACAATGAAATAAAAACAGTCAGCCTTAAACTTCGACGGGAATCAAAACACACTGGAGTCCTGTGGCGGGTAACTGCAGTACCTAAAATACACAGGCTTTGTCTGGCTTCGTCATGAGGATGTGAATAGACTGTTTTAGAGGAGATAAGACTCACCCGGTCCTCATCTAGAACTGGGCACTGGTACTCTTCATCAAAGCCATCAAACAGCTGCCCTGAAGAGACCAAAATAAACAACGTCATCAGCATGATCTCCAAAACTTCGAATTAGATAGATAGGCCTATTTATACTCCTTTCATGTGAAAACACAATGATAGTCGAGATGGGGTAGTGTTATGATAGATACAGTGACTTCAGAAAGTATTCATACCCCTTGACTTATTCCACATGTTGTTGTGTTACAGCCTGAATTCAACATGGATTAAATATATGTTTTTTTCTCACCAATCTACACACAATACCCCATAACAAAGTAAAAATAAATATATAAATATATAATTTACATATGTACTCACAACCCTGAGTCAATACTTTGTAGAAGCACCTTTGGCAGCGATTACAGCTGTGAGTATTTCTGGGTAAGTCTCTAAGAGCTTTCCACACCTGGGTTGTGCAACATTTGGCCATCATTCTTTTCAAAATTATTCAAGCTCTGTCAAATTGGTTGTTGATCATGGCTAGACAACCATTTTCAGGTCTTACCATAGATTTTCAAGTAGATTCAAGTCAAAACTGTAACTTGGACACTCAGGAACATTCACTGTCTTCTTGGTAAGCAACTCCAGTATAGATTTGGCCTTGTGTTTTAGGTTATTGTCCTGCTGAAAGGTGAATTAATCTCCCAGTGTCCGGTGGAAAGCAGACGTAACAGGTTTCCCTCTCGGATTTTGCCTGTGCTTAGCTCCATTCCATTTCTTCTTTTTTTTATCTTGAAAAACCCAGTCCGATTATAAGCATACCCATAACATGACGCAGCCACCACTATGCTTGAAAATATTGAGAATGGTACTCAGTAATGTGTTGTATTTCCACAAACATAACACTTTGTATTCAGGACAAAACGTTAATTGTTTTGCCACATTTTTTGCAGTATTACTTTAGTGCCTTGTTGCAAACAGGATGCATGTTTTGGAATATTTTTATTCAGTACAGGCTTCCTTCTTTTCACTCTGTAAATTAGGTTATTATTGTGGAGTAACTACAATGTTGTTGATCCATCCTCAGTTTTCTCCTATCACACCCATTAAACTCTGTAACTATCACACCCATTAAACTCTGTAACTTACAGTCATGCACGCATGACTGTAAGTCGCTTTGGATAAAAGCGTCTGCTAAATGGCATATTATTATTATTATTATTTTTAAAGTCACCATTTAAAGTCCTCTCTAGCAACTGAGTTAGGAAGGACACCTGTATCTTTGTAGTGAATGGGTGTATTGATACACCATCCAAAGTGTAACTAATAACTTTACCATGCTCAGAGGGATATTCAATGTCTGCTTTTTAAAAATGTTCTACCCATCTACTAAAAGGTGCCCTTTGCGAGGCATTGGAAAACCTCCCTGGTCTTTGTGGTTGAATCTGTGTTTGAAATTCACTGCTCGACAGACCTTACAGATAATTGTATGTGTGGGGTACAGAGATGAGTTATTTAAAAAATCATGTTAAACACTATTATTGCACACAGAGTGAGTCCATGCAACTTATTATGTGACTTGTTAAGCACATTCTTCATCCTGAACTTATTTAGGCTTGCCATAACAAAGGGGTTGAATATTTCTTGACTCAAGAAATTTCAGCTTTTCATTTTTAAACATTTCAAATAACATAATAATCACCTGACATTATAGGGTGTTGTGTGTAGGCCAGTGACAATGTTTTTCTCTCAATTTCATCCATTTTAAATTCAGGCTGTAACAACAAAATTTGGAAAAAGTCGAGGTGTGTGAATACTTTCTGAAGGGACTGTAGCTAGGGTATCCTTGTGCATTTAGTAGTCTGGGGTGTATTCATCAGTCAGATTACGTTTGGAAAACGTTTTGCAACGGAAACAGTTTACTCTAGGTTCCCAAATGGAAAGAACGGGGAGGGGCCTAACTGACCAATAGAAACTCGTTTTCGCTGCAAAACATTTTCTGTTTTTATAGTAAACGGTTTCTATTGCAAAACGTTTTGCAACGGAATCCGACTAATGAATAGACCCCTGGTGTGTCTTCTTACCTTCTTGTGCCAGGTCGCCTACATTGACATAGGTTAGTCCTGTCCTCTGGGCAAGCTCTTTTCCCAGGGTGGTCTTCCCTACGCCAGGGGTGCCTGTCAGGACGGCATGATCATCATCAACGTGCTAACTAGGTAGGTAACGTTAGCTATCTCAATTTTAGCCTACTTCTCCGTTGTACACCTGCAACTACGTCCCAAACGTCTTCCTTTTATATCTCTAAATTGGGTAGCTATGCAAACCAAAATGACAGATGCGAAAGTTATGAAGTTGGGTGTTATGTACAGTAGCTAGCCACCAGCCAGGAAATTCGACCACGCAGCATCTTTCGAGCTTATTAGTGGTGCGTTGGCTAGCCACAAGCACAGAATCGCCCTGAACACGTACACTTACAAATGAAATATCTTTATACATGTGGGTAGACAGTGGTAGTTAAATAGATCGTTAACTAGTTGGATGAAGACTTGTTTACCTGTCAGTAGAATATTTGGTCGCTTCATGATTTTCATCGCTGCTTTTCCTTGCCTTGCGTGCTCTGCACGTGACCAAATACAGTTACCTTAGAACTCGGAAAGTTCTCCTATTTTGTTTATTACTTTTGTTAACAAAACCAGACAATGTGTAACAATCAGTAACCCATTCAATCAAAGTTACCTATGAGTAAAAAAAACAACAAAGCTTCGGGATGAATCGAGTATTTGCAGAACACGCGCCCCGTGTATAATGTGACGTCAGTATTGCGCGCCGCGTTGGCTGAAGGACCTCAATTTTAAAGGGAAAACGGTCGCTGTTGTGATGTTTTGAGTCAACGTTTGTTACAAACTGAAGTTCTAATACATTTGACTATCAAACTTTGGAATTACTTCAGATGATGGCCAAGAAAGGTATGCATAGTTTGTTTAATTTAGCTTGCTAGGTTTGTGCGCGAGAAGTGAAGTCTGCGTAGGTAGCTAGCTAACTAGCAACTTTAGCTTAACGTTACTTTGTCAACTTGTTTGCCAACTAACGTTAGGTAGACTATTCGAAACGTTGGATATGTTAGCTACTATTGTAGCTCTGGTGATTTAATCGACTTTATTCCTACTTAGTTATGCCATGTAGCTAGCTATTACTCAGTAGCAATCGCTAGCTAACGTTAGTAGAATTAGCGCTAGGTAGCTACGTTACCTAGTTAAGTTAGTCTGTTTTCTGCATTCGTTATGATGAAAGCTAATGATGATGTTTTCAATTCCATCTTCCTCAGTCTTGCATTGACCAGCTGGCTCCTTTTGTCAATGTGAAGCACCACATCTTATGATGTCAAAACTTTCTCTGAGAGGAAAAGTAGCCTCAAATAAAGTGAGTTCATGGTGTGTGAGTGTGGAAGGCAGGTCTGTGAGCGATTTCAAAGTAGATCGCTAGCACGTAAGGATGCAATGTCACTTCACTAACACCTCTCTCCCCCCAGCTGAATCGTTGGGTGGAGCCATCATTCGGTGAATTCTTCGGCAATGCCAACCTCTCCCTCTCCTCAGGCAGTGGAGGCGCAGCCCTCTCTGGAGGTACCAGGGTTGACAAGGTCCAGCCATCCAGCACCGACCCCAACAGCAGTAAACGCCTCTGTAAGAGGAGGGCAGACCCCAACGCCTCCCAGCTCCAGACCTCTACCGCCACAGAGCCTGCACAGGGGGACCGGGATGAGCCCTGGGTGGACACACACAAACCCCACTCTCAGGTAACCATCCTGGGGGAAGGATCTAGACCACCAGACCCCCACTGGAGTGAAGTTGTGAATTTCATCACACACTTATCTCTGTTTGGCCTTGTGTAGGCTGAACTGGCCGTCCACAAAAAGAAGATTGAAGAGGTGGAGGATTGGATGAGAGTACATGTGGACCCCAAGACTGCAAAGGTTTGTCTCTGATGTTTTTATAACTCAGTTTAGGCTCTGTTGTTTTTATTGCTAAAAAGATGGCTATACATCACTGTTATGGCACTATGTATTCATCACAGTTTTAGAGACACTTTTATCACTTCAAATTCAGAATATTTGTGTTTTCAATTGAGAATAATACACAAAATCAAAGCTGAAACATGACCAACTGTTCATTTACACCAACACAACAGATTTATGTTCTATTTTCAATGTTTGTAATGTTTATCTGTAGAAATGCTTTGTAAATCAAACATAGCCAAGGGCAGAAGGGGTTCCGAGGGTGCCCATGAAAAATCGGAATAAATATGACATATATATATATTTTTTGTGTGTGAACATTTAATTTTTTCCACAAAAGTAGTGCACTGGGCCTTTACTAGTCCTGTATTAGTGGACCTATATAGACGTCTGTAGCGCGGGCATATTTTATTGCACCTCACCCCCAAACATCTTCCCATGGCTATGAAATCTAATCTGACCACAAGTTTTCTGAAATGTTACTGTGCCCACGTGTCCACAGGGTGGCGCTGTCCTGCTGCTGACTGGTCCGTCAGGTTGTGGGAAGTCAGCTACAGTGCAGGTTCTGGCCCAGGAACTGGGCTACAGGGTGCAGGAGTGGAGCAACCCCTCCAGCCTCTCAGATTACCGACCCAGCACAGACCACTCAGACCCTGACACCTACAGACAGACCTTTGACCCAGGTGAGAAAAACTTTCTCAACGTTGCAGATAGTAATGGATTGTGTAGAGCTGACATGATTCCTTATTCTACATGACAAACTATCCTATCTGTTTAGTACATTTCTATATGCTCGTTGTGATGTTGTACCCTCCTGAACAGGCCCCAGGTCTGTCTGGACCAAACAGGCTATGGGCCTCTATTTTGGGTTTTCCCATTTTTGTTTTTGTAGACGGAATAAACGTAATTGGACAAATAACAATTGGACTGCCAGTGCACGTCCAAGAAATAATCACATGATAAAAAAACTTTGATAACGTTTTCTTCCACCACCAGACTCGAGGTTCAATGGTTTCTATGGCAGCTCTCAGACAGGCCTGTTCCAGGAGTTCCTTCTCAGGGCCAACAAGTACAACCGCCTGCAGATGAGCGGAGAGGGAGGGGCCTCGGACTCAGACAGGAAGCTAATTCTGGTGGAGGTACAGTACTCTACCTACTTAGTACTTACAGACAGGATCGTTGCCGTGATAACTCGGCACGTAAATGTCTACAGCAGTAAGAAAAGCTTTACTCTCTCTCTCAGGACTTTCCTAACCAGTTCTACAGGCAGCCCGGGTCCCTGCATGATATTCTAAGGTGAGCTCATCGTGTTTTGAGCGACTGACTGTGACTGCAGAAGATATTAATATTAATTTGTGGGTGTATTCACACGTGTGTACGTACATGTTCGTCCTCTGTCAGGCGGTTTGTGAGGACGTGCCGGCGTCCCCTGCTGTTCATCGTGTCTGACAGTCTGAGTGGAGACAGCAGCTCCAGACTACTGTTCCCTAAACAAGTACAGGAAGAGCTGGGGGTCTGCAACATCAGGTGCTGTACAGTAAACACTGTACACTAACCCTACACACACTGCCCACTGTTCCCCAAACATGTACAGGGGGAACTGAACATTTGCAACATCGGGTAGGTTCTTTACAGGTTATCTTTCTCTAACCCAGTGTCTCTCTTCTTCTGTTTCCAGTTTTAACCCTGTGGCTCCTACCAGTATGATGAAGGTTCTGAGCCGGATTGTGTCCGTAGAGGCAGGAAAAGTAAAACAAAACATCTTTGTGTGCATGTGCTTTTCTTTTCTTGATGTCAATGTGTATGTGTTGTTTGAATGTGTGTGTGTGTGTGTGTGTGTGTGTGTTTTAATAGTATATATTAATTAATGTGTGTGTGTGTGTGTGTCCACAGAGTGGAGGAAAGATGTGTGTTCCTGACAAGGCTGCTTTGGAGCTGCTGTGTTCAGGATCCTCTGGGGACATCCGTAGTGCCATCAACAGCCTGCAGTTCTCCTGTCTCACAGGTGAGGGCGCCACACACCCATAAACGCCACACAACAGTTCAAATCAAACAGTTCAGTGGTCAGTCACCTGCTGTTCCTAATCCTGGTGTCCACTGGAATAAAATCAATGGCTTCCAAACTGTTTTGCATTGTGACACACCTAGAGCTTTTGGGTTTTGGTTTCCTACACACAGATTAAACCGAGTCCTGGACTAAGAAGCATATTCAATGGAAATTATACATTTTAAAGAGTTTTTCTAGACTAGGACTAGGCTTAATCTGTGTCATAGAAAGTGGCCTCTTTAGCCAGGACCCAGACTGAAGTGTTGACTGAAAGGTAATAGACTAGTATCCTGATGATAAACTACTGAAGTGGTTAATATATTATGGTCGGTGAACCACCCGTAAAGCTGCTCTCAACGGTTATAATGTTCCAGACCAGTCTATGAAGAAGGGGTTCTGGGCTGTGAAAAAGGTCAAGGCGGCGGCGACCTCGTCGCGGAGAGCCGTTATCAAGGCAACGCGTGGGAAGAGGAAGGCCAAAGACTCAGAGGGGCGGGACGAGGAGCAGGCGATAGGGGGGAAAGACGCCTCCCTCTTTCTCTTCAGAGCACTCGGCAAGATCCTCTACTGCAAGAGTGAGTGACAGCAGGGGGAAATGGGCAGTACATGGTGTCCAGTGTGAATGGAATAGAGATATGGAGAGGAAGCCTCTTCATAGCATTTAGATTGACCTGGGCTGTGTTCAGCAGGGAACAACATTGCAGAACGTTCAGATAGAAATGTATTATAGAGAACAAATGTGCGTCTCTGACATGTAGAATAAGGAATCAGGACAGCTCTCTTCGTCACAATTTATATCAGTAATGTTCCACAATGTTGCGTTGCTGGGAGGAGGGGGCTCTGTTGAAATGGATGGATTATGATTGGCTGGTGTGTTTATGATTGACAGGGGAGAGCCCTGAGGGCTCAGAAGGTTCCCAAGGACCCAGTCTGCCTGCACACCTCTCAGAGCACCACAGAGACAGACTACTGGTGGACCCAGAGGTACAACACACACACACACACAGACGAACACACACACAGACCTAACATGTAATCATATAACCCCCCTTCCTTTCCTCTCCCTCATCAGGCTGTAGTAGAACGCTCCCACATGTCAGGAGACTTCTTCAGCCTGTACCTGCAGCAGAATTACCTGGAGTTCTTCTCTGACGTGGAGGACGTTGCCCGGGCCGCAGAGTACCTGTCTGACGCTGACTTCCTCACTGCCGAGTGGAGCGTGAGTAACCCTAGCATTATGGCCTAAAAAATCACAGCTAGATTATTTTTCAAACATGGCCGATTCACTATATATATATATATATATATATTAGATTTTGTTTTACAACGTTTCCTCTAAATTAGCTTTGCTGTACAATTTAAAGGTAAAATATATTTAACATTTAAGTCATTTAGCAGACACTCTTATCCAGAGCGACTTACAGTTACACTGCGTTTCAAACAGTCAGCAATAACCAATGAATTCAGGGCTTGTGAAATTATACCTAAGCTAAATATAACCCTTCCACAACCATAAGACCCACTAATAATGTAATTATTTTATCAAAGTTTAACCTGTTTTTTTGCAATAATCACTGATCTGGCTTTCAAGTCTATGAAAATGACCTTTTTGTTTAAAAAAACAAAACAAACCAGAACCATGCATAATGCACATCCACTAATATTGACTAACTTCTTGTAGCAGGCATTACAGACAATTAACACAGGTCTTTATAAACAATCCCTCAAGCACAAGCCCCCGTTCTAGTGAGTAGGCAGCTAATCTTTATATTTCAAGTTTAGCCAATTTAGATCTATTTGCTAGCTAACAAGGTAGAACAGTTGAATTGTTATGAACACACCCTTCTTTCCGTCTCCCAACTGTTTGATCGGCATGCTAGCCTGTCCACTTTGTTCAGATGTTGAAATCAAGTGGCCTACCTTATTTCTCAGAATGAGAACGGGTTGCCAATTCCTTAAATAATTGTGTTTTATGCTTATTGCACAAGTGGAGTGTTCACAAACCCATAAATGACTGGTTTTATAGAATTGAAAAACACCAATTGTCCAAATGTACATGAAAACATCAGGAGCACATGTCAGTACATGGACATGAGCTATTAAATATTTCAATCTAACTTTGAAGACTTGGATTTGGACACTGTCCCATAGAGGCAAGTTTTCATATTATGCCCCACTGGCACCATATCACTAGCAATGCATATACTTATTGAGTTAATGTTGCAAAACATTTCCCAGCTAGCAGACAGTGTCATGGTATATACAATTGGAAGTCGGAAGTTTACATACACCTTAGCCAAATACATTTAAACTCAGTTTTTCACAATTCTTGACAATTAATCCTAGTAAAAATTCCCTGTCTTAGGTCAGTTAGGATCACCACTTTATTTTAAGAATGTGAAATGTCAGAATAATAGTAGAGAGAATGATTTATTTCAGCTTTTATTTCTTTCATCACATTCCCAGTGGGTCAGAAGTTTACATACACTCAATTAGTATTTGGTAGCATTGCCTTTAAATTGTTTAACTTGGGTCAAACGTTTCAGGTAGCCTTCCCCAAGCTTCCCACAATAAGTTGGGTGAATTTTGGTCCATTCCTCCTGACAGAGCTGGTGTAACTGAGTCAGGTTTGTAGGCCTCCTTGCTCGCACACGCTGTTTCAGTTCTGCCCACAAATTGTCTATAGGATTGAGGTCAGGGCTTTGTGATGGCCACTCCAATACCTTGACTTTGTTGTCCTTAAGCCATTTTTCCACAACTTGGGAAGTATGCTTGGGGTCATTGTCCATTTGGAATACCCATTTGCGACCAAGCTTTAACTTCCTGACTGATGTCTTGAGATGTTGCTTCAATATATCCACATAATTTTCCTTCTTCATGATGCCATCTATTTTGTGAAGTGCACCAGTCCCTCCTGCAGCAAAGCACCCCCACAGCATGATGCTGCCTCCCCCGTGCTTCACGGTTGGGATGGTGTTCTTCGGCTTGCAAGCAACCCCCTTTTTCCTCCAAACATAACGATGGTCATTATGGCCAAACAGTTCTATTTTTGTTTCATCAGACCAGAGGACATTTCTCCAAAAAGTACGATCTTTGTCCCCATGTGCAGTTGCAAACCGTAGTCTGGCTTTTTTATGGCGGTTTTGGAGCAGTGGATTCTTCCTTGCTGAGTGACCTTTCAGGTTATGTCGATATAGGACTCGTTTTACTGTGGATATACAGTAGGGAGAACAAGTATTTGATACACTGCCGATTCTGCAGGTTTTCCTACTTACAAAGCATGTAGAGGTCTGTAATTTTTATCATAGGTACACTTCAACTGTGAGAGACGGAATCTAAAACAAAAATCCAGAAAATCACATTGTATGATTTTTAAGTAATTAATTTGCATTTTATTGCATGACATAAGTATTTGATCACCTACCAACCAGTAAGAATTCCGGCTCTCATAGACCTGTTAGTTTTTCTTTAAGAAGCCCTCATGTTCTCCACTCATTACCTGTATTAACTGCACCTGTTTGAACTCGTTACCTGTATAAAAGACACCTGTCCACACACTCAATCAAACAGACACCAACCTCTCCACAATGGCCAAGACCAGAGAGCTGTGTAAGGACATCAGGGATAAAATTGTAGACCTGCACAAGGCTGGGATGGGCTACAGGACAATAGGCAAGCAGCTTGGTGAGAAGGCAACAACTGTTGGCGCCATTATTTGAAAATGGAAGAAGTTCAAGATGACGGTCAATCACCCTCGGTCTGGGGCTCCATGCAAGATCTCACCTCGTGGGGCATCAATGATCATGAGGAAGGTGAGGGATCAGCCCAGAACTACACGGCAGGACCTGGTCAATGACCTGAGCTGGGACCACAGTCTCAAAGAAAACCATTAGTAACACACTATGCCGTCATGGATTAAAATCCTGCAGCGCACGCAAGGTCCTCCTGCTCAAGCCAGCGCATGTCCAGGCCCGTCTGAAGTTTGCCAGTGACCATCTGGATGATCCAGAGGAGGAATGGGAGAAGATCATGTGGTCTGATTAGACCAAAAAGCTATATTTTTGTCTCAACTCCACTCGCCGTGTTTGGAGGAAGAAGAAGGATGAGTACAACCCCAAGAACACCATCCCAACCGTGAAGCATGGAGGTGGAAACATCATTCTTTGGGGATGCTTTTCTGCAAAGGGGACAGGACGACTGCACCGTATTGAGGGGAAGATGGATGGGGCCATGTATCGCGAGATCTTGGCCAACAACCTCCTTCCCTCAGTAAGAGCATTGAAGATGGGTCGTGGCTGGGTCTTCCAGCATGACAACGTTCCGAAACACATAGCCAGGGCAACTAAGGAGTGGCTCCGTAAGAAGCATCTCAAGGTCCTGGAGTGGCCTAGCCAGTCTCCAGACCTGAACCCAATAGAAAATCTTTGGAGGGAGCTGAAAGTCCGTATTGCCCAGCGACAGCCCCGAAACCTGAAGGATCTGGAGAAGGTCTGTATGGAGGAGTGGGCCAAAATCCCTGCTGCAGTGTGTGCAAACCTGGTCAAGACCTACAGTAAACGTATGATCTCTGTAATTGCAAACAAAGGTTTCTGTACCAAATATTAAGTTCTGCTTTTCTGATGTATCAAATACTTATGTCATGCAATAAAATGCTAATTAATTACTTAAAAATCATATAATGTGATTTTCTGGATTTTTGTTTTAGATTCCGTCTCTCACAGTTGAAGTGTACCTATGATAGAAATTACACACCTCTACATGCTTTGTAAGTAGGAAAACCTGCAAAATCGGCAGTGTATCAAATACTTGTTCTCCCCACTGTAGATACTTTTGTACCTGTTTCCTCCAGCATCTTCACAAGGTCCTTTGCTGTTGTTCTGGGATTGATTTGCACTTTTCGCACCAAAGTACGTTCATCTCTAGGAGACAGAACACGTCTCCTTCCTGAGCGGTATGACGGCTGCGTGGTCCCATGGTGTTTATACTTGCGTACTATTGTTTGTACAGATGAACGTGGTACCTTCAGCCGTTTGGAAATTGCTCCCAAGGATGAACCAGACAGAATTTTTTTCCTGAGGTCTTGGCTGATTTCTTTTGATTTTCCCATGATGTCAAGCAAAGAGGCACTGAGTTTGAAGGTAGGCCTTGAAATACATCCACGGGTACACCTCCAATTGACTCAAATGATGTCAATTAGGCTATCAGAAGCTTCTAAAGCCATGAAATCATTTTCTGGAATTTTCCAAGCTATTTAAGGGCACAGTCAACTTAGTGTATGTAAACTTCTGACACACTGGAATTGTTGTACAGTGAATTATAAGTGAAATAATCTGTCTGTAAACAATTGTTGGAAAATTACTTGTGTCATGCACAAAGTAGATGTCCTAACCGACTTGCCAAAACTATAGTTTGTTAACAAGAAATTTGTGGAGTGGTTGAAAAACAAGTTTTAATGACTCCAACCTAAGTGTATGTAAACTTCCGACTTCAACTGTATCTGTATGTAGTCTCGTAGCACCATGGGGGAGTATGGCTCGTCTGTCGCCACCAGAGGTCTTCTACACTCCAACTCTGGTCACGTGGCTGGCGGCTTCAGACCCCTACACAAACCCAACTGGCTATTGGTCAACAAGAAGGTAACACATGCACACACAAGCGCATAAGTGCACACAAACGCACATGCGCACACACACGCACACACGCGCGCGCATGCTTACTCAGTCACTCACACACACACATATTCAGGCCCAAGCTCAAACCCAACTGGTCAAGATAAGGTGAATGGTCAGAAGATTATGAAGGAAACACTTTCACACATATTGGGGTTGATACCAGTAACAGGAGGGGACTTTCTTAAATCCTAATGTGTGTGTGTGTGTGTGTGTGTGTGTTATTTCAGTACCGTGAGAACTGCCAGGCTGCCCAGTCTCTCTTCGTCAGTTTCTGCCTGACGCCTGTCAGTCTCCAGACGGAGCTACTGCCTTACCTCGCCCAGCTCAGCAACCCCTTGAGGAATCCAGGTTACACACAGACACGCACACGTGACATGACGTGACCTGCATTGCCCTGCAACCTTAGAATTAGAATTCAAGATTACACCCACATACACACACACAATCAAAGATTATACAAAGAAAGCTAAATACATTACTATAACAGAAACATCCTCATCTTTGTTGAACCTTTATTTGATATTTTCCACATGAGCCGTGTATACACACTTCACATCTATACACACTATTCACATCTATAGACACTATACACATCAATATTCACATCTATACACATCAATATTCACATCAATACACATCTATACACATCTATATTCACATCAATACACGAAAAGCTAAACACAATAATAGAAAACGAACACATTCTTCAGTAAAAAGGTCCTCAGTCAGCTGTCTGAATTGCCCTAGAGCAGGGGTAGGCAACTAGATTCAGCCACGGGATGTTTTTTTTTTGTCGGAGCGGATAGTCAGGGGCCGGAACATAATTCTAATAATTTGTACGTCGCAAATTGACCAACTAAGCCCAACAAGAGGTGGTATTTAAAAATGTCATACCTTGATTACGTTGAGACACGATAACATTTATCTATTTTTTTATTTATTTGTGGGAATACTTGGGAACGGATTTCCTGTATTAAACTAATTCCTGGTGATTTGAGTGGCAAAAAATATAACTTGCAGGCATTTTTTTGGGCCCCTGCCCTAGAGGCACCAATTTCTAACATTTTAGAGAGCCTTGGAGATTATTACAAAAAGTAAGGTGCAAAAAAAAACTTGAGCAGGTTTTGTGAGCGGAGATCGATGGGATCTCCAGAGTTCGCTATCCCTGAGACCGGGTCTGGTGTCTCGGGACGTCTGTAAGTTCTAAACAGAATGTCCCTTTATTCTTGCCTGCCCACACCAGCAGAAAGAAAGCCTCTGTCCACCTTAGGGGGTTAAACACATGCAAATGAAGGACAGGGTCCGTTGGATGACTACGCTTAGCAATGCAGACTGCAGGTGGTTGATTTGCATCTGAAAGCCATGTCGCTCTTGAACCTGTGTTGCTAATGCTACTAGTGTCTGATGACTAGGGGTGTGCTGAGTAGTCCAACAAAACCAGTATCTTAACAGATACGGGCAATTTTCCTGACACGATTATGATCAGAGTATTTTTAGTAATAATCTGTGATACATTTTTATTTTTTATTTTTTTCAGGTGCCAGCAGGCATCGTTCAATCAAGTGCAAGGTGCTACATGTTCTACATTTACATTACATTTTAGTCATTTAGCAGACGCTCTTATCCAGAGCGACTTACAGTTAGTGAATACATTTTTTTTTTAATACTGGCCCCCCGTGGGAATCGAACCCACAACCAACTATCAACTGAGCTACATCCCTGCCGGCCATTCCCTACCCTGGACGACGCTGGGCCAATTGTGCGCCGCCCATGAGTCTCCCGGTCGCGGCCGGCGGCGACAGAGCCTGGATTCGAACCAGGATCTCTAGTGGCACAGTTAGCACTGCGATGCAGTGCCTTAGACCACTGCGCCACTCAGGAGTACTCAGGAGTACTTCTAAATAGCTCAAATGGCTAGTTTGCCTGTCTGTAAAGAGAAGGGCGGGCTGTACGTTGATCCTGCGTCTCTGATTGGATGGAGCAAAGCTGTGTTTCTCTGTCCCTCCCCAGGGCCTAAAATTAACAGCCACTGTGGCAGGTAGATTAAAAAACAAAAACAGCCAAAATATTATTTTTGGGGGGGGGGGAAATTACACCAACAAAACACAGATGAGCATGCTTTGTAATGTTTCTAAAACAATGCATGTTTTACTACACTGAACAAAAATATAAACGCAACAAGCAACAATTTAAAATATTTTGCTGAGTTACAGTTCATATAAGGAAATCGATCAATTGAAATAAATTCATTAGGTCGTAATCTATGGATGACCGGGAATACAGATATGCATCTGTTGGTCACAGATACCTTTAAAAAAAGGTAGGGCCGTGGATCAGAAAACCAGTCAGTATCTGGTGTGACCACGATTTGCCTCGTGCAGCGCGACACATCTCCTTCACATAGAGTTGATTAGGCTGTTGATTGTGGCCTGTGGAATGTTTTCCCACTCCTCTTCAATGGCTGTGTGAAGTTGCAATGGCTGTCCCAAACATGCTCAATGGGTGACATGTCTGGTGAGTATGCAGGCCATGGAAGAACTTGGAAATGTTCAGCTTCCAGGAATTGTGTACAGATCCTTGCGACATGGGGCCGTGCATTATAATGCTGAAACATGAGGTGATGGTGGCAGATGAATGGCATGACAGTGGGCCTCAGGATCTCATCACGGTGTCCCTGTGCATTCAAATCGATAAAATGCAATTGTGCTCGTTGTCCTGCCCATACCATAACCCCACCGCCACCATAGGGCACTCTGTTCACAACGTTGACATCAACAAACCGCTCACCCACACAACGCCATCTGCCCGGTACAGTTGAAACTGGGATTCATCCATGATGAAGAGCACAGTTCTCCAGCGTGCCAGTGGCCATTGAAGGTGAGCATTTGCTCACTGAAGTCTGTTACGACGCCAAACTGCAGTCAGGTCAAGACCCAGGTGAGTACGACGAGCGCGCAGATGAGCTTCCCAGAGACGGCAAAGGAGAAATGCTCACTAACAGGGATGTAAACAAATTTGTGCACAACATTTGAGAGAAATACGCTTTTTGTGTGTATGGAACATTTCTGAGATCTTTTATATTTTTGTTCAGTATAGTTAGAAGTAATGTGGTATATTGGTTAACTTCATTAAATTTTTTGTGACCTGAGTCTTAACCAAAATATCACAGATAAGACAACAATTTCCCCCCTTTAAGGGCGGGAGGTTACCTTGGTAACGCAACTCAGTCGTGTTTGTGTCTGTGAGATTGAGAGTCTGACTAGTACCAGCGTTGTCTTCTCTTCCCTAGCAGTTGAAACTCAAGCAGTGAAAAACAACCTAGCTTGGTAACAAAACAAGGTAAATAGCCATAGAAACACAAGGACAAAGTCTCACCTCAGTAGACTTTAGTTTCAAGTGAATTAGACCAATTTTTACGCCTGGACGCAGCGCTTCTAAAAATGAATATTTCACTCCGCTCTTCAGGTGCGCACAGCCCCCAGCCAGACAGTGTTAGCAGCTATGAAACAAAACAGCTACCGCAGCATTTATTTTACTAGAAATGTGATCATACTTGACTATTTTTAGTCCCAAATGCTAGTGAAATGCTCACACTGTGGAGCCCTGACCACCCACCAACCAATGTGGCTGGTGGAATAGACATTTTACCCGCCAACGTGAAATAGACATTTTACCCGCTAACGTGGCTGGTGATAGACATCTCACCCGCCAACGCCAAAATCAACCCACATTTGGCAGGTGGCGGGTGTTCATTTTAGGCCCTGGTCCACTCATAATTTCACCGGATCACTTCTCCTCGCATGTTTCGGTCTGATCATTTAGATCGCTGCTGCCTCCAGTTAGCCGGATACAATTGTCAAAGTCGCGTCAATTCAAATCTGGTATTAGGAACAAAAGAGGTCAACACGACTTCTAAGGTATACTAGTTATTTTAATTAATGCAAAAACCTTCAATGGTAAATATGATGTTTCGTATATACGGGCTCTCTGAGATGTCTCGCAGAACACCCCAGACAACTAACACATTGTTCCAGAAACAATACCCAAATACTCTGACAGAGGGAGTTTCCCACTTCTCTGCTGGCCAATTAGAGTAAAGACTTGAGCGTGGTTTAAACTTTCTCAGCCAATCCGTTGATTCAGGGGTTGCTCTCATCTCCTCGGCGCCATTTGTTACACACTTCAGCCAGGCACAAGATTATCATAACAACCTATCATAGTGAGAAGAGCCAGCTCCCTTAGACATCATTCCTAGTCAAAGGAAGGCTCACAGATCACAAATAACTATTATAGTCTAGAATTTGAAGACACAATCCTTATCTTATTTTAACCCCTAAAACAGCTCTTCACATCAATCACAGCCTTGCCAGGTGTCACAGCCTACATTAGCCCAGTCAAGACTGCATTCTTTCTAAGTTAGTCATCCCATCAATTTAGGAGAATAATAAATCCCCAATACTATGATAACTCAAATTGTGAGGATGTTTTGATAGCATAGCAGGGCGAGTGTAGGGCCAAAATATGAACTGCCGCTGCACATTCTGACTGAGTGACAGCAAACTGCCGCTGCACATTCTGACTGAGTGACAGCAAACTGCCGCTGCAAATTGTGACACACAGACATGCACCCCTCCACGCTGCTCCTAATCTGCAGCTTTTCTGGTCTATAAACTTGCAGGGTGATGGGTATTTTGACAATAATCTATTTAGGCATATTAAAACACTTCAGTTTTTTACGATTACGAGTTTTTAAAAAAAACCTCTCTGTCTCTCCCATACAGCTCAGATAGCCTTCATTCAGGACGTGGGTTGTCTTTCCTGCAGAAAGTTCCCTGGCAGGTACATCACCTATAAGCAATCTCTTACTATATTTGCAGTATAGTGGGAAGTTGTCTTCCGTATTTTCTAAAAGCCACTGAACTCTTAATTTGTGTTCCTCTCTGCATCCTGTCCAGGTTGAAACTGGAGACTCTGACAGACAAAGACCCAGGACTGCTGGAGTTGGACAGTGAGGAAGAGGAGGAGGGGAGGCTTGTGTCTTCATCCATCGACCCAACCTCAGGCACCCTCTCTGGGGAGACAGGAGACCAGGGGGATCCCTCCCTGGAGCCTCCCGTACCAGGCAGCCAGGGCCCAGGGGCTGGGGGACCAGGTGGAGACCTCCCTGCCTCCCAGCCTCAGCCCACTACCACCTCAGCCCTTCTGAAGGAAGAGGACCTAGTCATAGAGGAATACGACAGTGATTTCTGATCGACAGAGCTGACACTAATCACAGTACAGAGACTTCTGATACATTCACCCTCCCGCCTTTGTGATTGACAGAGCCGACGTTCCAATCACAGACTTCTGACATGGTCCCGCCCTCCTGCCTTACCTTATAAACTGTGATCAGTTACAGGACAGAACAGAATACGTTTGCTTTCGTTGGTATTATATGTCTGACTGTCACTGTAGCTGTTATTGTTTCTTATGGTAATGACTGTAGTTGTCATATCAAGGAATTTCTGGTATTATTCATTAGTGTTTTGCCTCAGTGAGTACGGGCAAATTCCATCCCAAGTCCTGTCCGATTCCATATCTGAACAAGTGACTTAAATTGAAATGGAATTGGACCTGACACACTGATTTATTTGATACATTTATTAACAAAACACATATGACAGATGTTGTGGCTAGCTTTATTGCAGACTTTATGTGTTTGTTACGGTTTTTGAAATATTGACTATATTTATTTGTTTGTTTTAGAGCACTTATCTTTGAATTTATTTTGTTTGGCTTTAGAACTGTTGAGAACTTGGAGATGTGTACAGTGGTAGGCTTAATATGCCTGCCTGGCTTTTCAATAAGATTGTCCTCATCCTTGTCTTTTGTAAATGACCATGCCAAAAGAGCTTGGCAGTGAAAGGTTAACGTTCACCTCTTTCTAGCTTCCACTGAATCTTGAAGAAAAGATTACTAAAAGTTGTGGCCTCCCATCTTATTTCAACAGAAGTGTAAAACAGAAAGTGAAATAAAGTATTTTGTTAAAATTGAATACGTTTCTAAATGCAGAAATAATGTAATCCAAGTCTCTTCCATTCATGGGCATCATATCAGAGAACCACAAAATGGCATAACGTTTTTCTTCAAGACACCTACAGAACTACAGCAAGCAACGCAGTGAATAATGGTAATATTTTTAAACAACTGTCACAAAAAATACTGAAATATTTTATGTTGAGATAGTAGGTCACCACATTTAAAATAATGCGGGAAAGCACGATGATTTTGTGGGACAGTGTAGCCTCTATGAATAAAAACATTTGGCACGGCAGCATCATTTGAAGCTCCATCAGATTAATGGAAATATGCATTTTGATTATTTTGAATTACTGATTCGTGAGAAAGTTAGAGCAGATGGTGTTAACAAAACTAAATAGCCTTCCTGTATTTTGTTTAAATCAAATCACGTTCTGTTTTGGCCGCTCATTTTTGGGACTATTCAGCTAACCATCCTAAAATGCAGGGGTGCAACTTTCACTGGGGACTGGGGTCATGTCCCCCCCCCCCCCCCACATTCTGAAATTGCATTTTTGTCTTCCCCAGTTTTATCATTGCAAAGTGATTTAAAAAAAAGAGGCAATGTGTGCTTTAGGACCATGCGGACGTCTCAGAGCAGTCCTGGTATGCTGTTTGGAGTGTTCAGCCAGCTGGATTTAGGACCATGCGTACACCACAGAGCAGGCTGACAGGCTGTGTGAAGGCAAAGCTTCTGGAAGGCTGGCTGACCAGCACGGGAGAGTTGAGCATAGTTCAGTGTGTATGTGTGGCACTCTTTCACCAAGTCGTAAAAGCAAGCAGGGCAGAAACTGGCTACTATTTAGTTGACTGATGTAGGTGCCAAGGGAACTGCTGTTTAACTTAACAGAAAAAAATGAAACTAGTGTTTATTCGCAGGGCTGAGCTAGTATTGTAACTGACATGTAACGTTAGCTAATGTTTCATCACCTCTCGACTGAGGTGAATGAATAAGCTATGCTAGCTAAAAGCTACCACAGCCAGGTCAGCTCTAGCCTCTAGTTATCTGTCAGATAGTGATATGATGTGGCTATTATTACTATCTAACAGCTGTTGTTTGTATGGAAATGTTTTGTAGCCTTTGTTTTGTCCCGTTTCAGAAGAAAATTAACTTGGCTAACTTTTGCCAGTTGATGTACCGTTCGAGAGAGAGCTGGCAAAAAGTTGGCTAACGTTAGCTATTATTTTTGCCTCGATCACACTAGACCCTGAATCAAATGATTGAAAATGTATATTCTGACGTTTTTCCAGTGCAATGTGAGTTTTATTAGTCAGTATGGCAATGTAACGTCTGTCAGTTTCCCTAGCTAATTCCCTATTTTTCACACTGACACAGTAATAAACAGCTCTAACGATACAGGCTTCCCTGTCATGGTGCACAGTAGAGGTCTGTCATGGTGCACAGTAGAGGTCTGCACAGGACTGATTTCTTCATCCCGTTCCCGCCTGCACCCGCCAGCTGACTTTCTGTCCGACTCCCACCCGCTACCGCAAGAACTGGTCCCAAACACAACCGAAGTCCCGCAATGTTATTTTAGGCGTATGTGACGCAGCTCTCTTGCCAGCCATGGTCCCAACTATTTTGTGCCCTGTAGGCAATATCAAATGCGCAGAAATAACTTAAGAAATAGGTTAAATTACAAGAGACTCTCACATGGCCCTTATATTGTATTACTGGGCTATATCAGCCAATATGCTAGATGTAGTATGAAGAGAGCAGAGTTGGAGAGACTTGCACTTTCTCTTGAGCTATTTTTATAGCCTACCTTTTAGGAGTGGGAAGATTTTCAGACTAAGAAATATGGGTGATTCAATATTTAGGCCTATTTCTAGGCAATGTAGTAAACTATAGCCTAATCATAGGCCTATTTAGGAAGTACATTTCCTTGGAAATATAACTGCCCCGTGCTTCTCCGCCCATGCATAGGCTATAGCCTACTCTATTTAACTGAGACCACACGCGCACCGGATCACGCAGGTTTGGTTACTGAACTGGAAGCAGCAAGACTGACGACAGCGACACTTGCTACGTTTTACATAGCCTACCTTTTAGGAGGACGATTTGCAGGCAGAGACAAATAAATGGGCAATCAATACTTATGGAAAATGAAAAGGCGCAACGCTGGTCACCATAGTAGCCTGACCTATGCACGCGTTGTGCCTTTTCCTTTTCAATCATGATTAAATTTTTTGATTGCACCTCGACTCACGTTGGTTGAGCGCCCTCCACTTCTTTCCATTATCAATATTTATTTACAGACACTGTAGTAAACTACAGTCTAATCATATTTAAGTTTATTTCATATTCAAGTTAACTGCCACATGATTCTCTGCCCATGTAGACAGCCTACTCTATTTCAATGAGACCACACATACTAGGCGCACTTGAACTCTCACGCCCAACTAGGAGAGGTAGGCTACTGAAGTTGAAGCAGAGAATTCTGACTGTGTGAATAATGAGAAAAATATGTGCTTTTAATACAATTGGTAGGCTAACGCTTGGTAGGCTAACGCATACAAAGCAGAAAGAGGACCGTTTCCAAATAATCTGTGGGACAACAACCATATCTTCATCCCAAAGTCGTCTGTCTGATCGCCCGCTCCTGCCCACAGCAAGTCGTCTGTCTGATCGCCGCTCCTGCCCACAGCAAGTCGTCTGTCTGATCGCCCGCTCCTGCCCACAGCATGAAAAAGGTAGGCATCCCGCAGGAATGCAGCCCTCTAGTGCAGTCAGTACACAACACTGTGCTCATCATGTCTTAGCAGGATCAGATGGTGACAGGGGTCCCAGCAGGGTCAGACAGCCAGGGAAGACCAGTCAGGGTCAGACAGCCAGGGAAGACCAGTCAGGGTCAGACAGCCAGGGAAGACAGCCAGGGAAGACCAGTCAGGGTCAGACAGCCAGGGAAGACCAGTCAGGGTCAGACAGCCAGGGAAGACCAGTCAGGGTCAGACAGCCAGGGAAGACCAGTCAGGGTCAGACAGCCAGGGAAGACCAGTCTACGGAGCTCAGGTGACTTGTGCACTATATTAACAATATAATTGAATGATACAAAGTTCCATCTTTAGTTGATGGGTAGACCTACAGTAGCTACAGGACAGCAGTTTAAGTTTAAATCTACATTCTGGGATCTTGGAATAATGGTCATTTCAATTATTGAACCATTGATTCTATTCTTGGATAATATAATTTATAAATATACACTAAGGTGATTCTTTTTTGTGTTTTTTTTTTATTGTTTTAATTAATTTTTGTTGTTGTTGGGGGGAATGGATCAGCTTAATATTGCAGATAGATTGTATCTTCTATCAATGTAATTGTCTGCATCACTTCCAATCCCCCATGTTTTTTTTATTTTTTATATATATACTCCCCTTTATTACTTTTCAACCCCACCATCCTTTCCCTACTTGGAGTAAATTAGTGAACAACAATGCCCAGGCCTCTACTTCCGGTCTATACTTACTATCTACACCTTATGGACAGAGTTAATTTTACAATAATTCTATTATATATTTATTAATTTTTTTGCTCCTGAACTTCTTCTACTCTCAACCTCTCCGATCATTTTCATGGTGTCCATCCGGTTTGCTTCTATATGCCATATCTTTCTAACTGTGCTCCTTCCCAAAAGCTCCCAACATACAACCTATATACTTATTATGGACACAGTATGCTTACATTATTAGCTATCTTTGTTATTATTTGTTGTTATTTGTTATTAGTCCCATCCTTCAACTCTATTCAATACCTCCCATCTATCTCTTAACACCATCCATATAGGATTTCTATTTGCCATATATATTTCAACCGTACTGTGATGTTTTACAAAAATTCTGAACCTTTCTATTCTCATTGCTTCTACAGATTGTGAATTAAAAATAAACATTTTTGCTAAAAGTATTATTATATTATTGATTGATTGACTATGACTTTTCAGATCACCCAGTAATGCTATCTGCAAGGTTAGTTCCAGGTAAATATTGCAATCCTTTAGCCATTCCTGGACCTGTGTCCAAAAACAAGCTACAAATGGACAGAACCAAAACAAATGATCTAATGATTCTGTCTCTTCACAGCAAAATCTGCAGAGCTGGGAAGATTGTATCCCCCATATAAATAACATTCTATTGGTAGCAAGAATTTTATATAATAATTTTAAATTGAAAGATTCTAATTTTTGAATCCGGTGTCGTTTTGCGTGTCAGTTCATAAACACTATGCCATGGGATCGGTACGTCAAAGAACTATTTTGCAATCTGTATTCTTTGTTATACCTCATCTTAGGTGGATCAGATGGTGACAGAGCTCTCAGCAGGGTCAGGCAGCCAGGGAAGACCAGTCTGTGACGGAGGTGAGGAGAATTTTTGCAGATACAACACTTTATTCTCTCTGTGCAGCAAACAATAGACAAGCCAGATGCTATTTTAAGGCAGTCTGACAAACCTCCAAAGTTGATTTCCAAACTGTATAAAGGGTTGATAGTATGGAGGACTAAAAGTGCCACAATTAAATAAATAAATACACCATTAAATAATTACTTAAATGTGTCATTAATTAATTAAAATTATAATTAAATACATAAATGTGTTATTAAATGTGTCATTAATTAATTCAAATACCGATTCATTTTATGTAAAATACCTATATAATAATTTCACTATTTACATTTACATTTCATGGTCCTGCGTTGGAGTGCTTCCTGAATTACTTAAAACTGTCAAACTGACCCATCAAAAGTTGGTAGGCGGAACCTAACGCCTGATTGGTTACCCTCTGCATCAAGCCAAGACAAATCAATTCCGGATAATGTCAGCAGGTCCTGCTTCTACATCCTCTGCTAAGTTTAAAATGTCTCTAACCAACTCCCTGGAAAGTTCACGGAGATCCTCCATTGTCTCTATCCAGGTTGGCCTACTCTACTTCAGACCAAAGCAATGGATCAGACTA